ACAGGTCCGAGGATCCCTTGCAGGCTTGCCGAAAGAGACAGCCACTGCACCGAGGCTGACGTGCCTGCATTCCGGCGGGTCTTCCAAGGTTACTCCAAGTGGAGCCTCCCCACCTCCAAGGCCCAAATTTTCAGAAACTTTCGTTGGTGGTTGTTGGCTCTGTCATTCATGCATGCCTACATCCAGACACACTGAAACAGGCATAGTGTAGTACAGGTGCCCAAAGCGACCTGAAGGCTCCAAGATCCAAGAGACGTCATCCACATCACACGAGAGTCGCCTGAAGGTTTGCCAAGTCAGCTGGAGCGGGCCGCACCAGGGTTTCGATGCACATGTGGCTCGCTACCGCAACAGCCCGGTGATGCACCGGTGCTTGGCTGAGTTCCAGGAAACTAGCTATATGTAATGTCTTGATACTCCTGTTGTGGTTGGTCAGCACAGAGTGATGGCCGCGTGGTTAAGCAGCACAAAGTTTTTGACCAGATGCCTCGAGGTCTGTCCCGGATGAGTACAAGCCAATCATCTTCAAAGCCGGAGTTCGGCAAGAGTTCCCTCCCGCCACAAGGATAAGGGACTGAGGGGACCTCTACATCAGAGAGCCATGAGTTAACAGTTGTCCCGTCAGGAGGCTAAAGCCTCCGGCCCGATTTGTCGGACGCTGAAGATCGCAAAGGACGCTACTTTAGCTGTTTGTGCCTTGGCCTTGGTGCCTTCTTGGCAAACTCGTGCAGTGCACCTCAGGAGCTATCACCTGACCAGGGCTGCTTCAACTGCAACACTTCGCAGTGCCAGATGCCTTCAGCAAAAGATGCGTAGAAGGTATTTGTGCCCTGCTGGGACCAACCGTACAGAACTGTGCAGATCAGCACTACCCATGCACATACTGGACAGTTTTAGCAGGCTGCCTGAAGTCGGTTGGGCCTACAGAGCCTAGGCTTGATTTAATTCGTGCTCTCAATTTAACTTGACAAGAGGTTCAGCTGAGTTGGCAGCGCTGCGTGACATGGCACTGACTTGTTTAATGGGTGTGCGAGATTGGTCTGAGCTTGTTTTTTCGCAGCTGCCTTCAACGCATAGGTTCATCTGTGATGACAAATAAACCAGAGTCAGCCCTTGCCTGACCCTCCCAATGTGTAGGCTGAGACAGATGTTGAGAAACTATACCTGGAGGGTTGAGGCTTCGTAGTGCCGATGTCGAGCATCCTCATGCTTCGGGCACTTTCGGGAAAACGCCGTGCGGATGAAGGCCGGAACTGGGTGAATTGGCCAGACAGCCCGGAAGTGTCAGAGTGCATCCAATCCAACGTCTGGGCAGGGGTCCCCGCAGATTTAGCAAACAGTACAGCCTCGGATGTTTGCCTCAGATCCTTTGTCAGGGAGGCAGCAGCTGGCCCCGATCAATTCACTTGATTGGCTATTAATGCTTGTGGTTGCCTTCAGGGTGTAGCAGATCCGATTTTCAATGTGCAGGGCCTCACGGCAAAAGGATGCGGCCTCCCGCCCAAGGCTCACAAGGAGCCACATTTAATTGCAAAGCCATCATGGAACTTGGTTTTGAAGTCAGGGCAGCTTGCGGACCAGGAAGTCAGGGCGGAAGCGGTCTTAACGTCAACATGTGGCAACCTCAAGAGGACATTTGCTAGGACCATGCGGCCCATGCGAGTGCAGCCTGACTTTCCGGGAACTGCCAGATAGCCACAAAGCGAAGGCTTCTGGAAAGTCGTTGTCAGATGCGCACAGATTCGGACTTCGGACCATTTCAACCATGCCGTACCACGCCCCCGAGCCGGAGCAAAGGCCCAAGAGATGGCCGGGCAGTTGAGTCGTGTTTTCCATCACCTCCGCTGCTCTCATCGCTCACTGTGGCAGACAGCCTGGGCGCCGCGACAGAAGCTTCGGACATGTTCGCCAAAGACTGCACGAGATCCCTCTCCCATCAAACTCATTTCGCGAAGACTCGGGTGGCTGGCACTGGCTGAAAGCATGGAGATTGCTCGTAGAAGGTTGCAAATTCACAAAATTTTCCATCCGTCTTGAAAGCTGCAGAGTGGTATGTGCTGATGCGTTCCTGCTGCGAACGGAAGTCCACGTACAAGCTGTTTCCATCCACTGTTGGGACCATTACTTGGAAATCATAACAAGAAGACTCCAGAGCTCTTGCAGTATCGTTATGTGGAAAACAGCTGGCCCCCCGCGCAGGAGGACTGATCCACTGTAAACCAGTGAGGAGTGGTGCAGGACATGGCTCCGCGAAAATGGTTGCGCAGGGCTGGGGTCTTCTGGCTAAGTTGCCCTCGACTGCACGGGCTTCCCAAGCACTGAAAGCAGGCTGCAGGCCTGCAAGCATACACAAAGTCTCTCGACACGACCCGCAGTGACCACGCACAGCCTTGTAGCCGTAGTCGGAGCTTGGGAGGCTCCTGTCTGCAAAGACTCTCCGAGATTCTCCGAGGCTGGCACCAGCTGCAACAGCCCACAGGCACCTGAACGGCTTGCAAGTTCAGTATTCAGAACTTCAGACAGCAGCGGTAATTGTAGCGGTTGTGTTCGCCGTGCTCTCGCACCTCCGGGACTCTGAAGCAGAGGCTGATGACCTGCTGCAGTCTTCGTTAGATCCGCTAGAATCTGCGAGATGCTCTTATGGTTCCAATTGCCGCAGGGATGACAAGAGACCCAAGCATCACAGTTACAGGGAGAAAGACAGGTGTCGCGACGGCACATTTACCGGTGGCACTGGGTGATTGCTATGACAATGGAAACATGCATTGTCAGACCGGATGCACGAGGTCCTTGCCGCACGCAGGGGATGCCCAGAATATTGAAGATGAAGTGGCGATGGAGCTGCATTCGGAGAAGTTGTAGATACCAGGCGCGGGCGTGCATTGGTCTTGTGTGCATTGCATGGTGGGTGTGTGTGTGTGTGTGTGTGTGTATGTGTTTGTGTGTGTGTGTGTGTCCGTCGGTGCAGCAGCATGTGAAATCGGTCTCGGCAGCGTTGGGCAGTTGCGCATGGGGATTTCAGATCTGCCTGTGCTTCCACATGTGTACACGCATCGACTGTTGGCCGAAATGCCATCTAATAACTGCCAGTCGCAATGACATGTGCTGAGCAGTTCGGTCAGATTTGAATTGAAATCAGGATTCGGAGCTGCGGCAGAAGGTGAGTCTGCAGGATGCAGCGTTTTCCCACAGTCTCTCAGGGCCAGCCCTGAGACTGGTAGCTGTGTAGGCACGGAGCATCACGCTGCCTGGCTTCGGAGGCTTCACAGCCTTGTAGACTCCCAAGTCCCGACCCTAAATCTAACCCTCTCGAGCTGACAGTGCCTCTGGCAGGGGATGCCTCGTTAATTAGGGCGGAGATGCCCCAGAAATAGCCCTCACATGGGCCGCGACAAAATCGATGACTCAGCACGTTCGAGGCTGACACTTCCCGTAGTAGCCCCCGGAAGCGATAAAATGAGACTCGCGCTGGGTCTAGCGGAGCTACAAATTCATTTAGAGCTTTCTTTGTGTGTGTGTGTGCGCGTGTTTTTCTACAACCGCTTCCAAGGGCGATTTCCCACGCTAACGCTTGTACAAAGCTGCCAGCCCACCTACAACAATCAACGTCACGATGTGACCATGTCAAATTAACCGCCTGTTCCTTGTTGGTTTGTCATTTTGTTTTTCAGTCTGCAGCCCCGGTAGCAGATGACAATCAGACTCACCCTGGCAGATGCTTAGGCGGTGAGCTTGGCACTTGAATCTAGCTGTTTTTGCTTGCTTAGAGAGGCAGGCTTGGAATTCATGCAGCTAGATCAGCGCGATTTAGCCTACCCATACTTCCTCATGCTGCGAAGTGTGGCGTGTCTGCCGGCGAAACACTCGTGCTGGCACCTGGTGGTCGAAAACGAGAAAGCCAGAGCGGCGCAGATTCCAGACCACGCCTGGCTGTGCTAATGTGGCGAGATTGCAAGTCGCCGGTCCGTCGTGCTTCGGCTTCGAGGACGGAGTGAGATCTTAGCTGGTGTAGCATAGAAGTGCTGCCGCCCAGAGGAGCGCACGGGTCTGTCCCCAGTATACCGTAGCCAAGAAAACAGTGCCTTTAAGGCAAGTCGAAAGTATATTGACTTGTAGAGATGCAGAGTCAACCACGTGATTTCTTGCTGCTAATCTGGCACCTTTGCCAGGACGATGTTGGACTTCCTCTTCAATTGCTTTGTAGGCATCCGGGCAAGCTTTGAAGCATCAGACGGACACGACAAGGGCGCTGGACATTAACAAGGCAGATCACTTCACTGTTTCGGCCGACGCCATGGGGCTGGACAACAACTTAAATTGGGGATCTTGCTGCCCTTCTCTGTTTACCTTTGCCCCTCTTCGTTTGTCTGTCTCTCCTGCTGCTTGCTCATCGCGTCGCACGAAGCGTGGAACCGTGTAATGACGATTGTTGGATGGCAGGCCTGGGCATTGGCGCCTACAACAGCAGCCACATCAAGCCTTGCTTGGACGACAGCTTCGCCGCGGCGAAGAAGGCGTGCGGCTACTGAGACGCGCTGCCATGCGTTGCCACCACCATCTCCATCAGACGAGTTTCCGACAGCATGCGCCCTTGGTTGAGTCTGGCCCACTGCAAACATTATTCAGACAAGTCCCGTTGGCTTGCAGCCTCTACAGAAACCATGTCGAAACACCAACACAGCTGAGAAACAGGCGCCTACAAGCCGATAAGTCATGGTCAGTATTTATGCCCGCCAAGTTCGGTAACCAAAGCACAGATTGTAACTGCACGTAGCAACCAGCCCGAACCCCATAGCCTGAGTCAATCGTATTGCTCCGAGCGCAATCACACGCTATGAGTCATAAGACATGAGCTCCAGCTGCACGCGTGCTTCCAGCCGTCCCAGTCTCAGCAACTGCGGTCCTCACAATCATGGCCATGAATGCCAGTGGAGAAGAGTGTTGATGATGCTTCCAACGGCTCTTTGCTTAGTTCGAATGGCTGGAGGCCACGGCTCGTGATGGCGTGCCCTGCAGCCCTTCCACTCTCTCCGGCGCTTGCCTTATACTTTGCATGTGGAGGTGCTTTGGTTTGGTTCCTTGCTTCCCTGCCGCTTGCAGTGCCTGATCTCAAGAGGCACATTCAAGATTCGGACACCCGAAAATGGGTCGTTCATAGGAAGGCAAAGGATTATCTGATTTAGTCTAAATCAAGGACTTGCTTTTCAGCTATCGGAAGGGGGTTCCTAACGGCAGCCAGAAGGATCCCTCATCTCAGCGTTTTTGGATAGTTTGGATCCTCAATTATATCTATCGCAGCTTTGTCGTCATGACACAAAGACACACTTGCAGATTTATAATGCGTGTATTTACATGTAAAGTCATGGCATAATCATACAGAATCATACATGTAAATATGAGCATATGTATAGAGAGTTATATGCACATATATGTATATACATATTTTTAGTACATGTGTGCATTTTTTACCACATCTATTCAGATTCATTTGTTTATCTATTTAAGTATTCCTGCACTCACTCACTCACACACGCTCAACGGAGGGATGTTCGACGAGTCTTGCCTGAAATTAAAAGCCCTCTCAGAACAGCCATAAGCCGTGAAGAAGAGCTACAGCGCGAGCACAGCCCACCGGTCATAACAGCTGAACGCCACGCATGGATAGCCCATACAGCGCCAGCACATGGCACGCCTGCCGCTTCGCAAACGTGACAGTCTGTACAAACATCCACACGCTAGCTTCACCGGCTTCCGGTGGTGCCATTGACCTCATCAAGGAACCTCTGCAGCTGGCGTTCAAGATCGCCTGCTGGAGCCACTCCTGGCAACTCTCGCACTTCCTTGTCGCGCTTCAAATCCTCCCTGATCGATGATCTGCCAGACCTCGTCCGACGGAGACTTGTCCACGATGTTGATCTCCAGACGCTTGAGCTCCGTTTTGAAGTTCTTCTGGATTCGAGCGTACTTGACCTCGGCGTGAACGGCCTTCCACCCCAGCTCTTGGTATTTGCTCGCGTACTCCTTGAGAGTCATCAGCGAACTCTAAAGCATGGGATCCTGATTGGCCTTTCTGTCGATCTTCCAAGCTTCGCATTGCGGCGCTCAGTAGAGCGTTAAGTATTCCTGCATACATGCAAATGCTGTAGCCCAGGGAGGCAGTGTAAGATGCTGGATTGATAGGAAGATGCACAAGCGCGCGTGACTTCAGACAAGTACTCTGACTGCATGTAGCCAGCGTGCATGCACAGAATTGCAATACTGGGTGGAGTCAGGTGGGAAAAGCGATGGCAAGCGCTGTACAACAGAACAATCCTATAGAATCCTGCTCGCTTCTCTCTCTCTCTCTCTGTTTGTCTTTGTCCATCTGCCTCTGTCTCCCTCTCTCTCTCTCTCGCCGTGTCCACGTCTCTTCTGTGTGTCTTCGCCAGTCTACGCATCTACCTCTCATTGCATACATGTATGCATGCATTCGTTTTATGCATGTGCATAAGTACATATAAGTACATATGTAAACTTTCTATTGCGCATAACATGTATGTACGTGTGTACGTATGTATATATGTATTCATGTTTGCAGGTACTTACATATACATGTTAAGCGATGTTTGCAAATGCAGACACAGCAAAGTATGACGGAAAACTACTAAGCCTGGCCGAGGAGCGCAGGGCGCGGCCCATGCGGCCCAAACGCAGTGCGAGCTTGAACCGAAGCAGCTTGTCCCTGCATTCCCTGGCCGCAGAGGCAAACTTCCTGCGCTTCCTGCATCTTCATGCCGACTTGTAAGTAGTCCCCGCCACATAGGTCTCTCTCTCTCTGCCTGTTTCAGCGGGCCAGGTTTGCAGGCACATGATTGTACAATCACGTTCGACGGATTCTGGTTATGTCGAATCAGATTCAGATGATGCAGTTGAAGGCAGGGTTCTGGAAGTCAAGCGGACCTTGCTACTTTGCCTTGCTCCCCAATCTGAACTCTGGGCAGCGAGTTGTTGAAGCTGGCTCTCGAATTCTACCATACAAGCAGCTAGCTGTCTCACCTGAAGCTTTCAGGAGGCGCCAGCGCCGGCACCATCGGCTTCGCGCCGGATGACAAAGGCATAGATGCATGGCTAAACATTGAACTGTGGTAAGCGAAGAAGGCAACGGACACCAGTCACCAGTCTCTGTTTTGCACCGCATGATACCCACACTTGCGCAGGGAAGTTGGATGCGAAATCGGAGCCAAATCTCGCTCCATGGTTATCCTCAGGCGGGATGCAGGGCTGCAGTTTTACTCGTCGTTGAGTGCTGCTATGCGCTCGATGGTCAGGACATGTCGGGCTTGTGTGACTGCGCTTCCGAGAGCACGCTGTCCTCAAGAATGCATCTGTGGCCTGGGCAGGGGCCTGAACAAAAAGGTCAAAGTCTCAGAAGCAGAAGCTTTTGGCAGCAGCTTTGGCATGACGTCCATCAAGGCCCAACATCCCCAGACATGAGCCAGTCCAAGCTTGTACAGTATATGTCATTTGCCCGAAGGGACTTGTGCACATGACGAACGAAAAGTGGGTTGGCTCAAAGTATGTTGTTTAGAAAGCATTGTCTAGGGTCGGGCTCGAGACAGAGAGAGCCTGTACAACAGTGCCCTGCAATCTGGCAGCGCGGCAGAACCCCAACAATGCATTCCAAGCCATTTCGGTTGCAAAGGCGAAGCTCTTCTTTAGATATACAAGCTTTTCCGGGTGCTGTCGTTTGGAGTTCGGTCTGAAACATCCGGGAGCACCGTCCATCGCATGCACTTTACCCAAGGCCAAGTAAGGTGTAGTGCCGGGCAGCAGGCAAGAGCCAAAAGAGACGGCGCATGTCGGCGCTTAGCCGATCTTTCCCAGGCCAGTCCGCCGAGTACCGGCCGATGAGGCGAGCGGCCCGTGCCTCGTGGGGGGGCGGGCCCTCAGAAAAGGGTTCGGGTTTCAGGGTTTGGCCAACGCATAGTTTGCACATGTTATGGAATGTGCAGTAGCGCGTCTCGTGCATCATCTTCACTCAGAGAGCGTGCCCCATATGTACACAGGTGTAGATTACTCAACATGGGATGTATGCATGCATGTCTGAATGCATGAATGCATGCACGAATCAATCCACAGATCAATCAACCAACCTATTTATCATTGAGTGTATGATGCGTGAATGTATGCAATCTCGGTTTCCGCCTTCACGATGGTGCGCGTAGGGGTGCGGAGGCTCAGGGTTGTCGCTCCTACTTGTAGATGGACTGTTGTTGGTGCTCCCGGGCACTGGCTTCTTGAGGACATCACTCAATGGGTTGCTGCGAGGTCCACTAGATGCACGTGCATTGGTGAATGGCCCCGAGGCACAACGTCACACAACTGCCAACACCGAAGTACGCTTATGATTTCATTGCGCTTCCTAGTGCAAAGCCCTCACTGCTTCAAGCACGTCTGATTTGTGCAACTCTCGCTGCTCGGTCTGTTGTCAAGGGCCGCATAGCTGTAGAAGAAGCCGTAGCTGATTTGCAGCTGTGGTCCCGAGACATATTGTCCCAGGGCGGAAAGTGGGTGGGCCGACAAAACCCTTGAGGTTTCATGCCGCAGAACCACGCTTCATGTCATCAAATCTGCACAAGTGCTACTATGATTTCATTGCGCTTCCTAGTGCAAAGCCCTCACTGCTTCAAGCACGTCTGATTTGTGCAACTCTCGCTGCTCGGTCTGTTGTCAAGGGCCGCATAGCTGTAGAAGAAGCCGTAGCTGATTTGCAGCTGTGGTCCCGAGACATATTGTCCCATACCCATAGTCAGCATGGCACTGGGTGGAACGCGGGCGGGCGAGAATGAAAGACAGACAGCCAGGTTACTGCAGGCCGAAGTTGGCAATCAAGGCTTTCGCGAAGGATCTGGAGTAAACCTGAGCTCGCTGCGTCAAAAATTTTCCTCCGGACACTCCTGCGAGCTGGACGTGCTGGCGCCTTGTCCGACTGCAAAACCCACCATGACCTGTGCATTGCAAGAAAGAGGCTTTTGGCGCAAACCAGTACAACACAGCAGTGGGTTTTCTCCATGCGGATCCATACTGACACTGGTCTGCTTTGATCAGCTGCACGTGTGGCGACAGCAGGAGTTTGCGAATGCCGGGTGTTTTCCAGAGCTTGGAAGTCAGCGGGTTCTCAAGGTAACCCGGTATCTTGAGCTTCAAGCACTTTCTGATGACCTTCATTGCTCCAAAATACATGTGATTAGCATCTTGCACTTTCTTCTGATCCCCGTCAGAAAGCCCTGAGAAACCAAAAATGTCTTGAGGAGTTCTGCCGCGAAGAGCTCCGGGAAGCTTTGAGTGCCTGGGTGCCCGCCTTGCTGCACTCCAAGTGTTGCAAGGAAGGTCAATGCCAACAGCCTGAAAAGACTGAATATGACTAAGAACTGTATTCCAAACACTCATCTTGGAAAGGTCGTTGCTGGGTGAGTCGACAACATCAATCACGCATGCACTGCCGCCTCGCTCAGCGAAGAAACGTGCACCCTCAGCAAAGCCTCCGAAAAGGCTCAAGAAAGCTTTCCCTTGGAAACACTCCGCATGCGCCGCTGGATATGCTTCGGCAGCTGGCATGTGCCACCGAGGTACCAGCCCTCGAAATTCTGTCTCACTTGCTCTCCAAACGTCCGGAGTCGCACCCCATGCTTGTTCATCACCTGCTGTAAGCGCCCCGGCTTGTCGTAAATCCGAGCACTGCTGTCCGAGGCCCATCTGCCTCTGCGCTGTATGGCTTGGATGGAACGCAGCTTGAGCAAATGATCCCTGCTGGCTCCCCCATGGCGGTTTTGGTATGGGGTGACGGCAAGATCCTCCACATCCAGGATGCTCACTGCCTGTCTCCAAAGCTCCAGGTACTCTCGGGCACTGAAGCTCCACATGTCGGCTTCCTCGCCATCCGCCTTTTTCCGGCGGGTCACGTGGTGCTGCATCGCTCTCTCGAGCCAAGGCGCCCTGGTGTCGTCCAAGATGAGCACCTCGTCGTAGATCCCGGCCTTTGACGATTCGCCCCTCTCTATCGGTGCCACTACCAGTACTGAATGGCTGAAGTCCTGGTTCTTCCGAACGAAATCCTCGGCTTTCATCTTTAGGAGTTCGCCTGGCCGTCCGTAAGTTGAGTAAGTGACCTCGTTGAAGAGTGCCGGCTCGGTGAGTCCTTGCGCCAGGAAAACTCCCGATATGGAGGATTTGATCATCTCGGGCATGGGGAGCCTGGTTTGAGTTGGCGCCATACGTCGCCATCCTTTCAGAGCTTTGCGAAACCTTGGCAAAACCAGTCGCCCCTCCCGGGCGGCTTCGGGTCTCACAAACTCTAGCGCCGCCTGGAGCTTCTGCCCCGATGTACTGCTCTCTCCATCGAGGTACAGGCTGTCGGCGTAGTCGCACAAGGCTGCGTCTAGCTCCCGCTCTCGCTTTATGTCCAGTTGGTGAAACCGGACAAAGTCGTAGAACTTTTCGAGCCTCTGAAAGTAGTCCCTCCTTGTCGGCTCCTTCACACTGTTCAGCTCCAAGATAGATCTCTCCCCCAGCGTCGCCCGCAACTTTTGCGCATACACGCGCTGCCTCTTCCTGGCTCTCTCCCTCTGGGTCCGATGCGCTTTCAGCAGCTTTTTCAGCCCCGCATCGCGTGCAGGCCGCCACTCCGCCTTCATCGACGGAGATCGGCTGCGGGACTTTCGCTTCCTGCTGACTGCCTCCTCGTGTCCAGGACTCTTCATCCGCTGATTGGATCTCTGCACCTCCGACTTGCTGAAAACCGCTACAGTCCTTCGCCCCTCGCCAGGTGCCGCTCTGCCCGCCGCGAGCGGGAAGAGTCCGCGAGTCATCCGGCTGTGTCTCCCACCATCGGCTTGGCTTGTCAGCGACATTCCTTTCTGAAGGCACCCACCGTACATGCAAACGGATTCCAGTCACTAAGGTGTGTGCTGCTATGCGTCGGATGATTCGAAGGACACCGTAATTGCTGCATCTACCCTTCTGAATAGCCAAAACAACTCCCAGATTGTCATTCAGCACGGTGATGCGCTTTCCATGACGACATGTGTCTCGGCACCGATGCTTCACTGCACCAAGAATACTGCGCGCCTCCAGCACGTGTATCGCGTCCCTCATCATAAACGGACTCGCCCAAAGGACGTGCCATCTGTCTGGTGACATCAACTCTTTTCTGATCTCTGGGAAACTAGGGTCCTCGCATAGATCCCCGAAGAGCTCCCCACTGATCTCGGGCCGGACCGTCAGGGGATCCTCAAAGACTAAGCTTGTGTCTAAAGCCGCTGCTCGGGGACCTGGGCGATCAGGCGGGCCTCGATAAAACCTCCACCGTTCATCTTCTCGCCCAACCTCTGCGGCTTCGGCTGCAGACCAGTCACTTTCACACACGCCATAACCCGAGGGACACGCGTCTGTGCAAAGAGCTTGCCCATCCCACGTGGAAAAGATGTCAGCCTGTCCGAGGGGCATCAAACACCTAAAAAGCTCCAGCTCATGTAGAACACTATCCCATAGGCGTCTCCGTTGATGGTAGTGGGTCTGCACAAAAACATAGCTATGTCGTAGTATCCCCATCAGCCCTCTGTGAAGAAGTGCCCTTGATGTCATATGACCAATGATCACCTCGAGCTCTTCTCCCGAAAGTGCCGGCGCGGCCTGACAGGCAAGAAGGGCTCGGTCAAGCCGCCAATCTCGATGAGGTGTCGCCTGCACCTTGCCACAAAGTCCGTCGACTCGCACTCCCAAACTCTCGACAATCTCGCTGCACTCAATAACGTCATGAGTGGCAAGACCATATGAGTGCAGCGCTTCACGAACGAGTGCTTGGTCATGATCCACGATGGCCCTGTGCGTTCCCAAATGGTTGCAATTGTCCGCATAAATCAGCATCGTTGAAGGGTGCCCGCCTGGTACTGATCCAAGAAGTGGAGGTGGCCTCCGATCCCGAACCACAGGTGTGCGTGTAAGTGTACGCCGGGCAATTTCAACATGTGCTTCATGCGCAAGATGGAACGCCCACGAAAAACCCATAGGTAGAACCCTGAGGCAAGGGTGAATCCGGGCACCTGACACATCCAGTAACTGCAAGAGCTCGTCGGGAAGGTCTCCACGCACCTGCCGTAATAAGGCGGGATCGATGGCGGGCAGCGAGAAGTACTCTCCCAAACGCTTGTCGATCCCTAGGCGATAGAAGTAGTCTTTTACGTCCTCCTGTGCCATGAATAAAGGTGCGCCTCCATCGACCTCCAATCTCGTCCACGACTCAACGGAGCCCAGGCATGTTGAAGGCGGCGACCTGAACAAGCGATTTGCCCTGCGGGCATCGATTATCAGCCTCTGACGCTGCTGCTTCTTTGTCACGACAAATACTCCCACTTGTACTCGTGGTTGGTCGGTGAAATACAGCAGGTTGCAATCGATCAGGTCCGATACGAATTCATGATACTTGATGGGGTTGTGTGCAAGTGCCGGATCCACATAACATTCACCCTCCAAACCAACCTCTAGGACGGCCCCTGCCTCCTCGGCGCTAAGCAACATCTCTTCGTCAAAATGCAGAAGGCGATGCCGCTCCCGAGCAGGAAGTATGTCCGCCAGAGTGGCGGGGCTCTGCTGCCCTCGAGGTAACGACAGCCGACTACGATCGTACGACGCTAACTGCCCCGGCAGGTCCCCACTATAGGAAGTCCCTGCCTTCTTGCACAGCAGCTGCCTAAGCGCTGCCTGTGGACTCTCATTTGACTGCGGGGGCACACGCTCACGATGTGCACTCCGAACATGCTGCAGTGCCTTAAGCTGCGACGAATTCAAAGGAGCCGATGGCCACATAGATGGATCGGAGAAACCAGCCAAAGAATTGAGTGCCCAGATAGTGCCCCTCTCTCGCTCCACCAGCGTCCTCCGCCGATGAACCCTTTGCCGAGCACGCCTGGACCCTAAACATCCCAACTCTCCGGCGTAGCCTTTATCAGGAGAAAGAGGTAGAGGGAAAAGGTCCCCAAATCTCGATAAAGGCTGCTTGGAAAAACATTTGGTGCTAAAACTGGGTGGAGTCTCAACTTGGGCACCCTCCAAGCCGAGACTCGTCCCCTGTTCAGGGGGTGCTGCTGTTGTTCTTGCCATCGCCCTTGCCTCCCTTTCCAGGCTTCTCCGGCTTATCGGGCTGCCCAGCACGAAGATGTCGCTTCTCCTCACTGGCCAAACGGTTTTGCTTGAGCACCTCGGCCTTGGCTGCCTGCCGTTTGGCAGCATGCTGAGTCAAAGCTGGATCCACGATCGTGCCGTCCGCGGCGTCCCTCACCCCCAGATACTCCTCCGCGGCCTCGTACGAAGGGGCCTCCGGTCTTCCTTGGTGAGCGATTTCTATAAGCGATCGCCTACGATTCAAAGCCTCAGCCGATGCAAGCGCAGCCACATTCATCTGGTCGTAGCACACCATGTAATTCAGTGCTCTGCAGATGGAACTGTGCTCGTGGACGCTTCGATCGGTGGCTCGCACCCCGCTTTTCCGAAGCCAGCTTTCATGGTGCTGGACCCAATCGAAACCTAGCCTCCTAAGCTGCTTCATGTCACGATGTATGGTCCGAGGACCAGCCAGCGGGAAGTCGTCGAAGTCGACTTCCTCAATCTCGGGCATGGCCTCCGCCAGCGTACGCCAGCGTTCATCTGCAGCATCGTACATGACAGAAAGCACCCGAACATCCTTCTCGGAGGCCTTGGGTTCCCCATCCGGAGCCCCTCTGACCAAGTCACTGAGGTGAGGCGCCCCCTCCATAGAGACGCCCCTCACTAGCAACACAGCTCCACCTCTCGAGAAGAGTTTGTACTCCATCCCTCCGATCTGCATGGCCCTAGGCTCAGCCGGAGGCTCCACCTGATCACCGAGCTTGTCGCCTGAAGAGCTGTAGACAACCACCCAAACCTGATCGGAAGGTTGATCCAACGCCTCAGCTGTACGCCGGTCGATCACAGGATGCCGAACCCCATCATCACCCAGCTTGCCAGTGATCCGCCTGAGAGGTTTGCGAGGCTGCTCGGTATCGGCCTTGCGCACAAACTCCAACAGCTCCTCCCTTGAAAAAGGACCTTCCCCTGAGTGCTTTGCCAAGTAGGTGTCATTCTCAGTTAACCCGGTGGGAAGACGCCCATTGTGCATCCGCTTTATGTCGTCATAGGTCTCCCCGATGGCCAACGTAGTGACAAAAGCTTCCCGGTCTGGTGTGACCACGTAGGCCTCATCCCCTTCCAGCCCTTTAATGACCACCCTGTGATGATAAAGGGCTGGGTCATCCACGTAGCGAACGAGCACGTTGTCGAGCGGCAGCCAACGTGAGGTCATCTCGACCCTCGGCCGGCACCTCGACGGGGTTGTCAAGAAGTCCCCCTGTCAGGTCTCGTCCTCCCGTCAAATCAAGCTCCCCTCGCCGCAACGGCTTCCGAAAAGAGAAGAAGAATCCCAGACAGAGCAAAGCGAACACTGCAGAGGCTCCGCAAAAGATTCCCAGGAAGAAAGCCTCGTGAGTGCTACACCGAGGGATCGCTTTCAACTGCTCCTTGTAAATCGCAATCTCGACCCCACAAGCCGCCAAGGAATGCAACTTTTCGGTACAGTTTCGGGCCTCCGCCTCCCAAAAAGACTGCCTCTGCTCGCAATGCCAACGCGATTCACGAATCGGTCCCTTAAGCTCCGAGCCAGAGTCCTGGCCCCAATGAGCGAATCCGAACCTCAGCGCCTCCACGAAAAGCCCTTGCAGGAGGGAGCGCCAAGCGACCATTGAAGGAAACTACCTACCGACAAAACCCTTGAGGTTTCATGCCGCAGAACCACGCTTCATGTCATCAAATCTGCACAAGTGCTACTATGACGTGTATCCAAGGCGAGCGCCGCACCGAGATCTTCCTTGCGAAGTGGAGGCCGATGCTACTTCTTGAAAGTATACAAAAGGGACGTGTAGACCCTTCTGTGCGTCGGTCCGTACCGGTTCTTGTCGTGAACGCTCTTGGCAGGTCAGCTTGGTGAGGCGAGCACCAGCGAATTTGCCAGGCTCGTTGTACTCGTCCTCGTCAGTCTTAGTAGTAGTAGTAGTAGTAGTAGTAGTAGTAGTAGTAGTAGTAGTAGTAGTAGTAGTAGTAGTAGTAGTACTAGTACTAGTACTAGTACTAGTACTAGTACTAGTAGTAGTAGTAGTAGTAGTAGTAGTAGTAGTAGTCGTGGTGGTAGTAGTAGTAGTAGTAGCAGTAGCAGTAGCAGGAGCAGGAGCAGTAGTCGTCGTCGTAGCCGTAGCCGTAGCCGTAGTAGTCGTCGTCGTAGTCGTAGTCGTAGTAGCAGTTGTAACCGTAAGTAAGTGGTATTTGTCGCAGCAGCAGCAGCAGCAATGGTAGCAGCATGCATGTTTTGTGTAGAAAACCTGGGGAGCTGCGGAATTGGACTTTTCAGGCGTTCAACATGATTCAGCAAGCTCGGAAGCGCTAACGCAAGCACGCACCACACTGATTGCAAATCATCGAAGCCTTAAGAAATAGACGAATGCCAAAAAGCCTGGGAAACGGACTATGAGAGTGAAAGTCTACTACTACTACTACTACTACTACTACTGCTACTGCTACTACTACTACTACTACTACTACTACTACTACTACGACTCCTGCTACTACTACTACTACCACTACTACTACTACTACTACTACTACTACTACTACTACTACTACTACTACTACTATTACTACTGCTACCACTACTACTACTACTACTACTACTACTACTACTACTACTACTACTACTACTACTACTACTACTATTACTACCACTACTACTACTACTACTACTACTACTACTACTACTACAACAACTACTACTACTACTACTACTACTCCTACTGTGCTACTCGTGCCCCTGCTGCTGCTGCTGCTGCTGCTACTACCACTACTACTACGACCACCACTACGACTACTCCTGCTGCTGGTGTGTTTTGGTCAGGAGATCATCGAGACGCCCGTCCTTCGAGTGCCTCTGTGCACGTTGGGAGTCGCTGACACATGCGGTCTGCCATATGGGGGAGGGGGGTTCTAATGTGATTCGTGTGTCAATGGTTCAGTGGTGTGACGGAGGAGAACAAGACGCAGCACCAAATAGATGTTAGTTTTCAGTTCCCTCTTCAGCAGCATGACACTTGTACATATCAGAAAATCAAACGACAAAGCCGAGACAGATCCTAGCTGAAGTTGTGCTGACAGCGTGGAGCTCTTGCATTGAGTGGTGCTGCAATGCTCAGGATGAGCGCAGAATATCCAACACCCTTTAGCTGAATCTGCTTGAAGAGACTTCTTCTGCAAGTATCTGATGCTCTGAATCATGGCAGCTTGTCAGCTTGTCGTCGTGCCGAACGGACTGTGATGTATGGATGTGTCCTTGGATGATCGAGATACTAATTAGATGTCAGAGGATGCGGCTACATCCAACACTTGAAGACAAACATGCGCGTCGACTGAGGAAACCTTGTCGGATCTCTGTAATGGTTGTGTGGGGCCGGATGCTGTTGCGCAGGCTTTTTCTCCAACACCCGTTATCTGAGAGGCCTTGAAATTGCAGGAGCTATTTCTGCGATGCTTCTGGATCTGAGCCTCCCTCAAAGAGTATCTCGAACGGTGCTGGCTGAAGTTGCCCCGTGGAGCTCTTGCATTGATGCTCAGGATGAGCGCAGAATATCCAACACCCTTTAGCTGAATCTGCTTGAAGAGACTTCTTCTGCAAGTATCTGATGCTCTGAATCATGGCAGCTTGTCAGCTTGTCGTCGTGCCGAACGGAACGTGATGTATGGATGTGTCCTTGGATGATCGAGATACTAATTAGATGTCAGAGGATGCGGCTACATCCAACACTTGAAGACAAACATGCGCGTCGACTGAGGAAACCTTGTCGGATCTCTGTAATGGTTGTGTGGGGCCGGATGCTGTTGCGCAGGCCTTTTCTCCAACACCCGTTATCTGAGAGGCCTTGAAGTGGCAGGAGCTATTTCTGCTATGCTTCTGGATCTGAGCCTCCCTCAAAGAGTATCTCGAACGGTGCTGGCTGAAGTTGCCCCGTGGAGCTCTTGCATTGATGCTCAGGATGAGCGCAGAATATCCAACACCCTTTAGCTGAATCTGCTTGAAGAGACTTCTTCTGCAAGTATCTGATGCTCTGAATCATGGCAGCTTGTCAGCTTGTCGTCGTGCCGAACGGAACGTGATGTATGGATGTGTCCTTGGATGATCGAGATACTAATTAGATGTCAGAGGATGCGGCTACATCCAACACTTGAAGACAAACATGCGCGTCGACTGAGGAAACCTTGTCGGATCTCTGTAATGGTTGTGTGGGGCCGGATGCTGTTGCGCAGGCCTTTTCTCCAACACCCGTTATCTGAGAGGCCTTGAAGTGGCAGGAGCTATTTCTGCTATGCTTCTGGATCTGAGCCTCCCTCAAAGAGTATCTCGAACGGTGCTGGCTGAAGTTGCCCCGTGGAGCTCTTGCATTGATGCTCAGGATGAGCGCAGAATATCCAACACCCTTTAGCTGAATCTGCTTGAAGAGACTTCTTCTGCAAGTATCTGATGCTCTGAATCATGGCAGCTTGTCAGCTTGTCGTCGTGCCGAACGGACTGTGATGTATGGATGTGTCCTTGGATGATCGAGATACTAATTAGATGTCAGAGGATGCGGCTACATCCAACACTTGAAGACAAACATGCGCGTCGACTGAGGAAACCTTGTCGGATCTCTGTAATGGTTGTGTGGGGCCGGATGCTGTTGCGCAGGCTTTTTCTCCAACACCCGTTATCTGAGAGGCCTTGAAATTGCAGGAGCTATTTCTGCGATGCTTCTGGATCTGAGCCTCCCTCAAAGAGTATCTCGAACGGTGCTGGCTGAAGTTGCCCCGTGGAGCTCTTGCATTGATGCTCAGGATGAGCGCAGAATATCCAACACCCTTTAGCTGAATCTGCTTGAAGAGACTTCTTCTGCAAGTATCTGATGCTCTGAATCATGGCAGCTTGTCAGCTTGTCGTCGTGCCGAACGGAACGTGATGTATGGATGTGTCCTTGGATGATCGAGATACTAATTAGATGTCAGAGGATGCGGCTACATCCAACACTTGAAGACAAACATGCGCGTCGACTGAGGAAACCTTGTCGGATCTCTGTAATGGTTGTGTGGGGCCGGATGCTGTTGCGCAGGCCTTTTCTCCAACACCCGTTATCTGAGAGGCCTTGAAGTGGCAGGAGCTATTTCTGCTATGCTTCTGGATCTGAGCCTCCCTCAAAGAGTATCTCGAACGGTGCTGGCTGAAGTTGCCCCGTGGAGCTCTTGCATTGATGCTCAGGATGAGCGCAGAATATCCAACACCCTTTAGCTGAATCTGCTTGAAGAGACTTCTTCTGCAAGTATCTGATGCTCTGAATCATGGCAGCTTGTCAGCTTGTCGTCGTGCCGAACGGACTGTGATGTATGGATGTGTCCTTGGATGATCGAGATACTAATTAGATGTCAGAGGATGCGGCTACATCCAACACTTGAAGACAAACATGCGCGTCGACTGAGGAAACCTTGTCGGATCTCTGTAATGGTTGTGTGGGGCCGGATGCTGTTGCGCAGGCTTTTTCTCCAACACCCGTTATCTGAGAGGCCTTGAAATTGCAGGAGCTATTTCTGCGATGCTTCTGGATCTGAGCCTCCCTCAAGAGTGTCTCGAACGGTGCTGGCTGAAGTTGCCCCGTGGAGCTCTTGCATTGATGCTCAGGATGAGCGCAGAATATCCAACACCCTTTAGCTGAATCTGCTTGAAGAGACTTCTTCTGCAAGTATCTGATGCTCTGAATCATGGCAGCTTGTCAGCTTGTCGTCGTGCCGAACGGACTGTGATGTATGGATGTGTCCTTGGATGATCGAGATACTAATTAGATGTCAGAGGATGCGGCTACATCCAACACTTGAAGACAAACATGCGCGTCGACTGAGGAAACCTTGTCGGATCTCTGTAATGGTTGTGTGGGGCCGGATGCTGTTGCGCAGGCTGTTTCTCCAACACCCGTTATCTGAGAGGCCTTGAAGTGTCAGGAGCTATTTCTGCGATGCTTCTGGATCTGAGCCTCCCTCAAAGAGTATCTCGAACGGTGCTGGCTGAAGTTGCCCCGTGGAGCTCTTGCATTGATGCTCAGGATGAGCGCAGAATATCCAACACCCTTTAGCTGAATCTGCTTGAAGAGACTTCTTCTGCAAGTATCTGATGCTCTGAATCATGGCAGCTTGTCAGCTTGTCGTCGTGCCGAACGGACTGTGATGTATGGATGTGTCCTTGGATGATCGAGATACTAATTAGATGTCAGAGGATGCGGCTACATCCAACACTTGAAGACAAACATGCGCGTCGACTGAGGAAACCTTGTCGGATCTCTGTAATGGTTGTGTGGGGGGCCGGATGCTGTTGCGCAGGCTTTTTCTCCAACACCCGTTATCTGAGAGGCCTTGAAATTGCAGGAGCTATTTCTGCGATGCTTCTGGATCTGAGCCTCCCTCAAGAGTGTCTCGAACGGTGCTGGCTGAAGTTGCCCCGTGGAGCTCTTGCATTGATGCTCAGGATGAGCGCAGAATATCCAACACCCTTTAGCTGAATCTGCTTGAAGAGACTTCTTCTGCAAGTATCTGATGCTCTGAATCATGGCAGCTTGTCAGCTTGTCGTCGTGCCGAACGGAACGTGATGTATGGATGTGTCCTTGGATGATCGAGATACTAATTAGATGTCAGAGGATGCGGCTACATCCAACACTTGAAGACAAACATGCGCGTCGACTGAGGAAACCTTGTCGGATCTCTGTAATGGTTGTGTGGGGCCGGATGCTGTTGCGCAGGCCTTTTCTCCAACACCCGTTATCTGAGAGGCCTTGAAGTGGCAGGAGCTATTTCTGCGATGCTTCTGGATCTGAGCCTCCCTCAAAGAGTATCTCGAACGGTGCTGGCTGAAGTTGCCCCGTGGAGCTCTTGCATTGATGCTCAGGATGAGCGCAGAATATCCAACACCCTTTAGCTGAATCTGCTTGAAGAGACTTCTTCTGCAAGTATCTGATGCTCTGAATCATGGCAGCTTGTCAGCTTGTCGTCGTGCCGAACGGAACGTGATGTATGGATGTGTCCTTGGATGATCGAGATACTAATTAGATGTCAGAGGATGCGGCTACATCCAACACTTGAAGACAAACATGCGCGTCGACTGAGGAAACCATGTAGGTCTCTGCATTAGGTGGTGCTGCAATTCTCAGGATGAGGCAGAATATCCAACACCCTTTAGCTGAATCTGCTTGAAGAGACTTCTTCTGCAAGTATCTGATGCTCTGAATCATGTCAGCTTGTGTCGATCTGTCGTCGTGCCGAACGGAACGTGATGTATGGATGTGTCCTGGGATGATCGAGATACTAATTAGATGTCAGAGGATGCGGCTACATCCAACACTTGAAGACAAACATGCGCGTCGACTGAGGAAACCATGTAGGTCTCTGCATTAGGTGGTGCTGCAATTCTCAGGATGAGCGCAGAATATCCAACACCCTTTAGCTGAATCTGCTTGAAGAGACTTCTTCTGCAAGTATCTGATGCTCTGAATCATGTCAGCTTGTCGATCTTGTCGTCGTGCCGAACGGAACGTGATGCATGGATGTTTCCTTGGATGATCGAGATACTAATTAGATGTCAGAGGATGCGGCTACATCCAACACTTGAAGACAAACATGCGCGTCGACTGAGGAAACCATGTAGGTCTCTGCATTAGGTGGTGCTGCAATTCTCAGGATGAGCGCAGAATATCCAACACCCTTTAGCTGAATCTGCTTGAAGAGACTTCTTCTGCAAGTATCTGATGCTCTGAATCATGGCAGCTTGTCAGCTTGTCGATCTTGTCGTCGTGCCGAACGGAACGTGATGCATGGATGTTTCCTTGGATGATCGAGATACTAATTAGATGTCAGAGGATGCGGCTACATCCAACACTTGAAGACAAACATGCGCGTCGACTGAGGAAACCATGTAGGTCTCTGCATTAGGTGGTGCTGCAATTCTCAGGATGAGCGCAGAATATCCAACACCCTTTAGCTGAATCTGCTTGAAGAGACTTCTTCTGCAAGTATCTGATGCTCTGAATCATGGCAGCTTGTCAGCTTGTCGATCTTGTCGTCGTGCCGAACGGAACGTGATGCATGGATGTTTCCTTGGATGATCGAGATACTAATTAGATGTCAGAGGATGCGGCTACATCCAACACTTGAAGACAAACATGCGCGTCGACTGAGGAAACCATGTAGGTCTCTGCATTAGGTGGTGCTGCAATTCTCAGGATGAGCGCAGAATATCCAACACCCTTTAGCTGAATCTGCTTGAAGAGACTTCTTCTGCAAGTATCTGATGCTCTGAATCATGGCAGCTTGTCAGCTTGTCGTCGTGCCGAACGGAACGTGATGTATGGATGTTTCCTTGGATGATCGAGATACTAATTAGATGTCAGAGGATGCGGCTACATCCAACACTTGAAGACAAACATGCGCGTCGACTGAGGAGACCCTGTAAGCACAGGAACAGAACCGCTCATTTGGTTTATTCCCGTCGGTTCCTGAAGCTGGCCGGGAGTTGACAAACTGCCAGGCCTCCGCCCCGGCTGAAGCCTAGCGAGGAGGCGATGTGCGACGTCTGATTTTCTTCAGCTGTGAGCGTCGACGTTGGGATTTAGTACCGCTCGATGCAGGCCAGCACGACTGATCCTTCCAGCCAGGGGTCCAAAGGCCAGAGTGTGGGTTGCGCATTGTCGTGCTCATGTCACGCACAGTCCTGCTGCAGGGGCTCATGCACCTCCGTCCCACCCGCTGTCTGTGTGGAAGAGATAGAGGGCCGACCAGAAGGTAAATAGGATGTGCAATGACTCATCCCTCCGAAGCATCATCTATGTAATCTACGGACAGCAAGACACCTGCAGCCCTGAGCAGGGGCCTCGGATGTCTCCAGCAGAGGCGAAGGCAAGGAAGCCACAGGCCATCTCGAATGTGGTGCACTGTTAAGTGTTCTGCACATTCGGAGGGCTGGCGCGAGTCACCTCGCCGCCTTTGCAAAGATACTTGGGCTCACTGTCAAACACAGCATGAATCAAGTCGTACTCGTGTCTATGAGCGTCATGCCTGCTTCGAGCTTCCGTCCATGGAATCGTAGATATGATATTTGTCGTCGTGGAGTTTGTCTGTTCGAGGCATGAATGAGGCGAAAACTTGGTAAATACATGAGGGCAGGCTTCAAAGTGGTCTTCTTAAGCTCGGCACAGCTCGACCGTGCTGATGCACTGCCAGGCTTTGCTCGCACATGAATCTGGGCTAGAGCTCTAGAGCACTATCAGCAAAGGAGCTCAACTGAAATCAGTTGTTCGTTGTCGTGGCCGCATAGGATCTTGTCACACTTCACAGCATGGATCACAATGCTAGTGACATGTTTTGACATGTTGCAGAAGCAGCAGCAGCGAATATCGAGTTCTTGCCATTGCGGTGTTGCTACAGGAGGGTTCTGTCCGTGCTCCAGAACTGAGAGCACAGCGTCTTTTGCTTCCAGTATGTAAGTAATATCCGCAGGACGATGAAGAGCTGTGTCTCTGTTGCCAGGCCTTGCTGAGGCTAAGGCCACAACCGCAAGCATCGCCGCAAGGGCGGGGGAGCCCAGTGGCAGGAAGTGGCCGCAAACAGACTATGAAGAACAGGTGATACTGCAACACCAAGCGTACTGATTCTGCCAGCGAGCCGCGCTGAAAGACCGCAGAGAGACTCGTGGAATGCCAAAGCAGGGCGGAAAGGTTCAAAGCCCCACGACGGAACTTCAGCTGGGAAGTTTGTAGAACAAGACCACATGGATTTCGACCGAGAGCTCGCGGAAGAACCCGAGAGGCTGGCACTGCCAGGGCTTCCGAGATTCCGAGCGATTCGAAGGCCATAATAGATTCGGGTGGCCTTGCGGAACCTGCTCGTTTCGCGCGCCGTCAGTTTAATCCTTTGAGCCCTTAGCGAAACAAATCTCGAGGCCCCAACATTAGTATCTCACTAAAATCTCCAAAAGAGTTGTTGCCGGAGCTGTCATCACTGCCTGGCTTTAAAAGGTGGCTGCGCGCTTCAGCGACCGGCCGGCGGGCGTCCGGCTCTTGTCTGTGCGAGCACAGGGAAGGAGCTGGTCAAGCCCAAACTGATCCCGACTCAACGTGAAGCTTGGAGCACCTGAACGAGTTCCATCTGGGCAGCCTGGATTACACTTCCTTTCGACGCTCCCGCCAGGTCACCTCGGCATCTACTGCCCTCGAGGACATGTTCATCCAAAGCCCCGATAAAAGGCCGAGAGCCTCAAAGCTGCGAAAGTCCGCGACAGCAGCTTTGCAGCATTGACATCCTCTTCCACAGTGGCCTGTGCAAGGCATCGAAAGGAAGCTCCGATCAGGCCTGCTGAGAGCGTTGCGGAAGACATGATGCAGCTTCACCACACACGCACACGCGAAGCATCGAGCAAGCGCTGAAGCGTGTTCACAGCTGCCTTTGCGGTGCAGACCGCAGAGCATGCGACATGAGGCCGTGCGCTGATGGCATGGCGGGCCGGGCCAGCAACTGCTGGGTCCAGGACGGCAGCCAAGCAAAGAGCCCGGTTCCGATCACTGCAGCTTCTTGTGCTCACTTCGGAGGCAATCTCCCGAAACATGTAGGCCCAATGTAGCCATGGACGTCAAGTGTGGTCAGGAGCCGCGGCCTTCGAAGTGGCAGGGGCCCTCTCCGTCACGGGCCCCAGGAAGAAGAATTTTGTTGACGATGGTCGTTCCCTATTACATCTTCTGTGAAAACTAGAGTAGTCATGCTTCATCAGCTGCAGAAAGTCCTGGCATGTTCTGCAATGCTGAGGGAAGGAAGGGGCCCCAATGCAAGTACAGAGCATTGAGTCCTGAGATCGGCCATGCCTTGCTTGCTGCTCTCTCCAAAAGGATAGTAGAAGCTGTGCTACTGTAGCCTTGATCCTGTGGGACTTCCGAGCTTGTTGCGAGGCCTACCCGCGCTGAAAACCTCTCCCTGCACCGCGGGAGTCAAGCTTTGCCGAGCGGCCAGCAACCAAGCAGAACGGACGGGCCTGTCCTTGGCAGAGTCTATCTGACCTTTCCAGCCATGGGTGCATGCATGGCTGGATGGATGCTGGTGCGTGACCGCCCGCTCATTTGCGTGCACATCGGTGCTAGTGTGTATACATGAACGGCTAAAAGCTGGCAGTTTCTGATATACTGTAACGGGGTTGACATGTTCGTAGATCGCTGTCATCCTCACAGCTCCCCCAGGTCGGATGAGCCTGCGCAAGGCCAGGATGTAGCAGGGCTCCACTGCGATTTTTTTCGTTTGGTCAGTGTTGTCGCTGTCGGAGCTTTTACAAAGATGCAGACTCAATCTGACTGGCGTCCGACATGCTGCGCATCCACCTGTGAGGGCAACACGAGTACCAAGTACTGTTGGATTGATGTTCGGAAAGGCCTCGGGATACCCGCTGCACAGGTTTTCGGGGATGCATTCAGCAGACCGGTGGGAGGGAGTCCTGACTCGGGCAGGAACGGACCACGTCAGCGGCATCTCTGACATGTGGCAGATCGTGGCATCGTGTTGCACATGATGCAAAGTCATGGTCCGACGAACGACACGCACCTGTTCGACTGACACTCGCCAGGATTACGGGCGCGCATACACATTGCGACAAGACACGCCCTGCGCTGGAGTGCGGTGCTGAGCATAAGTATATCATGTTCTGTTTGTTGCTGGACCGCCCATAATAGAGAAAGGGATACTGGGGGAGTGCCACGAGCTTGAATCTGAAGCTGACTGAAGAGAAGCCTAAGCCCTCAACATGCCCTGAACCTGTCAAATCTCCCTAACGTCGAAACAAGTACCCGTTCGCACCATTTTCTCGACAGACCCTATATATATATAATATATATATATATATATACACACACACATCTGTCCATGTGTCTGGTGTGCCGGTTTGGTTTGGGTCGGGCTTGACGTGACGCACTTGTAGGTGTAGCTTCGCTCTTGTAAGCTGTGCTCATTGCAAGCATCCTACAGTATGATTAAACTGTTCCATCGTGGGCGTGGACCGGCTGCCGATGCGGCCGGCGGTTTGCATAGCTTTCTGATCAAGCCGTCCAGCCACATAAACAACAATAGTTGAGTGTGTGCGTGTGTGTTAGCGCACTCTATAACATATATATGTATATGTATACACAGCATGCGTGTGTGTGTGTGTGTGTGTGTGTGTGCGTGTATTGTGCGTATGTGTATATACCTGCTATATATGTATGCGTGCAAATACATATCTATGACATATATATGTATATAGATATGTATGTATATATGTACATGTTCATCATGTAATTACAGTTACACGCATACAGGCCCAAAAACACGGGTGCTTCCATGTCTGCAACTTGCTGAGGTGCCCAGCCCCCATGCCACGCGCCGTGCACCGACTCCGGAGCGCCGGAACGAGGTGCTGCACATGGTCTCTTAGAGCTACTCAAGCCGTGAACCGATGCAGCGTGTTCCACTAAACAGCCATGTTCCCAGCTGTCGTTCATGGGAACTCTTTGCTTGCCGGAATGGCTGCAAACAAAACTTGAATACTGATGCACTAGATGCAATCGCACTTCCACATACGATAGAAGCAACAAAAGTGCGAAACCTCCATGAACTTATGACTGCTGGGGCCGCACCTCCTGCAGGCCCGTGCGAAATGTCTCTACATCACATCGCACAAGGCCGCAGAGAGGTTCTCTTCGAAAGCTTTAAGTGAGACGTGAGTGCCTCTTGGCAGGACTATGGAAACATGTACCAGAAAATGCCGTGAGCGCAACGGCCTTAATGACTTACTGTGCTGTAGGCTGATCCGCCTTTGGGACCGAGCAGGGCCGATGCTTCCCAGACGATGTCTACACAGCAAGCTTTGGGGGAAGATAGAACCTTCTTTGAGTCTCAGACCACATCATCTCGGTCGCAGGCTCACCCTCCATTCCCTAGTGGGCGATCTCCAGGAAACCTGGAAGCGAGCTTGCTTGTGCGAGATTTCGAGACAAAGAAGCAGAACTGCCTTGTCCCGAAACGACTCTCAGGCGCAAGCTCGCTTGCGCGCATCAGATTGCCTCACAAAGGGGAGTGTGCTGTCAATGCCTTTGTGCTATGGGTAGCTGGGTACCTCAGAGTTCCCAGCTTCCGCTGCTGTGAAACAGCATCTTGCGAAATTTGCAATTGGCCCTCCGGTAGAGGATTGCAACGGAGTCACGATCTGCCCTCGACAGGCCTCGCCGTCACAACTGGCTATTTGTCGAAGCTCTCTTTCAGATGTCTAGCAGCTTGCACCCAGAACGCAATAGCATCGAGCTTGTGCAAGTTCACTACTGGCGCATCTCTCACTATTCCTATCTGCCTCTCCATGCATGGGGTCTGGATACGAACCACTGGACTGCTTGACCTGTTGCTTTTGACCAAAGCTTGGGTATCGGTTGGCAGTGCTAGATGTCCTTGTTCTTTGTAAGTACACTTGCTGCCGCTTGTGGCCTCACACAGGGATCTATTCGCCCAGAAGCTGACTCCGTCCCGATTCCTCCACTTCATGCAAACGTTTCTGTCCCGATGGAATTGGTGAGCTGGCAAAAGAATGCGCTGCATGTGCCACCTCTCTCAGTGTCTAAACGCCTAGCTTTATTTGCGGCTCTGGAATTTGTTGCCTATCGGCACTTCCTTGCAAGTACACGTGAGCTGAGTTGAGTTCGGGGTAACACGAAACGGAAAGGCTTGAAGGTGTGAGGAAGTCTTGCTGCGGGGTGGTGGCACATACACAGCATCGAGAAGAAGCAGAAGACGAACAGAGGCAGTCGCGTCAACAGCATTAGTGTTAAGCAGAAGTTTGAATCTGAAAGCACAGGAAAGACTTGCACATACTTGCACCAAATTGCCGGTTGTGCACATGCACAGGTTGGCAAAGAGCTGTTCGAAAAGGCACGCACCTCCCCATCTGCTTGGTTCACGTTTCTAAGATGCTGGTGATGCTGTCGGTGATGACTATGCTTAGGATTGCAATGTGGCTACGGTGATGCAGACGCAGGCCGCGAGGATTAACACGAGGATGGACGGTGGTTGTGGAGCGACTTCGGCCATGATACTGCTTATGCCGATGACGATGATGATGAGGATGACGATGTTGTTGATGATGACAGGAGCATCAAACTACTGTTGTTGTTGATGAGTTCGATGTTCAGCATGCCATTCTGTGCATGGGCAATGCTGGCTTTGGCCTCCTGTCAGCATTCCACAAGTTTTTTTTGTTTTTAGTCTGGCTTGTTTTTCGCTTCTTCATACCTACCTGCATTTGTAGTACAGGATAGTATCGCATAGTATAGCATAGTATTGGTACTACTGTTTGTTGTTGTTGGTTGTCGTTGCGGATTTCTCTGAAGAAATATGTTAATAGTGTTGATACTAATATCTGTTATTGTTAGTGTTATTGGCGTTCTTACTCTTAGTGGTATTGTTCTTGCTGTTCTTGGGGTCTTGTGGTTCATGTTGTTGTTGTTGTTGCTGCTGTTGTTGCTGTTGCTGTTGCTGTTGCTGTTGCTGTTGCTGTTGCTGTTGCTGTTGCTGTTGCTGTTGCTGTTGCTGTTGCTGTTGCTGTTGCTGTTGTTGTTGTTGTTGTTGTTGTTGTTGTTGTTGTTGTTGTTGTTGTTGTTGTTGTTGTTGTTGTTGTTGTTGTTGTTGTTATAAATATCATTGTTATTGTTGCATTGTTGTTCGTCTTGTTGTTGCTGATGGTGTTGGTAGTGGCAGTGCTATCGCGGTGTTCGGTTCTACTACTATCTCTTCACCATGACGACCAAAGATCTTCACGCCGTTGCTGCTGTTGCAATTGTCAGCTTTGCCGGTGGTAGTCCACCCTCTACTTCGGACGGGCCGCAGGAGTTGCAGGGCTTGCATTCCGGGCCGCAGATGCAACCACCTGAAAACACGGTTCTGAATATTCCAGAGTCAAACAATGACTTTCTCGAAATTGCTAGTAATGAACCTGCGAAGACATGTCATGAATCTACGTCCCGCCGTGTGCTCACGCCATCATGGTAAGGCCAAGCAAGCATCACAGACACAGACTGACCATCGCATGGCAGCGTATGGCCAACGCACTGAAAGTTGCACATGCACCGGAGCGTGAGAACGCTGCGGGGCGGAGCACCTCGAATCCAGGGACGATGCTTGCCATGCGGTTCTGTTTGGAAACGGGTTTTAATGCGCCGTCGCCTTTGTCATTGCACTCGGCGAGGTTATGATCCCAAATGCAAGTTTCTAGTTTCACACAAGCTGCAGCACCTAGCATGTCCATATCGCTCAGAGCGCTCAGCGTAAGATTGGGGAGGCCAGGCAAACTCCTTGCCAGCAAGGAGCAAGTAAGCAGAGCTGTAAGACTTTAAATAGCATTGCCTTTCGCTTCTTCTCGCCATGGGTCGGTTCTCGTCCTGGGCGCAGAGCCGTGCAGCTGAGAGCCCCAAAGAGGAAGCCGCGGCCGAGGCTCTCTGGACTCTGGACTGTACAGACAATGCATGTGCGTAGTGTCTTAGCCTCATTTGCGCTCTTGCCTCGAGAGCCGCTCGCAGCGCTTCTGGCTAGCAGGCCGTGCAGGAGAAGCAGCTGTTCATCGTTGAGAACCTGCAGCTCCGCTCCAAGAGCAACGGCATCAGGCAGCTTTCGCCTGGCTTGTCTTGGCAATGATAGCGAGGGCAGCTTCCCAGCTCCATGCGCCACAATCAGATACCGCTGCTCGCCGGACCTGGCTGACAAGCACAGCAAGGTCGCTTTGTTCGGATCCCGTATCAAGGCGCCCCTGCACACCTAATACGAATCGACGGCATTGGCTAGCTGTCACGGTGACTGTGGCGCGGCCCTGTTCAGGGTATTCCGTATGGGGGCTGCTGGATACAGGCAGCTTGCCGAGTGAGAGCATGCCGAACAGGCCTGTAACAGTGATCAGAACCAGACAGCAAGATCGACTTGAGGATCCTTCTAATCGAACGTCAGACCGGAAACTCCCATAGCAAATTCGGCAAAGGTTGGAAGTCGATTTCTGCCAACTCACATTGGCGGGGCAGAGGTCTTACGCCCTGTTGAGGCCCCGATGATCGTTTGTGAATTGTGGGGTGTTCTGGACACTGAGCTGTTTGAACCTCTTGAGTGCATGCTGTTTCTGGAAGGACGGTAGTGCCGAGGGGATCGCCGTAGAGCCTGTCGATGAGGATGTCAAGGATGCCTTGGGTTTCACACGAATAGATGACATTGTCGACTGTTTCTTCCGTCGTTTTTGTCTGGAACCACGGCTCTGCAGGACCAGGACAAGCTGCTCGGGCAAATGCTCTTTGGTCGTTCAGAAGTCGATGCTGGCTACATCGTGACTAGGTTGCCTTCGATGGATTCTATGGGTTGAGTCTCTGGTGTTTGCTGATATAGCCGTAGGCATCACCCAGGATCAGCGACAGCTTGACAAGTCGCCCACGCGACTAGCGCGAACTTTGCTGCTGGGCTGTGAATGCGTTTTTCGGGGATGCGCCTTCTGCAACTTGCAGCTCGATTTCTTCTCAGGATCCGTCCGGAGACCTCCATGACCGATGCGCCAATCTTGTCGGTTGGAGATGGGGCTGTCTACGAGGTTCTGCACCTGTGTATGCAAAGACACGGAAGAAGCCATCAAGCATGTGGCGCAAATGTCTCGCATTCGATGGGTACCAGACTGTCCCCCGTGTGAAGCATGCATGGACCTGAGGTATGATCGAGTTGCAATTCGGTCTGCAGCAAGTACAACCTCCACAACCTTGGAGATCAAACAGACTCGTGGCAGCGTACAGTGTGTCAATGTGTTGCTGTGTGCTCAGTGTGGCTTGGAAAGCCTTGCAACAAAAGTTTGCTGTCCATGCATGTGCTAATCCATCGCCGCTGTGAAGCAACTGTGTTCCAAAGCATAGTTAGCAATGAGTTAACGTGACAACAAACTAGTTACGTGTACTCTCGCACGCATCCACCCTGCGGTCGCCACTGCCACGCCATCCCGGACAAGCTCTCGTCGTGATGACCTCGCATCTCCCCGATTCAGAATCCTTCTACAATCGGAAAGCAAGTGCATGCCACACATAAACCATGAAGAAGCCAGCATGACCCAGGTCTTGCGTCACATACTACCAGCCGAGCTAACACTTGTTCAGTTCAAGATTGCGTCCAAGCCAGATAGCAAGCAACTTCGCTTGCCAAACGCGTGGAAGGATAACATCTCGATTTTAATCGACCGTGTGCTAGTGCGAGGCTTAACGTCAGCCTAGAATGCACCATCCAGCGCCTCGCAAGACTTCGCTGAAGACAAGACCGCCGTCTGAAATGTCATGTCCTGGCTGGAGGAAGGGCGAGACCGTAGAGCTCTTCGAGTGGGATCCTTCACGTAAGTGGCGCCGCTGTGCGGCAGACGCGTCGGCTGCCCAGACAGGTGCGGATCGTGTTGGCAGCCGTGGCTCAGTGGGATTTATGCATGGCTTGGTTTAGTACTTCAATGCTACTCCTCAGGCTCGCAACAACCGCGGGCTGGGTGCTGCTGGACCATCCAGAGTTTGGGCCTTTGGTGCGGCCAAAGGCCCAACAGGGATCTGCCCCTGTTTGAGACCGGACTGGACTCCTGGCTTCCGGAGGGTTCCAGGTAGTAACCAGTTGTGAACTTAGTACAGAGGGATGCTTCGACAGGTCGTCGGGAACCTGCCACCCTCAAATCAACGCCGACCACGTCATACACTTAGAGCATACTACAAGGAAGCGTGCTTTCTTCCTCTAGTGGTGGAAGAGTCCAAGGTGAAGCTACCTATGCTGCTACAGAGATACTACCGCTGTATCCACAAGACAGTAATCTGACAGCTGCAGAGCCACCGCTCTTTAAAAACCCAGAAGTTTTTGCGGCGTGCCGTTTGAAAGCTGCAAGATTTCCCCCCAAGCTCTTCAAGCACACCGAAACGAGGATTGCCATTGTTTGTCATGCAACGATGGTAGTTGATCTGATTATTCTTCATGTACGGTGGTAAGATTACGAATCATAACGAATTACGAAGGCTTCTGAAAACTTCAAGAATCGCTGCTCAGGGGGCTCCGCTCTGCGCCCGACCGCTGGAGCCCTTGTGCGCTGCCGCCTCAGAGGCGCAGCTCGGAGAGCTGAGGCGATTCCTGAACGAAGGAGCTCATAGGGCTATAGGTTGGGTAATAATTCTTTCTAATAATACTAATAATACTCATATACTAATAATACTAATAATTTGGGTATTGCCCCCACTCAGTAACAGTTGGATCATATTCATAGTATAGACATATTAGGACCTTAATACTGTAGTAGCCCTAGTAGAGACTGTTACTGTATGGGGGCAGTACCCAAGCCATAGGCGTCCTGGCTTCTCTGTGGACGAACCGTAGTGACGTAATGAGTATTACAATGTTTGGGGCTTCCGGCCGTTGTTGACAGGTGAAGTGTTGTGCATTCCCGCCTCGGAGAGGTCCCTTTCCGGATCCGGGCTTAGAGGTACGTAAGTAGTACCTGTTCTGCAACGAGTGCGGCTGCCCCCTAACGGCAATCGATTCATTGATTTGCGGACTGCATGTGTGGGGAGGACTTGACCCCCGCGTTTGTGACGCTGGCGGCATTTCTGCGCTCACCCTGGCAGCGTGACGGCCACAGACTCGAGCATGTGAATAGCTACAAGTCCCGACTGCTAGATTCATTGTTGTCACAGATACGATGATGTGCAATCGTGTAGTTGCATGAGCCGGGCTTGAACTTTGCCAGCCAAAGCAAATCTGGTGCTGACGCTCTTGAAGACCCGGCATGCTACGTCGCACTGAGCACCCCCGAAGTCATCAAATGAAATATGCTGCTTGAAAGCACAGACACCATTGCATTGCTCTTGCTGTTCCCTTGCGGCCGAACACTCAGGCAATCAGATGCCAGAGATTGCGCGATTCATCTTATCGAGGCGCGAGGGTCGTGCCATGGCAAAGCGGCCTGATTCCTCCTAACTTTACTAACCGCACATGACGGGGAGGCTGAAGAAAAAAGTGAGCTTCTACCTTGAGCAGTCTCATGCGACAAATACAGTTAAACAGACTGAACTGAAAAGACGAGTCCGCGACGGGACTCGGACTGGGGAGTCTCGGGAGCTGGCAGCTGAGCGTCCAGGCCGGCGCTGTGACCACAGCCGCAGCAGGGGATGCTGCGATCAGGCCGAAACAAGCAAAGATGTGGGATTGTGTTGCGGCAGTTCTGTCTTGAGTTAAGTATACTGGCTATTACTGGCTTCTGAACACGGTCGACTCCACTTGTTGCCAGGAATGCCAGCAGTGCTGGCACTCGAGTCTTGATCCAGGTGCATCTCGAACATGCTTGGGTGAAGCGAAGGCTGTGTATCTAGCTGCTCGCCTGTTGCAGGCGCTTCTGGGTCACATTGTCGAGGATGATGCTGCACTACAGGCGGGGGAAGACTAAGAGAAGGGACGTCCAGATCCTGCTCAGCTGCTCTGACTCTTGCCTTGTCAGGATGCCCTTGGAGATCTCACGTTGGAGGCGCGGCTGGCGGCCGACAGGCTCGGCTCGGCCCGGCTCGGCCCGGCTCCTCGCCTCTCATCGCCTCTCCGAAACCAGGATCCTGGAGCAGCTCTCCGAGGCGGCCGAGGCGGAGGACACGGCAGCGGCCCTTTGTTTTGGGTGCCTTGCGACCGCTGCCGCACGGCTCCGCGCAGGCCCTGCGACGGGTTGGATCCGGACCCGGTGACGCCGAGAGGACGCGAAGATTGTGCTGCAGTCTTGAAGCTCATGCACCCGCCTTCTCGTGGCTCCGATGTCCCGATTTCTGCTTCGCACCGGCTGCACAGCCAAAGCAGTTTGCGCGGGCCTTCCAGGAAAGCCACTTGACCCGAAGACGAAACACGAGTTACAGACATCCTCTCGGACAGGACGCAGCCAGCGGCTGGTGAAGCAACAGCGGTTGAATCAGAAGGCCGGAAGAAGTACTTCCCAGCATGCGGTGTCCCAAATCAAGTGTGGTGGGTGCTCAGCTGGATGCTTGCGGAAGGTCAGCCCAAACTTCCGCGACGGAAGGGGGGAAAGCTCCACGAGGCAGAGCTCTCCTTGATAAAGCAAGCAGTAAGCAGTGGCTGGTACTTGCAACTGCACTCGAGAAGCAGGTGCTTCATAAGGCCGTTGCCGTTCGATACCTTCCATCCACGACAGCGGACATGGCCGCTGCTCCTGGTACAGCCGGCATCTGCTCGTATGCAAAGCAAACACAGCAATGAGGTTGGCACCCGAATCCTGGGTCAGCTTGTCGAGCTCTTCGAGGAGAGCGCATGGTGCCAAGATGAGCCTCATCAACCGCGACTGATTTCGCGTCTGAAGTTTGCGGAAGCTTAGGCAGATGGAAAGTGGCGGAAAATGGAAGATGCAGAAAGTGGTGAAGAGGTCCGGAACCAGTGACAATCCCAGCGACAGCCTGCAAGCTTTCAGCGACATGTTATGGCAAGGGCTGGATGCTTCTGCAGCACCCACAGCTTGCAACTCAGCTGGGCTGCTTGCTTGCGTGCAGCATGTGCAGCCCCTTAGACTGGAACAGAGGGCAGTCCTTGCCAACTCGGTATGCGATGCTCATGGCTTCAAGCGAGAGCTCCGGGTCGCGCCTCATGGGTATGCCTGCAGCAGATGGTCGGGCATTGCGAAACTCAGAATGGATGCGGCAAAGCTCCACCGCCTCGCAACTGCACTCGGTGAAGACTTCTTGTAGGCAGTATCAGCAACTGTAGTGCCCATCTCGAGGTTAGCGTCATGCCGCACAGCCGTTTACTCTTCTGCATTCTGCATGACCTTGCACAAGCTTGAACAGAAATTTGGTTCTCTGTGATCTGTGGTGACCAGTTGCATGCATGCAGCTTGAGGTATTCGTGAGCACAGCGAGAGGGAATGTACCGACTCATCTGGACTGCAATTGGCGTGCTGGCCGACGATGCTGCCCGATGTGAAGCTGATGCAATCTTTAGGAGCAAGACACTTGGCCCCTCGTGCTGCAAGCACCAGCTTGTCAGCTGAGCAGCAGTACATCTCGGCAATGTAGCGACCGGCTACAAACATGATCTCCCTCTACTCTATACTGAAGGTCTGACGGTTGATGCGCGGCGCCTACAGCTTCCACGCCCGCCACCACTCCAAGTAGCTTTTGAGTTCATGGCAGCTCTGGAGAGAGGACTTATGTGCGCTCAGCGTTGGCACTGTTGCATTCCACCTTCGTAGCCTTTTCACAGTCTCGAACGGAGTGTAACCATCACAGAAGCCGTAGCTGCGGCAGTGAGGAGAGATAGCAAACCCAGACGAAGGCCGACAAGCGCGTTCCTGAGGGAATTGAGACTTGTCCTGACGTAAGAGCTTGGCTAAGACAGCACCGGAGCCCAGAAATCGCTGGGAGCCGAGGTCGGGCACTACTGGCTCAGGAATCCCGAGCTAGCTCCCGAGGCCTGTAAGGACAGACAAGGCTCTTGCGGCAATCTGCACTCTGATGCAGGAGATAAGCAAAGAGATCTACCGTAGCTGGGCCACTGGGCTTGACTGCTGCCACTGATTCCATCGCAATGCGAGCTAGCCGAGGCTCAGATAGAGGATCTTTCACGCGAGGCCTTCGAAAGCAGCTCGTCAGTCCAGGAGTTTTGCTACGTCATGTCAGCGTGGTTCGATTTCTAATCACGCGCACCGTGTTGCGGCAGGCAACATCTCTTCACTGCTCCTACTTGGCATCGGTGGCTCGGCGTTGGGCCCACAGCTCTTGTCGGAGGCTGCGCACTTGGAACGAACAGACGGACAGGTTGCGACACTGCGAAGCTGAAGCCCTGAAAGACTCTCCGCACAGGCCTTGGGCCCGGGATTGCGGAGAATCGCTTTCCTGGACAACACGGACCGAGATGGGCTGAAGCCGCGTCTCTCAGCGCTCTTGAGACCCTTTTGAGCCCAGAGGACCCTGACGGCTTCCACACTGTGCTGAGCACCATCGAGCCGGCTTCGACATGGGCTGCCGGGCTGCATGGGAGCATTCTGGGTTTCTGGCTTCGTATCAGCACTGGCAGGTTCTGGTGGCATCCAAGTCCGGTGGAACCGTTGAGACCCGCAATGCCTTGGTTGAAACGAAGGCTCCTTGGCACACGAGCGATACTTAAATGAGAGTCAAAGGCTGAGTCTGCAACTTGCGCCGGGCAAGGCTTTTTTCCTCTCCCATGGCGTGGACTTTGCCTCGAAATCTCTCGCCATTACATGTGCCGGCTCACGTCTGGACCGGTGAGTCTTGGGTGATCTGGTGCATGTTTGATATAAGGTCAGCAATGCAGGACATCCGAAGTGATAGTGTATGATTACGAGTTTGGGGGCAGGACCGGATGGCCTCTGCAGAGCACTGGCGTGGTCGGTGCTTCTGGCGGCACTGGCGGTGACAAGGTTTGAGGTAGCCACGTCTGGTGCAGTGCCCTGCCCAAAGGCTTCATATTTGGGATTTCGTTGGTGGGCGAACCTCCTGGGCCTCTGCAGTGGGCCCCCCGGCACAAAGGCTGGTCACCAGGGCAGTGAAGGTCCGCAAAGGCTGGTCCCCAAGTGGCCTCAGCCCAGGCTTGCTTCCTGCCGCACTTCTGGGAATAGATTGGAGATCTCTCCTCAGGCCGGTAGTTCTGTGCTGGATCTATCACCGACTTCGCAAGCCAATCTGGGTGTGAGCCTTTGCAGCTTCAGGGGTGCAGCCGCCTGCGATGTCGCCACTCGAACCCTGTCGGCAGGGTGCCTCGGCTGCCAAAGACAAGACGAAGGGATTGCTTGTCGTCCTTGGCCTGTCTCATTATCAAGAGTGTGTGGCTGGTCCACTCCTCTCTGCATGGAGCAGTGGATGTTGTCCGGGAAAAGCTGTGCGTGTACTCGCAAATTCGAGTGTGGTTGTGTCAAGCTGTTGCTTGCCGTATAATTTTATGGTCTCTTCCGTCAAGACTCTCTAGGTCCGAGTTTTTGCCCTGTTGCCGGCATCTTTGAGCTGTCAGCCTGCAGGGATTAAGGTGCGGTTTCGTCCTGTTGCTCTCAAGAAGCAGCCCCACGCGGCAATCTGAAGCCTTCGGCTCCTTGAGGAATCCTGCCGTCTTGCTGGCTCGTGCTTGGCAGTCGCTGGCTGGAAGGGCAATGGTGGTGTTGCCATACAGGCCACAGCGGCCACAAAGATTTCGGTAAGCGAAGAAGTTCCCCAAAGTCTGAAAGCACTTGCGCAGGGACCGCCTCCAGCTGTTTGGTCGCTACTTGCAGCAGTTGGTCATGGAATCTCTCGGCAAGGCGCCGGTGCCTTCAAAAGTTTCCTACACTGCGAACTGCGAGAACTGCGAGGCAAGGAACTTGCAAGGGGACATGGTGAACCACGGTCTGACAGTGTACGGGAACAAAGGATCCACGGACCAGCATGCGCCTTGACCACACCGCATCCCTTCTGCCACCGCGACATTTTGCTGTCTCACTTGCCCTCGGAGGCGATTCTGCAGCAGCTTCTGGACGGCCCCGATGATTTCTTTGCCGTATTCATTGCGGCTATTGAGGGGGTCCACGACAATGACAGCAAAGAGGCCTTCCCCTTCCAGCAGTTGCGAGAGAGTTGTACAGTTGTATCTGATCCTATAAAGACGTGTCAGGTCGAAACTGGGATCACCAGCAGCGACTATCTCTTGGCCTTTCTTCTTGGCACACGTCGAGCACTGACCGCCGCAGGGCGCAGGACTGCTCGAGAACTCCAGCCATGAGAATGGTTTCCTCAGAAGCACCGAGACCCATGACTTCCGAGACATTGAAGTGCAAGCGAATATTGCGTTTTCCTATGGCGAGTTCTCGGGCTGCACTGCTGTTGGGTACAGAAGTTCATGTGCCAGTCGGATCCCTCGGATGTAATGGCTTCATGCGAGGAGCCTCACCATCACCTTGCAGCGTGTGGACGCCTTCCATTTAGGGGCACCTCGGTTGAAATGACTGATCATTGAAAACGGCATGCGCATGAAAGTAGCAAGTTGAAGACGCAACGCGACTGTCGAAACCAGGTCCTCATCGCTTTGTTCGAAAGGGCAGTGGGATTGTATGCAGCGCTCATCGGAGAAGCTCGTCGCTAAATCCTGTTGCAGCACTTGGAGCCACCGTGGCTTCGATGCGAAACATGTCGAGGTGAATGCCTACAACCAACCTGCTGTCGAGCTTGGGAAGCAAGCTGCATCAGATGTTCTGACTCTTCTGCGAATGCTCCGAGATAACGACACATTGCCTGTGGATTGGATGCATTGGTGCATGCATGCGCCCATGATCTCCTGAGGGCTGAAGAGCTTTTGTCGGGATGGGGTAGATGGACGCACAGGCAAACATGCAGAAACATCTTGCAGTTCCGCCTGAGGCCAAAGATGCAGACCAAGATGATGTTGAGATACTGCGAGAACACCTTGCATTTCAGCAGGATGTGTGGGAAAAAATGCATCCACATCGCAGAACAATGTGGGAGAGTGTTCGAAGCTGACTCGGTTTTGACTACAACTGTGAGCAGGCTTTCAAGACAATAGAACGGCCTTGTAGATCCGGCGAGACAGTCTTCTCAGGTTGGGCTTGCTGCTCCGTGCGGTCGAAGATGCGCAGCGCTTACTGGTAGGTGTTTGCGAGGCGAGACGTCATTTTTAGGTTCTGAGCAGAGGGCAGGTAATAGGAAGCGATTTCGCCTTGCCTTTATGTGCTGAGGAACGTCTGGAGTGACCGCCGGAGTGTCTGAGCCTCGATGTTCTTCCCTCGCTCGTCCATTGCTAACCATGCCATCACCGACAGGAACAGCTGCCCGCCTGCTGGCAGACCAGATGTGGCTACAGAGCCACTGTCTCACGCCCGGGTCAGCGGAGTAGAGTTCCCGAGGAGGGCTGCAAGTCAGCTGCACCGCTCTGTAGTTGAGGCATATTGATATGTCTGGTTATGCAGAGAAGCTCACCTCTGACCCGACAAGTCTCTCATGCAACAAGTCGTGACAGGCAGTGTTTCGGTTTACCTGCAAGGGAGTTGTGTCCAGCCAGAAATGGAGCGCACCTGCTCATCGGATCTGCGTCGGAGTTCGTCTTGCTTCGACCGTTCGACACGCTGTGCAGGAGGAAGCTGTGAAGACATGTCAGTTGCTTTTGCAGCTAACCAGCATAAGAGTTCCAAGCGGAGCCGAGCTGTACTGGCAGCATCTACCGGTGGATACCAATGGTGTTCTCTTGCATGACAGATTGAGCCGTTCAGATCCCACACGCTCGCAGCTTTCATTGAATCTCCCGATCAAGTCTGCTGTGCCGCTGAGCCGTGCTCCTAATGCAATGGCACTGGCTGATGCTGAGCTCCCTGCTGCAAGGGGGCTTGCAAGGGTTGAAGGTCTGAAGATGGTTCAGTTCTTGTCAGGAGGCTTTGACTTGAGCAAGCATCTCTCTGTATACATCTAAGATCTACACAGACGCGTCGCACACGATGGCAAAAGCCGTGTGCAAGGCACACGCACCGAGGCCTCAGTGCCGCCGAGCAGCTTCGAGGTGAGGCGAAGAGAAGCAATCGAGTAAAGAACGACGAGAAATCATCACCCCCAGCACAATTACTACTTGTACATAAGTTGACGGTGTGCATGAGTGCATGGTAGATAAGTTTCGAGCTTGACTACAAGCCTGGATAGCAGAACCTGGTGAGCATGATGCCTTAGCCCTCGTAGCATTTCAGCAAGCAGTAGAAGAAACAGACAGTAGACATGTTATGTGGGGATGCCTACTGCATAGGCTGCCTGCAGCGTGTGCTCCATGTCGGCTGGAACGCTGCCTGGCAGAGAAATGGCGAGTAGAGATTTCGAGGCTCTTCTCGAACTTGGCACGTATCTGATAAGATGTGTGAGACGGAGCTCAGGTGACGCCCTGCTGGCCAAGTCCTTGGGGCCCATACGTTGCAGGTGCAGTGGGCTGGGCCCAGGGAGTCTCGCCGTCAAGCCCCATCGAGAGTTCTAAGGGTTTGCTGAACAGCCAACTCTATCTTCTTAAGTCGTCTCGTGGTTGTCTCTTCATCAGGTCAAGTTGGAGAAGCTCCCGAACACCCGTCTTGGAGCGATGGTCTGGACGTTTACGACACGGACGGCCAGCACTTGGGAACCAGCACTGCCTGGCAGGCTCAGACTGCTTGGAGATGCCGGGACTTGTTAACTTGGCTCATGTAATTCAAGCAGGCTGCTATGTACTGAATCAAGCTATGGCCGGCGCAGGCTCAAACGTCCTGCCAGTGGCATCGGACTGTGTATGCCGCATCCTCGATCAAGAAGTCGCTGAGCATTCATGTCTCTGGTGGCCAGGGTTTCAAGCCGCGCCTCAGGTGATTCCGCGCTTGCCCGATGGCCGTATACTCTTCCAGAGACGTGCTGACTGGAAGTGGCGGATGGGCGGCTTGTGGGACCTAGGCGAGCGAAGGGCCACACGATAGGATGGCGTGTCTGGCACAGCTTGACGATGCGTAAGTGCACTGCAGCCTCATGAGTGTGATCGTTCGATCGGCTACAGTGCATGGACAGGAATTCAGCCGTTCCTGTTCTGTAGTACTAGTGAGGTTGATATCTTGGGATGACTTTGATGCAATGGCGGTCGGGTCGCATCGCACGCTCCGTGTATTGAATAAATGAAACGCATGACGAATGAGGTCAGGTTGGCAGCTTTATCCATGCGTTCCACTTCGGGCATGACCTCGTGACCGCCTGAAGTCTAGAGTTACACGATTCATGATGTGCGGTTGTTGGTGTGGCCTTCGACACATCACAAGCGGAACATCTGCGAATGCTTCAAATGCTCCAAGGGCATCCCGCCACTGAAGCGTCGCCAACCAAATTTCAACTGCAATGTGAAGATGTCAATGCTAAAACTCGCGGCAATCGGCGGTCCGCTGGTGGTGGGGTGCATTCTGCGAGGGCAGCGAGCTTCAGAATTCAGAGCCTGCATGTCCAACTCCCCGCTGCCGCAAAATCGTTTCTGCAACGTGTCGAGGCCGACCCTTCGCCAACCCTGAAATCGAGATGCTACATGTGTTACCGGCTCAACGCTACGTGTGCCAAAAATCAGTCTTGATGAACAATGGGTTCGTCTCATGTATCTGCTACCTGCGAGCGACGCAGCACGAGCGGCCCGAAGAACAACAGTTCGAGATGAAGGAAAGATCGTGGTGTGCGGCGGAGGGCACCTTCCACGCCCTCCCAAGCCATCCAAGCCTTGGCGAGGTGCCTCGGAGACCGTCGAGCTGGGCGAGGACCTTCAGGCGGCCGCCCAGCGCGCAGTCCACGAGGACTTGTCAGAGAGCGGGATCGCATGATATCGCATGATCGACTCGCGGGGAGGGGTCCGGTCCGTCCGGCTGCTCGCAGGAGCTTGGGAGCCGTGCAGCGCTGCCGGCTCTCATGGAGTGTTGTCGACTCAACACAGGTGCCCGCTGTGCACTGTCGGACAGGGGGATGGACTGTGTGCGGGAGTCTTTAACGTTCTGACACAGACAAAGAAGACTAGTAGCAATCAAGTTTATCGCCGTGCTTGAGCGAGAAGACTGACCGACCTTATGACGAGTTGCTACTTCCGGAGAAGCTGACTGCATATGCATAGGCTGGAGTGGAGCATTGCCAAAGATGCAGCTTTGCCAGCATCTGAGCTGAAAGTAAAGATCCTGGTTGCATGGTCGCAGTCGGGCTACTGTGTGCGGGCAGATGTCAAGGCACTGTTGCAAAATAGTTGATGGGCTTTACCTTCTCGGTCCTCGGTCTGAAAGAACGAGATCATGTGCAGCATAGCACTAGGACTGTTGTGACCGCGGAGGTTAGATCAAAACATCGTCTACACCGCCAAGGGGAGCCTGGGTGCAGATGCGGGCGACCGTGATGAGGAAGTGGATGCACTGGAGTATTGGTCACTTGACGACTACACCAGACAAGCCGAGACTTGGTACTGAAGGTCCGTTTATGCCATATGCATGTGGCACCTGCATGATTTCCAGCCGTGCTGAGTGACTCTCAGGATCTGGACCGCTACAAATTTGCACCCTGGGTGCATGCCCTTATTGTCGGATGTCCACGCTGCTTTGGCGCGGCTGCGACCACTGAGCTTTAGCCAAACAAGCTTTGAGACGCAGCCGTTGCTCAAGGTTGCAGGGTGTGCTCCTGCTCGTCTGAGCTCCTTGTGGGCCAGATCCACACACTGATTCAGATTCGCATGCCCCGCGCAGGCAAAAAAAGCCGTCAAGGGCGAGTGAAGAGCTACACCGATGGCTGCGGACGAAGGTGACCGTGCCGGACAGCCTTGTGCCACACAAGTCAAAGCCAAAGTCCTCAATTGTTTTTCTTCTCGTGAGGTGGGCAGAGCGCTTCGTTCTCCGCAGTGGCTCGTTGACCAAGTTGACGTTGTCAGAAGGTCGGCTGAGCAAGGGTCATGAAAACTGTGACTTTAAAATACCTGTAATAACTTGGCTACGCACAGATGGTTGACAGGCAGGTGCACGTGCAGCTTTCTTCGTCCAGTGTAGAGGATGCATCCCCCGAACACCACCAGCATGCACAGTGCCAACTTGCCGCCCTGGGGTCGACTTAGATGGAACCCTCGGCAATTTCTGTCGAAGTCGTCATGTTTTCCATTCGTCTTGGGGCTTCAAGGCGGCCCTTGTTATGGAGGTGCTCTTACACACAGAGCTGCCTGCAAGTGTAGTTTAGGCGGCGAGTTGCAGAACAGTTGCACACAGAAGGGGCGAGGCTAGGAACCACATGCATCTCGTTGCGTATTTGGGTGTGCTGCAAAAGGAGCGCCGGGTGAATACAGACCAACTTGATTGCTGCCGTCATGGTCAGTGCGATAGCATTTGACCATCTTTCCGGCCTGCACTGCGCGCGGCACTGGCTCAACGTAGCGTCACCGCTCTACCTCCGGCACAGAGTGCGTAAGAGGGGCCGAGCTTGGTGACCGGGCCACCTTATCTATTCCAGTAGCCCTGTCAAGTTAGATTATTTGTGTACTTCGATAAACCATGCAGCCGAAAACAACGTGTGCACTCGGCAATGCGAGGCCCAAAATCCGGAGCAGACACAATCTGCAGTTGCATCTCCTGCAAAGACAAGTCAGCAGCTTTTCAGCAACCCTGTCGACCGTCAACCCCGAAGCGTCGATGCGTCCCAACAGACACAACTACAACCGCTTTCTGCAAAGAAACACTAGTTGCGAGTCATTTGTAGTGTCTATGCCACCCCTAGCTTGGCAAGAGCGCTGATGGCATCCGATCCGTTGGACCAGGAGTGTTGCACTCAGGTGCAAGGCTAAATCACACTCGGAGGATGGTGGAATACAAACAGGGGTTGGGTTCCGTTCGGGAATGAGACAAGGCTGGGCCAGCTGCTGCTCTCCTTGTGCTCAGCCGATGGGTTGGGGCCTTGCGGAGCACTGGGGCCGGGGCTTTTGCGCCAGCAGCCTCGGTCTCGAGATTTCGAGGCCTCAGAGGAGTGCCGCAGAGTCTGCTCTCGAAGGCGGATAAGCACAAGGCTGCCAGGTGTGAGTCTATGCCCGGAAAGTGTAGGTGTGCGGCTGAAGCCTGGCTTTGCCACACGGTCGGCATCTCGTGACCGGCATGGGTGCACTGTCCCATCTCTTGGACCACTCGGGTGAAAGATGCACAAGGCTGGCCGTCTGGGCGGTGCAAGGCCCTGGCTCCCAGGTGGGCGCAGGGTCACATCAGACATCGCAACGACATCCATCGAAGCTGATGTTCAAAATCGCGAGTGCTGTGAGCCATTCGTGGATACTTTTTGCCTTAGGCTGCGTGGCATTGCTTCCGACGTGTCCAGCCATGCAACCTATCGGAAAGCAACCTCCAGGATGCCGTTCCCCTTCGGCAGATGGCCTTGACCATCTTGTACGGCCGGCGCATGATTTCCTTCATCTGCAAGTGACAGCCTCTTTCAGTCCGTGGTCTTGCCAGGAGAAAACTGACGCAGCGCCAGTGGTCCGAGTTGTCGGCACAGGACCAGGAGGCTCTTCGAACGGCCTGAGCCTGAGCCTCACTGGAGACTCGCAGGACAGCAGATAGCACAGCAGCGTCGATGGTGCCGGAGCAAGGCTTTGTTGCCAGGCCTCGGCGAGAAGAACAGCAGCTTGCAAGGCCGCCCATGCCGCGGGGAGAGCGTGCAGAGAGAGTTTGGACTCGTCATAGCCAGGCCTCCTCTTCGCCTGCATCTCCAACGTTCAGGCCGCCGGGCCCTGGCCCGCAGGGGAGCCTAGCCGGGCCTAGCCTGACCCGCTTGGCCCTGGTGGGGGTTGGAGCGTCTGCGGCTCTGTGTTCCGGCTCAGGCGTTGCAAGCACAGCTCTCAGCAGGAATCCTGCAGGGCAACGGAGAACAGGCCGGAGCTGCGTTGCTTTTGCATGTCCGACCCTTGAATAGCCGGACAGCCACGCAGTTGTTTGTGCAGAGGCTGCTGCTTGCGTGGAGTGCACTGTGCTAAGACATGCAGATGCACTCAAACCTAAGCTGGCACGTAAGATCACGCGCTCAGGTGCTGCGGTGTTGCTGGATGACTGCAGCCCGGAGGCGCGCAGCTGTCCTGTGATGTTGCACGCAGGTCAGCGCCGCTTAGTTGGTACAGGGACAGATGGTCAAACTTGCAAGCAGATGTGTCCCTTGATTCTTGATCCGTTCTGAATGGAACACCGCTGCGAATTTGCAAATTCATGTCATCCGCCCGCCTTCTCTACTACTCACCCAGCATCAGTGCAAAGCACAACCAGCCAATGCTGCCATATACGCTTCTGCGTGTCACGGCATGATTCCCACCAGCAACGCTTGCTGTCTGACGGGGATTCCGAGGGCTAAGAGATGAGCCGCGGCGCGTGCAGGGGAAGCGGGGCCAGTTTTAGACCGAAGAGCAGAGCGATTCCGAAGTTGACGGATTCAAGGAACCTTTGGCTGGAACCGGCCCTGCACATTGGTGTTGAAGGGAGTTGTGTACATTACCTCTCTCTGCATACCTTAATACAATAATACTGATACAGCAGTTTTTGTGTGTGTGTGTGTGTTCCGAATAAGCCGGCACCTCGGTCGAGCACTGTTTGCACATGTCTCAAATCTACAGCTGGGGCCTACAGCTAGGGGTCGTTGATGGTCGTTCCAGTCTTTCAACAGCAAGCATTCGACGATGGCGCACCGTCCGGCAACCACCGCCAGTACGGCGGTTGGCAGCGGAGGTGGCTTCTACACTTCAAGCGCCCGGAGATTGCCGGAGATGCCGGTAAGTTATGTTAGGTTTTTGTCCGGTCGTCCTTCGCTGGCTTGACTTCGACATGAAGCGCGGCTTCATGAAGTTGATTCTTCCTTTCTTCCCAAGCACCGCATCACGAGTCACCAGGGATCACTGTTACGATTACTTCTGGAGCCCAGATTCCCAAACTGCACGGGGGTGCACATGGGTATGGAAGAAGGCACAGAGGAGAGCCAATTGGAACATGATGAGCACAAGAAATCCGACCACCTTCACCAGCAGCTGATGTACGATGTGTTCACACAGAGGCTCCGAGGTCACCGTGTGGTTGCGGACCACATGGCCCTCCTGCAGGGTATGAGGCCTGAGCAAAGATTGAAACGAGACAGTGGCCTTGCAAGGGCCCTATGAGGATCATACGGTCCCTGCAGGGCCTTTGTCGCATTCAGAACTGCGGCGGCTTGCTCCCCATACGCTGCTGGAGGCCTTAGTCGAGCTCGTTCCCTGACTTCTGTGTAGCGCTTCGCTCATTGAAAAACGTGGCAAAAGACGAATTGATGGAACCTTCGGCCCGGTGGTGAAGGCTCCCGGCTGTGTGCAAGTCTGCTAGAAGTGTGGCGTTCTCTCCGCACCATCCAGCACCGCTGTCTGCACTCCCAAATTCTGTCCTGCATGGTTGTTGTCAGTTAGTTGTTGTGCTGGGGTGTGGCTCAAAGTTAGATGGTCCCGTCAGCATCTCGTCAGGTGGTGAAGTCCCTGAGCCACCTGCAGGCACGGGGCTCGGGCTGCAGGAGCGTGTGTGCTGTGCGTCGAGGGTCTGCATCGTTGGAGAAGTTGCAAGGCGTTGGCATGCTCCGAGGGTTGCTCATGGACAGAGGCAGGGTCATGTTCCGAGGTCCCATTGCTGCAGCTAGCTTCGTCAGAGGCAAGGAATCTGTGATGCACTGCAGCCTCTGCCACACCATGCCGGGAAGGGAGCAAGGACTCGTTTTGTCGCAGGCATCTGCACCGGAGCTGCGACGAAGCTGTGCCGAGTACCAAGAGTATAGGAGCGGTTGCCGCTTCAGAGGTCTCTGAGCAGTCGAGTCTTCCTTTTCAACCCCCTTTGCCGAGATTCGGGCACACGTGTCGAGTGTCGGGCTCAGCTGGCGATTGCCACAACAGGGCGTCTAGCTTGGAGAAGGGTTTCGATTGGCTTGGGCACTTCTTTCTGCAGGGCCATGCCGCGGCTGTCTTGCACACGTGGTCGGCATGTATCAGGTGCTAGGCAGGGGGAACCGACTAGCTGACTAGCTTTGGGCAATTAGCGTTGAAGCTCCTACTCGTGGGGCGCCCAGACTTCAGTGCGACCTCCGCCGCTCTGGCATGTGAAGCAGATATATTAGCATGAATGAGAGACCAACGGTCATTGGGCATGAAGCATGTTAAGCTGCACTTTTAGACTCTGAAGTATGAGTAACATGCAGCAAATTACTGGAAAAGGACGCGTAAGCACCGCCGACGTTGAACATGCACCATCCGAAGGCATGCCACGAAGGAGACTGCCAAGCTGAAATTGTCGGGGGGGAGCCTTGTCTCCGCCATGCGGATGCGCCTCTCTGCTCCAAGCATGTGGGCTGCCTCGGGCTCGACGTGGCGCAAAGGGCGCCTAGGCCATGGCCTGGTTGCGCTGCTGCTTCTCGCGCTAGGGTGCTTCGCCTAGATCTATGATGCAGCGAATATCTGGGAACAGGGGCGCGGCACACCAGCAGAGAGCAGAGCAGACGATGGCCCAGCGCGCACGCACACAAACCCGCACAGAACGGACAAACAGAGATTGCAAAGGGAAGCCCAAAGCATCCCAAAGCTGCGTGAGAAGCGAGGCATGCTGGGAAGAGCTCAGATGATGATGTGGTTCATAATTCTTCACATGGAGTCCAAGTTCCATCATAATACGATCAGATCATCAGCTTTGCTGCTCTTCTGTGGTGTGCCATGCTGCTGTGCTCCAGCCCGAGGAGCGGCAGTCTGAGCTTCAGCGGCATCTCGATGAAGCGGAGCCAAGTTCGATTAGAGGCCATGGGGAGCCTGGAGACGGAGACAGAGACCATGAGACACCTAAGGGGGAAGTTGCAACCTGCATAGAAGGAGACTCTTGCCATTTCAGAGCCGATCACAGGAAGATGTCGCGAGAGGCATGAAAACAAAGATAGATGTAACTATTGTTCAGCATGTGACAGCGCTGCTCTCCTCCGTCCCTGGCCACAGCATGAGTATTCGTGGATCCTGGTGCGCATGGAGTTTCTGGCAATGTCAACACAGCACGGAAGAAGCATCGGAGGTTGTTCCTTTGCATGAGAGATTTGTTGCGCATTGCTCGCACAGCAGCATACATGCCATCGCTGCAAGAGGTAAAGTCCTGGAATCCTGGCGATGAGCCAGAAGATGCGGACCAGGATTCCAAGGACATTACGAACCAAATTTGCCAATCCGGGCGGAAGAGGCAAGGGCAAGAGCACCAAGCTTCTAGGGGTCCGGGTCCCCAGCCCCAGTCTTCAACGCCCCTTTGGGAGGAATTTCCTGGCGGCCAAGGAGGCCTTCGAGGAGGCTCAGGTGAAGGACGCAATCATGCACCTGGTCTGCGACTTGCTATTAAATTTCCATTCGGGGCGACGGTCTTGACAGCAAAAGTGCAGCTGATACCATGGTGTGGCCGCCAATGTGCCAGCATTACTACTTGCAGCGCGCAGAACAAAGTATAAAGTATAAAGTTCACTTCATACTACGAGACCTTTCTTGAGCCCCCAGCCTCAGTCATAAGAGTCCGCCGAGCCCCAGCAGCCGATTGGAGGCCCCGGAAGCCTCCTACCGTGACACTGAAGCCAAACTAGAGTTGGAATCTGGGATTCTGCAAATACGTGGGTGGGAAGGGATTTGTAATTACGCCGTTCACAGTATGCCGCACAGACGTCACTTCATGTTGCAGCTTCGAGCTGTCTTTCGTATCAAGTTCTTGCTTCAATGGACCAGGTACAGTGCGATCATTGGTGCCCGAGCATGCATTTATACGGCGGTATGAGTCTGATGGATACCGCTCAAGATTTCTCACCCCCTTGTAACGGGCAGGTGCTGCCGCAAACTGCAAGGAATTTGACGAGGGAATGGCCTATTTCGAGGAGATGCTGCCAGCCCGGCTCGAAGCTTCATGAATCAGTGGCTTCTCGTGAGGACATCCAAAGCAGCTCCTTGGAAGCCACCGACAGCGTCTACAGCGCCGTGCTGAAGCTGCTGGGGATTCAAGGAAACTACGAGTCTGCCAGCAGGAGCGCTTCATTCACAGTGTCTTCGACGTCTGTGAGCAGAGCAGACTCGTCCATGCATGTCCATGCCACGTTTCGGGGCGGAGAGTCACCTTGATGTACCTGACAGAGTCAGAAAGGGTCAAAGACAGAGAGACAGTTTCCACAGAATCAGATAGTCAGCCTCGAGGATTTGGCAGGAGATGGTCGACTCAGGGCTGCTAAAGAGATCCTCCCGACAGCAGGGCGACTTAGCTGCGGTACAGCTGGATCCCGATGTTGGCTTCGGAGTTCGTTCGATCACGTGTGGTCGTCTGGGGCCTCGTCATTCCTGTACTGTACAATATCTGACACAGTTCTACCATTGCTGATATTCAGCTAGACTTAAGGCAAGACTATGGAGCCTGGATGTCCGCACACCCCTTCGAAAGGCATTAAATTTCGGACGTGTGCCTGCTTTATGCCCGCAGGCTGCCTTACTGGGCTTCTGAATGCTGCGGCATCTGCAGGACGTTGAGCGGTCCGTCGCAAATGCTGAAAATTCACGCCAACCGCTATATATTTGACAGGAGATGTTGAGCTCGTTCTGAAGGACGGCGTTGCGAGCAGACGGATCCTTGGTTTCCTTTCGAGTGCTTTGTACAAGAATGTCCTTTGGCTGAGTCGAAAGCTGACTGGCAGGACATGGACGCAGCTCAAGCCCAAGGCACTGTCTTGCCCAAGTCAGACAGCGCCAGCAGCAACGTTACTCTAAGAACATGACATTGACAACAAGACGGCTACAGACTCGTAACATCTGCTGCGTTAATGTAGCAGAACATTTGCAAGTCAGGGCGATAGCTCGACTCTCTATCCGCTCAAGATTCAGCTACAAGTCTTGGTCTAAAGTCCCGCATGTTGCTTCGTGATTATCCCGGGTAAGTCACCAGGGCAGGCACAGGTAGCAAAGAGCCCTCGGGAGGCGTCGAGCTCAGCCCGTCGCATTTCGGCTGCCTTCTGAAGGCTTGCCGAGAAAGAAGAGACGCTGAGACTAACTCGCCCGTTGCAGTTTGCAGAGTTGGAGCTTTGTTTGTTCCAACAAGATGTGACAAATACAGTGCTGTGCCGCTGTTGTTTTCACGCGTCTCGAGGAGTCTCAGCCCTGATGCTTGCAGTACGATCCTGATCCAAGGATCTTGAGAATGCCGAGGAGGCACTGAAGCGGATGCGTGACGCAAGCATCCCGACGCTCTGGCGGCAGGTTGTCCAGGCGAGATGTACTTGTCAGTTGAGGAAGCATGTGAGCAGTCGTCTTGCTGAGATGGTGGAGACGACTGGTTGCCATCTTTTGCTCCGTATGGACAGAGACCTTGCGACCATGCCACGCATGACTGCGCCAATCTAAGGGCCAACATTGTCCACTACACCATTTACATGGGAGCATGTGCAAGGTCGGGATCAGCTGTGAGAATCCAGAACGCTTTGGGCTTAAGCTGACGTGCTTACATAGACGGCCCGCAGACACACCTCAGTACAGCACATGGCCGCCAATAGACGCCGCAAATTCAGGGGGTGTCTAGTACTGGTACCATAATCAGTCACACCGCGCCTGCTTTGCATGTGTCAGCCATTTTGATGTACTTGCAGCTCCCAAGCCTAGGAGATCTAAGAGTCTTGATTTGGTGTCCAATGTCTGTAGGTTCGTGGCAGACGAGCAACCTGGCCACGCTGCGGCTGTAGAGCTTGAGCCACTCGGATCCACCTGGACTGGTTCAAAACTTTAGCCGAGCTGTCACGGTTGTTATCTTCGGAAGTTCCGTAGGTTGGGTTCGATATGCGATTTGGCCTTTGTAGCTGCTCTGTTCTCGTAAGTGTGATGCAGCATACTCTTTTGCGTTGCAAGTCTGCCATTCCCACCGAGGCAGAAAGTTCTGTCCATGATGGACGAGGACATGGCTACTGCCTTGGAATTTGGGTGCGGGTGTACAACTGCGATGATCAGCAACTGCCAACCTCACGGATCCCAGGTGAAGCCCAACGATTACTTCCTCGAGGAGCAAGCTGTCTGGTCACGAACCAGTTGTGTTCTCAAGCCTGATGAAGGAGCGAATTCTTCTCCACCTCGGAATTGCTAGTTTGAGGTAGGGCCTTCCGAAGGGCCTGCTGAATACAGATAGGACAGAAGAACACTGAGTGGCAGGGATTGGCTCTACGATGAGGATGCACCGAGGCCGCTGCCTCCGACACGGTCGCGTGCAGTCGTGTGTTGAACTTCTGGCACCGAATCTCTTCACTGCAACGTGTGACAGTCAAATCCTTGAGATACCCACCTAGGCTAGACAGATCTCGCACAAAGCCAGTCTGTCTCGCTGATGTTTAACTCACGGTCAACTCGATTTGGGGCTTCTGCAACGTGGCATTGTGCTGTGGGCTCATGTGATTGGATCACTTTGCTCGATTGATTCCGATGTTGAAATGGTTTGTCCCTTATGCAGTTCCGCTAGTACGGAGCAACCTAGCGCCGCCCGCGAACATCGAATGACCCGTTTTGTGATCCCTCAAGCTCGGTCAGGCCCGGCGACGCGGAGTTGCAGGGAGCAGCACGAGTTCTGGAGGAGGCAGTGCGCCATAAGAGCGCAGTCGTAGTCGTAGCTTCAGCATATTTCTGATTGAATTACACACAAACATAAAGATCCCACCCAGGAAACGTGTAGCTGCCACACTGTGGGGTATGACAGAATGAACTGGAAACCTCTCGGGCTTCGCCACCAAAAGAATTACGGAAGATCTTTACGCGGTCACGTTGTTGACCCTCGGAATATGACTTTGTCTAGCATCACATAAACAGCATAAGCATTTCACAAAATTTGTCGTTGCTCATGTTGGTAGACCACATTTGGGTCTCACCAATGTTTCGTCAGTCGAAGACTGGACCGGAGAACCAGGTCCCCAGTTTGCTTCCTAATAAAAGGATTCCTCGATTGTTTCCGCAAGTTGTGCTTCGAGCGAGGGGTGTTGGGATCTTTGGTTAATCGCAAAGCCGCAAGGTGTCACCCAGGAATGAAGCTGCTAGCTGCGAAGCGTTCGCAATTCAGGAACATTGGCAGTCACGTATACATACCAGTAAACCAGACGCTCGTTGCGACGACAGCGAGAGGTGGCCTTTCGGGAAGCCGGGTGGGTTTCGTTCCCGGAAGATTCAAGCACTGCGTTGATTGCTTCGCTCACTGGCGGTTGAGCATACTTGAGCGTCAGACCTGCAGACAGAATGCAAAAATAACGATTGTGTTACTATAGCAGATGAGGCGAGGTAAACGATGAGGCGAGATAGACGCATCTTTCAGATAGCACTTTCCATCGAAGAATTAGCTGCGAAATGGCGGTGCATTACTTTATCCTGGAAGCTCCGGTCCATCTTTGGATTCCGCACTTGCACCTAGCTCGTGTCTTATTGAGGGTCACATTCCACGGCACTGGCCATTCAGGCGATTGCGGACAACATCCGCCTCACACTGGGACTGCGAGAGCTGAGGCGCCGAAACTGGGTGTTCTCACGGTTTGGGCCCGTCTGCTTTTGACGCGATTCGTTACGCAGCGCACAAGATCTTTCGATAGTACCGATTGTCTTTACTGTTGTGAAAGGTTTGGGCAAACAGTGCACGGGCTGTCATGCAGATGCCATGTTGCAAGTTCGCGGATGAATGCTTCCACGCTCGACTCGAACGCGAGCGTTTGCACTTCAAGGCTTTCGTTTGCATATTGGTCATGCCGTTCTGGTGGATATCCGTTCATTCCTGCCTCTCTCTCTGTACCATCAGGGCTTCAGGCCACCCCGTGACCGATAGCTACCAGTAGCAACTGCAGCCCTGAGGGGAAGTTTCCCATCCCGAAGAAGCTGCAATGAAGTTCTGACGAAGTGTAGCTGGCGCTGACGCTAAAATGGAACGCTCTCGAATCAAGCTGCATGAGATTCGCTACAAAGATCCCTCGTGAAGCCTAGGAAGCTATGTGGTGTCCAACTTGTTGCAATGTTCATGAGAAAATTAACGCTTCGCCGCTTTGCTGTGCACATCGATGCAGGGCGCGCCTCCCTGTTCTGCAAGCAGCATCGGAGCAGGTGGAGTTTGGAGCCTTTACTATTTGGCTTTTGGATGTCTGTGGAAGATCGGAGCGCGTGTCGCAGGCTTACGCACTGCTCAACTCCTAGAGCCTCAGCGCCTCGCTTTGGCCGACTGACCCAGCGACCTATGCGGAAAAATCTTTGAGATGGAGACTTTTCCGACAGGACAGGGCTGTCTGTCCAGCGACTGCGCCTGCGCTCATCTTGAGCTGACATGAGTATATATATATATATATATATATATATAGCCTGTATAGCTTCTGTTCACACCTGAATGCAGCCTGCATTCGTGACCATGACGACTGCCGGATTCATGGATACTGGTGCAAAGGCCGCCACCTCTGTGAAAGCCAATCATCCCAATTGTTTCCACTAGTTGAAGCTTCTGGACAAGCGTTTAGAGATAGATGGGAGCATGTCGTCAGCTGCTCAACCGCGTCTGAAGATGTCTGATGCCGACCCCTGAGCTGAGCGGCTGAGCGGAGCACTGCAGGCATCAGTGAGGTGCTTCAAGAGTCAAGCTCCGTGATTCGGGCTTTGCCCCCCTGTTCGCCCAAGGCTCGGGGCCTTTGTGTTGGTTTGGTTCGGACCGCCTCCTGGCTGGGCAGCGCTGACGCTGCGATCAATGAGCTGGAACGAGGACGCGGTTGGGACAGTTCCAAACGCAAGGCTTTGGAGTGGCAGGCTTGATCATCTGCAGCATGAGAGCATAAATGTCTCTGAAGGAATTTCGCTTTCTGATCTTTACCGATCAGCCCATGTCATACTGGGAAGACGGAGAGAAGATTCCAAACGTGCAGCCCGTGCCCCAGCGCGCAAAATCCAATTCTCCCGATCATGTCCCAGTCGAGCACGATCTCAAGAATGATACTTGTGAGTCCATTGGCCGATGTAGTCAATATGCACCTTGCTTCTAGCAGCACGCCGTCTGGCTCAGGTTCCGATACCTGAATGCTTCAATGTTTTCGCGACTTGCGAGCAGGAGGACTGCTGTCGAAACAAGGCTGGCAGTTATTGGTTATGACTTGAATCGATGGCACTTTCTGTTCACGACATCTTGGCTTTGTTGGGCAGGCTGCAGCACGGTTACAAACTCTGTGACTGGCGAATGGCATACGGAGATGCTTGGCTGACTGGCCAGCACGGCGTGAATAAGGTTTAAATATTCAGCCACGCGACCAGCTGCCGAGCTCCCAGCTCCCGAAAGCTGTGCCTGTTCAGACCGTTTGGTTACGCATATTTTGGTGCACCTGTCTGCCACGAAAAACTTTTCAGTGCTGAAGTGAGCTGCTATGAGCTCACGACCACGAACGATATGATCTGCAGCTTCGTGCTTCCATGAATGCTCGGATGTGATGGGATGGGAGGTCTCCGTACTAGTCGACAAGCGGCAGTCTATGTTTCTGCGACAAATCATATACCCTTGATCACCCAGGAAGCTGAGCCTCGTCCTTTCAGCCAAGCTCCTCTGAATTCTGATGACTAAGGAAATCTTCGCAACATGGCTCCGGCAATTTGACTTCTGGGGCTGGGTGCCTGGGCTTTTCTTGGCTGCACTCTGGATCCTGTAGCCTGTGGCAAGGCTTCAGGCTGCCCTAAACCCTGAGCCCTGCCCGAAACCTAAAAGGGCTCTATAAACCGTGAGCCCGGCAACTTGGGTAATTTGGGGTATACCTCGACCCTACACTTCGGCAGAGTGAAAACAGTGAAACCTAAGGTGGACTTCGACGTGGTGCTTGGCCGCCTGGCCTTTTTTGGCTTCAACTCCTCGGCCCTGGAACGGCGAGACGTTGTTGGGGAGCCGCTTAGTCTTTCAGAATCGGAGTAGCGTCAGCGACAGCCATAGCGACAGCCATGAGCTTTAGATGATTTCTGAAAGGGCCTTCGCACCCGTCCCGGGCACCTTCCAGGAGCCCCCGGGGGCTCCCAGGCTCCTCCAGAAAAAAAGTACGACTCAGCACGATGTTTCGATGTGCCAACAGAACACGAAGCCGCGGCGAACCCCAAAACACTGCGGCGGAAGTAGGGACTTTGGTGACTTCGAGTGACTGCGCGATTCCAGTCTGAAGCACGTTGGAGCTGTGACTGCCACTCAGTTACGGCAGTGCCCAGATTTCGCAGTCGGAATAAGTTCCTGACGCAATTGTGTTTGCACACCGGTCAAGCTTTAGTAGTCACTTCCGCAAGCTGTTACCTGTTGCTCGCTTCCCTTCCGTATTTCGCATAGGTTTGGATGGCCTGCACAGGGCCCACTGACACTACTTCGCAATCGTCCTGACGTGACTCTGGGCAGCAGCTACATTGACAAATTCTGGGGTGGTGCTTCGTGACGGCTCAGGGCCCCTGAGGGTATGTGTGGCAGCAAGGAACCGGCTTTGGAGGAAGCTGCCGGACGTTGCGACAAGGCCGGGCCTGGAAAAGCGGCCGAAATACGCTTGTCGCAAGCCTTCGAACTGGAAGCTTTAGGTATTGGATTAAGCCGAGATGCCACTAAGAGGCGTGCGAGGTGCGTCGAGCAAGGCTTTGTGAGAGATACTGGTTCTGTTACCTGGGGCCAGAGTCTACGGTGAGGTCACTATCAGAAGTCAAGGACACTGGTAATACCTCAGATCCTTCGGTAACTGCTCTATGCCATGCCAGGCTTAAGCGGCATGACATCCAACGTCTCAACGAGCCTTGGCTGAGAACGGTTTGAGAAAGGCCGTGGCTCGTGTTGGGTTGTTGTACTCCCGTTAAGCACATGGCAGCTACTGCTAGGGGCTTGAAGAGAATGCATGGCTAGCGGAGCCTTCAGAACAAGCCCAATGTGATTTCGCATCATAGCAGCTGCTACATCCCCGGTATAGCGTGCTGCTTGATAGGTCTCATCCCCAAGAAGCAAGAAGGGGAACCGGTGGAGTCTTGTTATCATCGCGAGGATCCAGGCTCCTTCACCCTTGCATAAACTCAAGCAAGATCAAGCAAGCAAGACAGAGAAAGCCTAGAGAGATCAGGAGATATGCTGACACATTCTATATGTTCCAAAGCTTGTTCTGCGTTTGCACAAGGAGTGGGCGTTTGGACGCCTGCTGTGGAAATCGTCGCTGGAGCGCCTCCCTCGACCTTTCCCAACACAGTGCCTTAAGCCGCAAAGGTCAACATATGTCAACAGGTTTGAGAAGTGATTCCTCGCTCTGAAGTTTCATGTCAAAGTCAACGTAATTTGCCTGCTTCGGAGTATTGGAAGGCTCTCGGCATCATCTCGCCACGGCGACTCCTGGATGAACTAGGGTCCGGAAGTGAGGAAAGGGGCCGACTCTTTACGGTCCACCAAGAATGCTCGACTCTCTTTTGCGGGGGCATGCCATGGTATAGTGTAGCTTTGTTGCTCGATCTACAATTCATTCGAAGAAACGTGGAGTGGAGGGCACACTTCAAGGGTGCTGGAATAGGGCTGAGCTGAAACCCCTCTTGCTTTCCTTGAGGACGGTGACATCATTTGGTCTGAAGGCTCCTCAGTCGAACTGTCAGCGAATGCAGTGGTTCGCTTTTGATGCAACTTCGACTTTGGCTCGCTTTGGGTCGGTGCAGCCGAGGCCGCCTCTGGCATTTGCCTTCATGCGGCGAGGCAGGCTACCTTCACTTCTCACGCTGGAAGGCGCTCGGAAGCAGAGACTGTGACACGGCTGGAGCTTGCCTCGTGCCCGAGGCTGCTTTCGAAGGCATGACGTCACTGCCAACTGGGCAGGCCTGAGCACAAAACGTAGGGAGAATGTGCTGTCCACTGTCACATCATCCGACAGTATTCGAAGCAGCTGTGAGGCAGTGCAGCTTGGCCCGCGTGGTGCCAAAGAGCCCACAGAAACTGCTTGGGCAAAGCTGGAGCGCTGTCGGCGAACAGAGGCACGCATGCGGCGCAACGTAAGATGAGCGTGGGTGCCCGCTTGCTCCCTGTACTTTGCAATACTGAGCCTACCTGTGCGAGCGGCCTGCTTCGAGTGTTTTGCCAGGCTGGTGCTCGCTTCGCATGGGACTGGGACGAGCGTACCCCGGAGACGGCTTTTTTCGCGAGCAAAAGGGGCAGGATGCGGTTTTGTCGGCTTTTCTGAGGGCCAACATGTGAACACTGCAGTTGAGACATCTGCAGTCCGGTATACAGCGACAGTCGCCGATCTTCTCACTCTCCTCTGGGCACGTGCGAATGCAAAAAGCGCCGAGGCGTCACGTCGCTGCTGGCCTCCGGCTTGGGGGAGGCTGCTACTACCCATGCCTGTGCATCTACATACCACCCATTAGGCACAGACATGCGAGCTTAGCCAAGTGATCCGAGGAACCACCGCAGGATAATTCCTCCCTCCACTAATCAGGACTGGATGTGGCACATGTAGGCTCCCAGTGCACCGAGCACTTCCATCATGTCCAAACCATGCGAGGCTGCTCAGGATGCGGTGCTATCGGCTCTTCCTGCTTGGCTAGCCGTATATGGCAAGCTTTGCGAAGGACTTATGGGCTCCATGAAGCCTACAATCGGGACGAGAAGAGAACACTTATCCAGGCTCTCTCGCTCTCTCTCGCTCTCTACGGCCGATGAATCGTGCTGGTGTTCCTTCAGCTTGCGACCAGAGCGTTTGCTCCTAAGCTTCAAGCCGAGTGGCAAAAGCAGGATGAAGAAGGTGATATGGCTTTGCAAACTCAACGGAAGCATCAACAGAACCAGCCACACTTGTACTCGCAAGGCAGTGCAAGTGCGGAGCCAGAACAGCCTTAATAGAAGAGCTTGCAAAGCACACCCTGCGACCGCTTGTTTGCCATCCTCTTGACTGGCAGCCCGGCCCTTGTACTCACACGCCGAAGCAAAGTCAAGTAAAGCTGAGAGCCAGCAAATTCGGGCTCCGAGGTCGTCAAGGAACATGAGCTCCGAAGATGTCGGAAAGGCAAGGACGCCTAAACTCCTGAACGGCTTCGGCTCTGGAAAGGGCCAACAGCTCTGTAATGTACTGGAAGTGGAGCTGCAACGATTGAGTCTTACAGCCCCTGATTCACTCGTTCCCTGGTGCAGGTGGTGATGTGCGGGCTGCCCAGATGTGGGAAGACGTTGGCACCTCGGTGTCCGGTATGATGGCTTCCCAATCTTGATCTTGGCTGGTACTGCGAAGAGTGCTCGCAGCAAAGCTTCTAGGGTGTGTTTCGGAGGTCTATCAGCAAAGTGGTGCCTGGAACTCAGGGTGAAAACTGTTCGGTGCTTCGTGAGAGCAAGAGAGAGCAAGGCAATGGTTTAGACCTGAACTTTGTAGGATGGTGCAATGTCGTTGCAGTGCTCAGGTTTCAGAAGCTCTCGCCGCACGAATCACTTTTCCTCGAATCTGGCATCAAGTCAGGGCCCGATGAACAGACATACGGAGCATCAACTTCGGCCCTCAACCTTCCGCCATGAAAATCTCTCAGACGCAGCTACAGAAGCTTTACCCGCTGCAGGTTGGAGACGTTCACCATCGTGCACAATGCTCTTCTGCGTTTGAAGGACCCGCTGCCAAGTGCCTGGTGTTACCACAGAGCCAGAATGGCGAAGTGTGCAGTATTGTAAAGTAATGCTTCGCTGTGGTAGCCTGCTTCAGTTCTGTGCAATTCCGACCAGCATGCGAGATAGAACAGCCCCAGACCTGCGGCTCGTAGTGGTGTAGCAAAACAGACCCGCCGTCCATACCTCAGCACCTCACAGCAAAAGCCTGCGCTGGCGGTCAGTTGGTGGACTTCCCTGGCAACCTGCTGCTTGATGACTCTCTCAGCCTTCATCCCTTGGATGCATCCGTTTTCAGCACCTTGTCTGACAAATAGAAGTGTGCGGTTTGGAATGCCATGGCTGGATGGCAAAGTCAGACGCGAGTACATTGACGTTTGATAATTGTGATATTCATCCAATCCACAGGTATAATGCAGGATCTGCAGAGCTGACTAGCAGCTACTACTGTGGTTACTGTGGTTAGGGCTATCGCAAGAAACGAGGAGCCAGCCACAGTGGACCGGTAGTACTTCTGCCAACTCACCTTCTTTGGGGAGAGTGGGTTGCAAGCCTGACGCACAACTGGTATTATCTTGCATACCATGCAGTGTAGTGGACACGCGTACATACACACACGGGCGTAAGCAGGCGCCTATGCACTCGTGCATGCATACGTTGTCCCATGCGTCCATTCATGCGCACCGGCACGCCTGCATGTCTTGACAGTGGCGCTACTAGTATATATAGTACTAGTACGTTAGACGGCAACGTGCTCGGAACTTGACGCGCGCATCAGCTTCAGGCGGGCCCTGTGCGGTCGTGCTCGTGATTGACGTGAGCATCTCAGTCACCGCAGATGAATCTTCCCCCGCTGTGAATGGCTGCAGCTGCGCCGCGCGGACGAGTGCAGCATGTTGGTGTTGTGAAAGATCGCTTTTAGATCCATTGGACTTGCGTTCTTCAGTGAGCAAGCTTCTCTTTTCTCCGTTGCTTTGTCACCTCGAGCGGCCGACGAGCCAAGCCTTTTCTTAGGACAAAAGTGCGCACATGTCCGAGTGATTGCATTGCTGTCAGTTGGCAGCGGAGCCACTTGCTCCTGCGAGATGGCGGCTGACGATGGCCTGGTGGAACTCGATGAATGGCTGGACCACGGAGAGCCTCACGAACAGATTCCCGAGCCTCCAGCTGCACCAAGGCTGCCACCGGGTCTTCAGAACCCCGCATCCGGCGGGAGCAGGCTTCGATCCGAGGAGCAGACTTTGGAACCACCACGCCTGGAAACATCCGAGAGGCGCTGGGTTTGCTTTCGGTGTGAGAGTGAGCAGTTCGAACGAGATGATTCTGGTTGGTTCTGCTTGGCGTGCCTTAGCAGAGACTTCTACGACAGCAGCACGCCGACCCGCCGACCAGGCCCAGCAGGACTTTGGGTGTATGTTCCGCGTGCTGACCCTGAGCCCAATGGTTATGCAGACGAATCGCCGGGAACTCCCTGGCGACCTTCAACCTTGGATGCTTTGACCTCTCCGACTTCGCCGCCGACTCATGCAGCGCGGCGCTCTTTCGGCAGATTCCCTGGGCAAGAGTGGGCCGAGGGACACCATCGAGAGACAGCCGAGTCGGAGACAGCGACGACCGACGCGACAGTGGATCCTGACACACTGGAACCTTTACGACGACCCTCGCGACGACAAAGGCGAGCAGCGGCGGCGGCGGCAGCTTCGGCTGGCGCTGGCGGCGGCCGACCTCGAGCCGGACCTGCGGGACAAGATCGGCCTTCTCCCCAAGGGCCTCCCCGAGGACAGCCACAAGGTCACGATCAGGGAGAAGATCGAGATGGAGACGGCCGCGGCACTTGGCGAGGAAAGCTCCTGAAGGATATGGGAGATCTCTTCGGGAAGAAGGACCGCGGCAGTGACGGTGAATGGTCTTTGTCGAAAGGACCCAAGCCGGGCGTCAAGTACCGAGGTGGAGCCCCGCCGAGCCCACCTACCTGGACATATGCTCGAGAAGACGTCCGGGCTTACGATCGTTATGAAAGAAAAGTTCGGGTCTGGGAAAGGCAGGTTGCATCTTTCATGCCAAAGAACGAGGCGGCGATGATGCTCTACGTCTCCCTGAAGGGCGAGGCGGAAGAAGAATTGGAGTTCATGGACATGGGCGAGATCGACGCGCCCGCTGGCATTGAAAATATCCTGCAAGCTTTGAAAAGACCTTTGCAAACTCGGGCGGTATACCTTAAGCGCAAGTACCTGCATGACTACGAGTACCTGGGAAGGAACAACAACGAATCTATTCGATCTTTCTGCAACAGGTACCACCGCGTCGAGAAGTCCTTGCTGGCGGCCAGGATCGATGTGACCGGGATGTACGATTCAGAGTCGAGGGGCTCACGGCTGCTGGACCGCATGAGGCTTACTTCTGAACAGCAGCGGCTTATACTTGTGGCGACAGGACAGAGCCTCCACTTCGACAGCATCCGCGAGTCAGCTCAACTACAGTTTCCCGAGCACCGTGCCACGCCACCGGTGGCATACCACAGGGAGTTCGAGGGCAACCAAGGGCGATCCCATGGACAGCCCGATGGCGGCCAGCGCGGCGGACCAAAAGGCGGCAAGGACTACGGCAAGGGCCGAGGGCCAAAGGGATACGGCAAAACGAATGGAAAGCCTCATCGGGCTTACGTTGCCGAGGAGGTCCCCGACGACGATGACCAGTACGAGGAGGAGCTCCCTGACATCCCCGAGGAGGAAAATGACGGCCAGCCAGACGACGACGAAGAGCTAGTCCCCGATGACGCGGACCAGGACCCCGAAAGCATCGAGGATATGATGCGCGAAGTGGCGGATTGCTTGACTGTCACAGCAAGGCGCTTGCAGGGCGTCACTCTGGGAAGGAAGTTCTCAGGAGGCGGCAAAGGCAAGACTGTGGACCAGCGCAAGCGCAACACCCACTGCATGGCATGCGGGCAAAAGGGCCACTGGCAGGGAGATGAAGGCTGTCCCAAAGGTGGTGGTCGTGGCTCTTCGGCTTCTTCTTCAGCCAGCCAAGGAGCCGGCAAAGGCGACGGCAAGCCAGACAAGAAGGGAGCAGCACCAAAGAAAGTGTTCACGGTGTTCCACCCCACAGGGATAGATCAAGCCGTTTCCTTCGAAGACGGACAGAGCCAGGACCCCGAGAGCCCCGAGCAGTTCCAAGAGTACGGTTCATATTTCACGACATTTATGACAACTCATGTTGGCCCTCCTCAAGAAGTCTTCCTTAGCCGCCCCGGGGATTATGCTGGATTTGCTGTGCTTGACACCGGTTGCCAAAGAACTTTGTGTAGCAGGTCTTGGTTGGAAGGCCACCGCGAGCAGCTTAGAGCCCACAGCCTCGATGCCAAATTGCGTTCCGAGACCGAGGGCTTCCAGTTTGGTACCGGCCCGATTCAAATCAGCAAAGAGCATGCCTACTTCCCCACATGTCTAGATGGCACGCTGCAAACATGTTCTTTGTTCGGTGCTTCCGTGATGGACGGCGGCAGTCAGGTACCCCTCTTGCTGAGTTTGAGCATGATATCCAGGAAACTCAAAGCCGTCCTGGACTTCCCTAGAGGTGTTGCTTATTTGGGTGTGTTTGGCATAGAGGTTCCCATCGTCATGATTGGTGGTCACATTTGCATGGCACTGAACAAGTTCCCGAAGGGGCACTTTGAACGATGGAAGTTGCTGAGCAGTGTTTTGGATCAAGGAAATCCGGACGCCGAGTTCGTGACGGCCCCTCCTTCCGCGACCTCGCAATCACATGTTTGCGTCGCTGGCACCGCCCCGATGGCTTCAGCAGTGGCGCAAGCTGGTGTTGGTGTTCCTCGGTGCCGAGATGAAGCTCTTCCGCTTCATGTCACAGACGGTTCGCCTTCGACTTCGCCCCCGCTCCTGGTTGACACACCAGGATCCGATGCATCAGCGGTGGACCGACAACTTGATCAACTACCTTCAGATGCCTTGCGAGCATCCTGCATCGATGTTGGCCCGAAGCGGGAACCGCCACGGCCAGTTCCAAAAGTGTTGCCAGTGCGGAACAAGGTGGAAATGGGTGCTCGGAGCGTGGGAAGAGCTGCCATCTGCACCATCGCAGCGGCCGTTGCCTCCCTCTCACACATATGGGGCGAAACGGGAATGGGCAACCCGACTGTTGCCGGGGATGGACGTGCAATGCTCGACGGCATCCTCTTCGGGAAACCGACCGGTGACTGGATTGAAGCCCAAGGCCAAGCCTTTGCATCCTCGCCGGAACGAGCTGGACTTCAACGAGGCCGAGGTTCGTTCTATGCGCCTGGAGGTCGGAGCCCCACCGGCGAACACGAGGATGACGATCAGCAGTGGCAACCTCGAGATGATGGAGGACAGCTATCAGCAAGGGCAAGTAGTGTTGCAGCGGATGAGGGCCGAGGCAGCCAGACGTATCGACGCAGCCAGCAGCAGCGCTGCTCCTCCACCGGCCCCGGCCCCGGCCGAGGCACAGGAGGAGGAAGAGGAGCTGGAGGAGATCGACGACACCCTGAGCATCCTGAGCGACGCCTACGATTGGAGCCTGGTGCCACCTCAGGATTGAAGCGAGGACATCAAACCTGGCTTGTGAGTGAGTTGCGCAAGGCTAAGGAAAACTACACCTTTGAGGTCGAGCAGCACCAGGAGATGCCCTTTTACAAGACCATCCACGGCATGCCAAAGATCGACGTTCTAGAGATCTTCGCGGGCACGGCCGGCATCACCGAGGCGGCGCGGTACTTTGGCCTCACCGCGGTGCAGCCTTTCGACTTTGTCTACGGCCAGGACCTGAATGACAAGGAGCAGGCGAACTTGCTGAGGAGTACGGTGCGAAACTTAAAACCCTTCTGCGTTGTGTGCCGTTGGCCACACAAGAATGCCGGTGACGCACGACACGGCAACCTCAGCGACCTGTACCACCTCGGAGCTTGGGCCTGCCGTGAACAATATCATCATGGTCGTTTCTTTATCGGCGAGCAAGATCCTGGCGGCCGATTCTGGAAACACGAGTGCGCAGCTTCCCTCCTGGACCTCAAGGATGTGAGCAAAACTGTGTGCCATGCCGGCGCCTACGGCAAAGAAGACGATGAAGGATATCCTATGGCACAGCAGCACCAATGGGTCTCCAACAGCCGGGCGGTGCTAGATCGACTTGGCAACACGCTCGACGAGACCCAGCAGCTGTACTGTCAGGACCAGCCCGAAAAGGCCGTGCACCCGCGAGGTTATCCGTGTTTCGGGCTAGTTTCTTCTGTGCTTCAGGGCATCCAAGACGAGGCCCGGCGCAAATTCCCATCACGCTTTCAGCATAAGCCTTTCGATGTGATGTAGGCCCGGCCTGGGAATGATCCCGAAACCTGGAAGCAAGTGCTGAGTGAGATTGAGCAGCGGTTCTCCAACACACATAAGAAGCCCTTCATCCTCAATCCCGGTGACCCTCTTCGTGAAGTACTCAGTCAACTTGTACCATGGCAAATCGAGAGGGTGCAAGCTGCCTGGACACCACAGTCCCGGCGATGGCCTCAAGACATTCCCTTTACGCATCGAGGTGCGGCGTTGATGCTGGCCACCGGTGAGGTTGTGATCGAGTCTGAGGACCTCTCTCAAGTCACATACCCCAAACAACGATTCGCTAAAGCGGTCCGGGTGGCAATCTTATTCTACGGTGTGCCAAACAAAGCGCCAGAGGCCCAGGAACCAGTCACCGACGAGCCCCCGGGACAATCAAGCACGCGGCCCTTGCATGGATTCGATACCGAGCTGTGGTTTGAGGATCCGCCACGGGAGGTGGACAAGAAGCTGCAGTACAGCCTGGCCCGACTCCATGTCAATATGGGTCATCCTTCGCGAGCTGAATTGATCCGAATGCTTGCTGCCAGCGGCAATTTGTCACGGAAAGTGCTGTTGGGGCTCGACTGTTTGAGGTGCGGCAGCTGTCTAAGGATGACAAAACCAAGGCCACCACCGGTGTCTTCAGTGGCACCTCGCTTCACCGGCTACTTCGGTGAGGTGTTGCAGGCTGACCTCGTGTACATCAGGATCATCACCGGCACCGCCGTCCCAGTCATCGGCATCACCTGCGAGGCGACGAACTACCACGCGAGCAAGGCCTTGACGTCACGGAGCCCATCGGAGGTACTTCAGTGTCTTTTGGACATTTGGTATCGTCCTCTAGGGCTTCCTTTGCACTTCAAGTGTGACGCAGGGGGAGAGTTTGCTGCAGATGTTGCTTCATGGCACGGGCGAAGCGGTATCCTGCATGAGGTCATACCGGCCGAAGCCCACCATCGTTTGGGCAAAATCGAGCGCCGAAACAGCCTCATGAGAACGCTCGCCGAGCGCATCATCGACGAGCGGGGCATCCACACCATTGACGAGCTGAACATGGTCTTGCCCGCCGTCACCTTCAGCATGAACAGCAGCACCTACTCCTACGGAAGATCGCCCTTCCAAGCTGTTTTCGGCAGAGTGCCGAGGCCTTTGGGAGACATATCCTCCGACCCAAGGTCACTTGTGCTGTCACCCGAGGCCGGAGAAAAACGGTTGGCACCCGAACTCCTTCGCGCCGAGGCGCTCAAAGCTTTAGCAGAATTCAACTCGAGTTCGGCTATTCGGCGCGCCCTGCTACGAAAGACAAGGCATCAGGATGCCAGTGAGTTCCAAGCAGGGCAACCCATCGCCTACTGGCGTTGGTCTGGACCTTCTCGCCAGCACAAGAAAGGCGCATGGAGCCTAGCGAGATTTCTCTCCCACGACCCGGACAGGAAATCACTGTGGCTGCAATCCGGGAGTACGACTATCAAGGTCGCTGCCAACCAGGTGCGAAGAGCTTGCGGATGGGAGGAATGGTCACCGAGTTCCGAGGACATCAAGATTCTCCGTGACGCAGAACACAGTATGAAAGACGCCATGTGGGAGGATCACACCGAAGAGCCACCTGGTGCTCTTCAAGAAGCCCTCGGCGACCCGAGCGAGAACATACTGCCACCTTCTGAACTATCACCAGAGCTCCAACGACCACAGGACTACTGGAGGTTCACGCAAGACGGTGTTTGTCGAGTTCACGTCTCCCCTCGTCGCGAACTTTACGTACCTCAACCTCACGAGTGCGACTTTGACCTCGACGACCTGGCAGAAACACGCAGGACACACCGCAACGAGGCGCAAGAGCAACTCTCCGAAGATCAATGGCGTGACCCTTTGAGTCACCAATCCTTCGAAGAGCCGTGGACCGGGTCAACGACGTTCTTCTGGAAGCTGGCCCCTGGAGACCAGCCTCAGAGAGCACGTGAGCTACCACGACCTCTACCACCTGCCCCTGTTGAAGTTGTACCACTACCTCAACCTGACGGTGCGGGACAGCGACCACGGACCCACCTCCAACAGCGGCAGCAGACTCGCAGTCCGGGGCCCAGAGACGACGACAGCAGTCGTAGACAGCGACAACGGACTTACGTCCAACAGCAACAGCAGACTCACGTGGGGCCCGTCTATCAGCAGATTGTCGCGCAGGACAACAGATCGACCAGGTACACCTGTGCCACCTACACCGAGGAGTACCAGGAGGGGACGCTCTCGCACACCACAGACAAAAAGGATCACAAGCGGAAGCCGTCAGAGAACTTTGCAGGACAGCGCACAGTACGACAGCGCCCAGTACGACAGCGCACGGTACACTTCACCTGGTTTTAGCCCTGGAGTTCCTGAGACACCTGTGGGCCAAGCGCCGGGGACTCCAGACTACACGGCTCTGCCGCTACAGCAGCCACCGCCTGAGCCAAGCGGTAACGACACGCACGACGAGCACCACGAACTTTTTGACAACTCTGTACAGGAGTCTCAGCCCAGTCTTGCTGAGCAACCCCAAGCCGCAAGTCAAGCTCAAGGTTCGACAGACGCGGCTGCCGAAGAAGAGCCACTACCGACGCTACCTCAGAAGCGACCAGCGGCTGTGCTCGTGACGAACCGCCCGCTGCACTTCGACTACCACGACAACGGCGAGATGACGCTTCGCGACTCTCTCCACGACGGCAGCACCGACGGCATCCCCTTCAGGCGGAACTACTTCTACAAGTGCTACCTGAACAGCAACTACCGCAAGGAGGAGATGACCAAAGCTGGTGTCACCGAGGAGCCCGAAAGAAGCGACGAGTCTTCCGACGACGACAAGCTGAGTGCCTCGAACTCGAGGACCCACAGCCGGAAGGAGCTGAAACAGCTCGACCGGGAGATCCCTTGGCGCCAGCTGACCGACCTTCCGAAGCCACAGTTCGACGCCTACCTTAACGCAACCCGCGTCGAGAACGACAACTGGATGGCTTGGGGTGGGATTCAACCTGTGTCCCACCGAGAGGCAAAGCGCATCATGGGAGACACCAAGCTGGCGCGCCGCATCCTGAAATCGAGAGCGGCATACAGGGACAAGTCGAAAGGCATTGGTCCGCTACGACCCAAATGCAGGGTAGTCATCATCGGCTGTGCGGACCCAGATATCTTTCAGATATCCCGGGATTCCCCGACTCCAACTCGACTTTCGGAATCGCTTCTCATGGCAATCGCCGCGGCCGGCATCAACAAGGAGTTCAATCATACCGGCGAGCGCTGGTACCTGTGGGCTTCCGACGCCAAGTCGGCTTTTCTTCAAGGAGACCAAGACGCCTCAGAACGCGACGGTCCATTGTACATGAGACCGCCCAGAGATCCCTTGATCGAAGCCACAGGAAGTTTTCCAGCTGAACTCTACCTGGTGACAGGAAACTGCTACGGATTGCCGAACGCACCAAGAGTTTGGTACTTGCGTGTGCATAAAACCATGCTCGAGCGAGGCTTCCGGCGGCACACCTTCGACCGCTGCCTTTACTACTACATCGGCAGCGACAAGAAGCTGCAGGCAGTGGTGATAATCCACGTCGACGACTTCTTGGCGACATACAGCGAGAGCTTCCCCCTGCACTTGCTGGAGAGCATGTTCGTTTGGGGAAGCATCACCAAGGTCACGACGGAGAAGTCTGCAGTGTACCGCGGCAAAGAGATCTGCCTTCGTGAAGAAGGCGGACGCTACAAGTACTACGTCACGCAGTCCGAGTTCATCGACGGCATGGAAGGCGGGAAAGTTTCTCGAGGACGCGGACAGCAACCCGTAGCCCTGACAACTGCTGAATGGGCAGACTTCAGGAGCGTAAGTGGGAGCCTGCAGTGGCTCGCAGGACAGACTCGCCCATAGATCGGCCCGTTGGTCTCTCTGAGCAACCGCGGAAAGGAGACTGACTACAAGGACCTCCAGAGACTCTTCGAGGCAGTGGAGTTCCTTAAGCTGACCCCTAAGGACGGCCTTGTCTACCAGGACCTCCCGCTGAACAAGGACTCCTGCTTCGTGACGTACACGGACTCAAGCTTCGCGAACGCAGAGCTCAAGTCGCAGTACGGCGTTCTCGTCTTCCTGAGCCAGTCTAGGGTTACGACAGTGACGACCAAGGGCACCTTGGTGGACTGGAAGTCAGCGAGGTCGGCGAGAGTCTGCAGGTCAACTTTGGCTGCAGAGGCTAGCGCCGCTGACGAGGGCGCAGACAGGGCAAGTTTCGCAAACCTCTGCTTGAGTGAGCTTTTTACGGGACAGCAGGCTCTGAAAGCACCGCCTGTTTTTCCGAACGTTCAGGTGACAGACGCTAAGAGTTTGTACGACACGGTGATCGCTGAAAATCCCGCGGTCAGTGACAAACGTTCCCTGATAAACATCAGGAGCATCCAACAGTGCGTGAAACCCGAGGACTACCGATGGGTCCCGACAAGCCTGATGGCAGCAGACGGGCTCACCAAGTTGGATTGGAAGCTGACGGAAGCTTTGAATCGGTTCCTGAAGGATCCGAGGCTCCAGCTCACCGAGCAAGTCCAAAAACAAAGTAAGACCAGTGTGAAAGATCGCTTTTAGATCCATTGGACTTGCGTTCTTCAGTGAGCAAGCTTCTCTTTTCTCCGTTGCTTTGTCACCTCGAGCGGCCGACGAGCCAAGCCTTTTCTTAGGACAAAAGTGCGCACATGTCCGAGTGATTGCATTGCTGTCAGAGGTGTTGCACCCGCCTTCAGAGGCCCAGCAGGAAGAAGCCTACACGACGAGTGTGACCAGGGCGAGGCGAGTGATAGAGCCCGGGTCTCAGCTGTCAGATGGCGCGTGACTCGCAGAGGTCTTTTGGACGCTGAGGTTCGCCTGCAAACGAAATCCGGATGTCACTTTCGATGTATTGCTGCATAAGGCTATGGGCATGAACATGATAGCGCCGTGTGCTGGAGCAGCAGTTGGCCAAGCCTGCGCAGGTGGACGGTGCCAAGTTCTACACTGACGGCAGAGTCTTCGAGCGAAGTTAGGTGTTGCTTTGCAACAGGCGCAGCATGCTAGTGATTCAAAGCGAAGTAGTGTTGCGCCAGAAGGTGTAGCAACGAGCATGTTGACCATTTCGTTTGCTTGGCATACATTTGGGCAGCCGCTTCCTGTACCTGAACCAGGATTTTCACCTTTCGGCGTGATCATCATGTGTATATCATGTGCATTGAGGCAGAGAGTCTGTAGCTAGTAAACGGGAGTCTGCAGCTAGAGTAAGTCTTCGGCTCCGAGGCAACCAATCATCTGTGTGCGTGTGCGTTTCCGGTTGTGCGTTGTTGTCGCTTAGCTGAGGAAAGGAGGAGTGCAAGAAGGCCGTAGAAGAGAAGCTCACCGAAGACATGTCAGACAAGGTTTGATGCCGAGCTCCGGTGGGTCACGTGGCTTGTCCGTTGTGTGGTGGCAGCAGGAGAAAGCCAGTATCTCCTTCCACTGCACCAGCATCTATGACCACACGGTCTTCGAGGCAGAGCTCAGGAACCAGGTCCGGATCTGGCTTCTAAATGTTCGCGCTGCCAGGCCTTTAGTCAAGTCGTACAGAAGCTGATACCAGAGAAGCCTACCCTGGAGTGCCACCGCCATGTCCTTGCCATCGGCATAAAGATGGGGCTGGTCCGTTCTTGGCACTTCCGTCCCGTCCTGCCTGGACGGGATGCAAACACCTCGGTTGGACCTCACGGCTCACAGGGGATCCCTGATGCTGCCGATGCTGTCTTCTTGTGCCACATGGCAGGCCGCAGGCTGCACACATAGCTGACATTTGATAGCGAAGAGGAATCGCCGATTTAGATATTCCGAAAGCCAAAGCCAACGAAGCGTGGTTGGAAACTGGACGTCTTGCGGGTTGTCGTCGCCTGGTGTTGATGCCCGGCAATTTGCCCTTGCCCCACTTGTCCCCGCCGAAACGCGATGCAGTTGCAGGAAATACTGGTACCTCCCCTCTGGTCTAGCCCAAACCCGCCGAGCTTTCTGAAAGACGGAAAGAGCACAAGAGGAACTGAAATGTGTCGGAATGCCAGGAAGTGTTTGGAAGCGCTCAGTCAGAACACCCGGATGGACTGATTGCTGCCGCTGCTGTGTTTGTCTTTTGTTCAGTCATGAGAAGTCATGCGGCTTCAATGAATCTATCTGCCCCTTGAACTGCGAAGGAGAAGGTCTATCTCTTTGACGTCGTTTCGAAGGCAAAATCACTGAAGGGCACCGATTCAGGGCGTGTACTGGAACTCTACCTAAACTTGTACGGGTTGGGAATGTTTAGGGTGTTGGGTGCAGAGCACAAACCCTGCAGCTCTACTTGGCCGCGGACAAGAGCAATTCGGAGCTCTCCTGGTACGAGCTTTGTGTGCGACCCAGTCTTCCGTGCCAGTCGTGTTGATCCCAAGTACGTAATGATGCTATGTTCGTAGATACCTGGCACTCATACGAGTACGGATACTAACTATTGTGGAGAATAATGCGCACATGCACGCATGCATGCATGCATGCATGCATACATACAGACTCATACATACAGGAAATGTTGAAAGAGCCAATCTGCGGGTATATTTATGACAACTGCACTTGGCCATCATTGAAGGTGCTGACATGGTTGATGTGGTGATTGACATCGCTTGTATCTACGGCAATGGCCCTCGACTCAGGCAGACGCTGGAAATGCTGCCAAATGGAGCACAAACCACCGTCCCCGATTGCGTGATAATCCCGAGCACAGCTTCTTAAAGCAAAGGCAAAGAAACCCGTCTTCATGACACTCGATGTAAACCCGTGTCTAACTCTTAGACACGTTCGTTCATCATCTAATTCCATGGTGGGCTGAAGTGACAACCTTAATGACTCATGCAGGTCGAACACTACGTGTGCGACTTGTAGATTGGGTTACTCTAGGTCCTGCCTTGGGTCCAGTCCAGGGCAGCAGGTAGCCATTCGCCGAAAAAAGGCGGCAAATCGCGAGGCCATGGAAGTGACTGTCGATTCGAACGCCAGCACATGGCGTCCACTCTAAGCAACATCGGCTGGAGATGGCTGTGGCTGCTGCTGGCCTTGCAGCCGTTAAGGGCGCAGCATCCACATGTACACGTGCTGCAGCAGTGGCAGGATATACAGCGTAGGGACTGGGAGCCTCAACAGATCCCAACCCGCCGACCGCAAGCACAAGCTTCCCACTTGCCACCGCGGCTACAGCAGCAACTAGACCCTGGCCAGCAAAGCCTCGACTTGCTGCAGAGAGGGGCTTCAGGTTCCGCGCTTGGACAGCTGGAGCGAAAGAGGCAAGAGCAGCAGCTCCTGCAGCAGCAGCAGGAGCAGAAGGACTTGCGATGAAATGAAGTCGTACGCCTGCAACTGTAGCAGAGCAATGCCACCCCCACCTCTAGCAGTGGCAGACTAGAGGGGGAAGTTCCGGGTTGAGGCTTGTTGCCTTGTTGCTTGGATCGCTCAACATGACACATGCAGGACCAGCTGAAGGAGCTCCAAAGCGCTCTGCCAGAGCGTACAGGTCGTATTGGCCTGGCCCACTTGGCTCGAGTGCATGGCCTTTCCTCTCAAGGCCGCTTCACCGAAGCCAAGGCTGCTTTGGCAAGCGCCTGGAAACAACATGGGCCGAGCATTGGAGAGGCGGTGCTGCACCAAGAGGTGCACAGGAAGCCCGGAAACTAGTCTCAGATAGTCTCAAGCTGAGCTGATTTATTGAATTCGAACGGACTGCATCCTGTCAGGTGGAGGACCTCCGCTGGCGCATGGGCCTGCCACCTCTGTCCGACTGCTCCATGGGTCCTAGCGACTGGCTCCTTGGCGCGCCTGATGCCCAAGCCTGCTTGGGCCGTGATTGCTCCAGCATCGACTTCCTCAAATTTGACACGAGGACGATTTTTTTCTTCATCGTGTCGGTGGCCGCAGCTTCTGCTTTGGGAGCTTTCGGCTTGACTTACACATGGACTCGTACAGAAGATCAGTCGGATGAGCTGCCAGAATGGCCGCAAGGCCCAGCAAGGAACGACGGAGTATGGACTCTTCAGCCACAATGGCAAGAGCCGTTAGAGGCTGATAACCCCCGGACCTACCATGAGGATGCAGAGGCAGAGATTGAAGCGGCGAATGAAGCCGCGGCAACGGCTCGAGACCCTGACAGTGTGTTCGAAAGTGGGCTGGACAGCTTTCTTGGCGAGGAGTTCGAACCTCTTGCCCTCGCTAGCGAGCATGTGTCAACGCCAGAGCCGAGCCCACCTCAGAACGCCGCAGTGGTTGGACTTACAGTTGCACCCATGCACCTGCCCCTGCCGGCTGCAAGTACGCCTCCTTTGCACCCTCAACCAAGTGTTCCCACAGGGGCTTTGCAGATTCCACTGAATCGTTTGCTGCCGCCTCTGCCATTGCCGGACACGAGTGCAGCACGTGCCCGTGCACACAGTGAGGAATTGGATTTGGATGGCAGGGTGCGTTCCTTTCCTGCTACCCCGGAGTGGTCAAACGTTTGGTTCGCTGGGCCCGAGGGGCCCCGGCGTGCGCTGACAGAGTCGCAGCTGATTCCAAGCATGGCATCAGGCTTCCCCGGCTCTGGCGCTACAGCGGCGGGATGGCCCAGGCAAATCTCGCACTCGCACATACACGAGCCAGTTGAGGCCAGCCTGGCACTGCATCACAGTCTCAATCAATCTCCTGCTGCTTGTTTATCTGGACTCATATAGAGGTCTAACTAGGAATATCTCTGTGATTGAACCTCCTTGTAGTGCCTCACCCTGGTGCTAGAGCAAGCTTGGGCCAGGAGTTGCACGAACGACCCGAAAGGGAGAGTGAGTTGCACCGCGGTGTCATGAACTCAGTGCAGCAGCTTCTGGAAGACGAAGCCCCAGAATGGGCTGGGCCGGCCGATCCGGTTGTACAGAGCTCTCAATGGGGCTTCTCCTGTCCAGGACGTTGGGCTGATGCCGTTGCAGAGGATGTCTACGACCCAGAGACCGCATGGTTTGAGCCACAGCGAAGCAGTTCCGTTGGCCACGCTGTGGAGCCGAAGCAGCGCTCCAGGAGAAGGTCCAAGAGACACAAGCAGACTGCGCCAGAGCACACGGGGCCCTTGGGTGGTGAGTCGACAGAGTCGACGATAAGAGTCCTTCAGTTGGAACAGCTACTGATGCTGGACGAGCGCATTCCAAGCTTCCAGGAGCCAGCCCCAGCTCCGGTGGGCAAGCAGCCACGCCGAGCCACCTCCCAACCCCCCATGTCTGCGAAAGCAAAGCCTCAATCTCGACCACGCCCGCAGAAGGATCCCAAGGCCAAGGCTCGCGCCCCCCTACAGGCACAATCTCAGAGGAGGCCCTCCAAGCAATCCCAGCAGTCACAGCTTGAGACTCAGGGAAGAGAAGCTCAGCGCCGACCCGGCAATCCCAAAGCCAGCAAAGCCGATGGCTGGCGGCCGGGTCGAGAGTCCGAGTGGTCAAGGCATGTCACACATGCCCGGTCCCCTGAGGGTCCCAACCCAGAGGCTGTGCCCCAAGATCTCGCAGCCCTGGCACCAGAACATGTCGGACAAGAGCGGCCACAAGCAAGGCCCAACAGCGAAGCTCGAGGCTCGCGTTCGCATCCAATTCGAAATCAGGTAGACAGCCGGAGGCGTCCCCGTTCAAGGCCAAAGATGCCGACGTTGAGCGCGCTGCCACAGCGCAGCGGCCGAGCTTGGCGTGCAGGGCGCCGGTCCTCCGAGTCAGACCCAGCCGCAGGTCCTTTGACAGCGGGCCACGGCGAAGAAAGAGTGCCGTGCACTAGCCGTACAGTAGCCTTCTGCAGGCTCTTCTACTCGTGCCATCATGCCATGTCTTGCCCTGCAAAGGCTTGGAGGACAACAAGGATGCTGGATGCGAATTCCAGTTGCACAACGGCGCCGTCCTGGTCCTGAGGGAGGCATCGGAATTGAAGCAAGCCCTACCTGCAGTCTACCGTGCCACCATTGATTGATCAACACATTCACGCTCGAACGATAGTGGTTTTCTGTGTGTCGCGGCAGAGACGAGTCTGTTTGCCGTGGGGGCTGTTTTGTGTCGATGTGGCACACTGCATACACGGACATAGGGCAGCGAAGCAGGGGAAGAGGTTCTGTTGAGGCCGTTTGAAAGTTGCCTGGTGTTGCCGAATCCAGGTCGGCCACTGCTTGGCACTGGTTTGTGTCTTCCAAGGACCCGCATTCTTCGCAGTGTCGGGGCATAAGATTTCCCAGAGTGTAGTATTTGCGCGGGTGACGTGTTGATCCTTGACCTGCTTCTGGGGAGTGATGTGTGCGTGTGGAAACAAGGAGATGATGCCTGCTTCGATCGCCAAGAGCTGTTGGAGCATAACGTGGAGGTCTTCAAGGAGGTCCGCTGCTCCGCGCTACAGGCATCGAATTTCTCGATTTTCTTTGTGCAGCCTCGGGTAATGGGTGGTATTTTGTTTCATGTGACAGCACACAGAGACGGGAAGCACGAAGCAAGAGGCATTGAATAAAATCTGCCCGGTGCATCTTCCAAAGCCGCGACCTCAGCTCGCAGCATTGACATTCGGAAGCTGTGCATGTTGAAACAACAGCAGTGACCGCACGTCTCCGACATGGACTACAGTGGTACCCGTAGCCAACACTAGATTAGATTCCACTGCTCCTCTCGACTTCGAGGCGGGGTTGGCGCTAAACCGGCCGCTGCACCGCGAGGCCAGGCCTGGGGTCTCTTGTCCTTGTTTTTCAAACTCCTTCGGAGACTCGATGTGTCGGAAGGAGGCGCAGTGGAAGCTTCGAGATGAGCTTGACGCAGAGTGGCTCCAAAGAAGCCGCTGCTCCCCTCTCTACTTCCATGGCGAAGCATCTGAGGGCGGAGCAGTCCGAAGGCCACCTGTGCCACAGAGTTTGACGGCTCATGCAATCGAGGAGAAAGCGCGTATTGCAGCATTTGTTGCATGATGACTTCGGCTACTGACCCTCTCGGGAGAGATCCGATCCTTTGGAAGCGCAGTGCAGCAGCAAAGACTTCACTGGCAGAGAGCCCGGCATTGGCTACTGTACTGCCTCTGCCACTGGTATTTGGGTGGACTGCTGCTGTGAGTTGCAGCTTCCACGGCCGCTGGATGCCATGCAACCCTAACAGGTGGGAGGTACCAGCTGCAGCTGCACAAGCAAAGACAAGTCGAATCTAAAGCAGAGCCGCAAGGACACGACAACTGGGAAGCTTCCGTGCGGGTGCGCTGCGCCTTCACGGCCCTGCAGGCGGCCGAAGCCTTGGAGAAACCGAGCTCAGGTTTCCGTTGCAGCGTCATTGCAGCTTCGCATCATTTCAAACCTTTGTTGGTCTCAGGTCACCAGCCTTTGCCGCTTCCCAGACCTCGAGGTCACCATGTCTGAGTCCATCGAGGTGCGAAGTTGTCTGAAACACATCGCGCTGCCACGAAACGCCCCGATCCTCTGCCTCCCAAGTGACAAAGCCTCACGATGCGGCCAAGTCGAATCGCACATGACAGGGCTTGCTGAGACCAGCATGTCTTCTGGTGCAAAGCCTGCATCCGGCCTACGAGCAGGCCCTCTGCTCTCTTCGTGGATTGCACCTTTTCACGTTTCGCCAGAGTCGGACGTGCCACGTACCATCAGGCTGTGATTCTGGCAGACGACGGGGGCAAGAGCGAGGAGGAGGCAGCTTCCTTCCATCATGTTCTTTTTTGTTTGCCACCAGCATTTGGGAATAGAACCCTCCTTGGATGTTCCTTTGAGTCTTACATCTTCAGCCCTCATTCCATTCAAGGCAGCAACAACAGCAACGACACCAGAGACGACATAACGACAAAACCTCCCAAGACCCATGCCAACAGTGACACGAACGCAACCAAAAACTTCAGGGTGGCGTGGCTCCCTTCGTGGCTCAGACAATGGAGCTCATCCAGGCTGCGACACATGACTTACCTTTGGTTAGTAGGGAATGGAAGAATGGTAGTAGTGGTAGTTATGATTGTACCCCATTCCTCCATTCCCTACTAACCAAAGGCCAGATGACCAGGATGCCGAAGCTTTTAGCTGGAGGGGGGCTCGTTCTCGACTGTTCTGCATTTACTGGTATTTACAGGCCACAGGTATTTACGATTGTTCTTCAGTTTTGGGCTGTGCAGAGTTTCAGGGCTACGGCGGTACTTCATAAGTGGGGGGTTGAGGGTGCGGATAGGGGCGGGGGGCTGATAAGGTTTAATTTTGATTTCAGTCCTTGGAACCTCAGGTAATCCCCCTAAAGTCCAGCCCCTGTGCGAGGTTGCGTAGCAGGAGGCTTCAGGGTTGGAGCAGGCAGCAGCAACAACAAGACAAACGCACAGGCCTTTACCACCACCGCCACCATTACCAGCCAACAGCGCCACCGCCACCGCCACCACCACCACCACCACCACCACCACCACCACCACCACCACCACCACCACCACCACTGACCGCTACAACTGCTGTACCGGCAACGTTGATGATGCTGCTGCGGCTGATGATGATGATGATGATGATGATGATGATGATGATCATTCTCGTGATGAGGATGAGGATGATGGGTGATGATGAGGATGATTGTCATTATGGCTGTGATGATGGTGATGATGTCTGTGATGACGGTGTAAGTGGTGATGATGATGATGCTGATGCTGATTATGGTGGTGATGATGATGATGATTACGAGCATGGTGATGATCATCATCGTGGTGGTGGTGATGACGACTCAAAATTTCTAATCTAACTAGACTGAACCCCACATAAACACAGAACAATCGTAGTGAAATCCCCAAAGCCCATGCCGGCCGATGTCTTCGACATGTTGAGACTCGCCGACGTATCACGTTCTGGAATGTGCCCCGAATCTTGTAATTAGACTTTGTAGTTCACAAGCTTCCGTAGAACTACTCTGCTGCTCGTGTGCTGTGGAACCGTGGCGGGTCAGATCCCGCCGCTCGCCTTTTAGCTTTGAGGCCATGGCTGTCCGAGTCAAGCTGAAGCCGCTCCTGAAAAACAAGTTGAAAAACTTGCTTCAGGCGCCATCTTTGCCGTGCTGTGTTCTGCGAGAACCATGAAGCATTGAAATGTTTCTTTGGGGTCAGAGCAATGTGCGCAGTCGGGTTCTGAAACGACTGCCGGCAGCGTCTGGGCTGTAGATCTGGAGCTCCCTGATCTCGTGTGCATCAAAGACTTCTGCTTGTTTTCTTGACAGCTCTTGGTGCCCTTCATGCGCATCACGGAGAATCAGGCCGGGGCAACAAGAGCAAAGACACACCAGGCGATGAATCGCATTTTTTCGGTATCCGAACAGGCAGCCTCCTGGCGAGCTGACCCAAACGAGTTCCTGGTGCAGGACATACAAGACTGGACATAAGTCCCCCATGAAACGGCTACGGCTCACAAACGTTTTGGCCAATGACTGAAGGAAGAAATGGGAAAAAGAGATTTCGGATCTGTCTTCAGATGCGTGTCATTGCAGGAGGAGGACGAGCATTGCAGGCGCATCCAAAGAGTCGGTGCACAAGCCGGTCATGGCCTGTCTGGTTCGCTGGTTCCTGTTCCTGGAACAGAGGGCTTGATGGGCCATGATGGGCCAGAAGCTGATGCCTCTTAAGTCTTACGCGCTGGAAATGTGACCGACCGCAGGGGCTGCACCATACGCGTCTCTGGTGAAGGGCTGGTGGGCCAAATGCTTGACAGCTTTAAGTCAGGACCTTACAGCTTTGCACCAGCAGTGACTGGGATCATCCCATTATCAGAGATGTGGGAAGAGGCGCGAAGCCTCGCGCGCTGTGGCGGCGCTCGCCACGGATGTGTTCGGGCCTCGGTCAATGGCATATTCATTGGTTAACGGCCGGTAACTGGTAACTTTCAATTGGCTTGGTTCCTTCCGAAGGCCGCAAGATGTCATCAGGTCTACACGTGAAGGAACACCCCGATTGTCGCCCTCAAATCCGTCTCCCAGGTTGGAGCGCGGCGAAGCTGGGCGCAGCTCAGGCTTGGCATTGTAAGCTGACCTCAGTGAGATCCTCGTCCTGTCGGGATCATGTTGGTCAAGTCAATGTGCTTTCTTGCCACTCCGGGGCAGTGACGCCCGTGGGCAGCTGGCAGGCGATGCCGCTGCTTGGAAGCTGACGGAGGCGGGCACATCCGAAAGTCCGAAAGCATTGTAAAAGGGTTTCCCCGTTCAGGAAATTCACACATGACACGAGAGCTTTGCAAAGTCCTCTCTCGGTGAACATGCGGAGCATGCTTCAAGACGAGACGCCTGTGCGAGGTTGGCTTGTTCGTGTTCAGCATAGCGGTCGGCGAGGCTTTCCCACGTTCAATTCTCATCAAGGAGAAGGTCTCGGGGCAGTTGTGATCAAGGCGACGGTGAAGTCGCTGCAGCGGAGTGAGTTGGGCCCCTTGGCAGCCCTGACGCGTTTCCTAGAACCAGTGGGAGCTGAGCCCCTGGGCCCGTCCCTTGGCTGCCAGGTTCCCAACACCTTGCAGCTGGCTGCAAGGCTCTGTGCTGACCGGAACGCTTCGGAGGCCGCGAGGGGGCGGTGTTTCGGACCATGAACAGTCCTATGGCAGTGGCCAACACCTGTCCTCCCGGCTGCAGTTTTTGCGCGCTCGCGCATTCTCGCACTTACATCGGCTGGGCGACATCGTGACTCAGATGGTGTGACTCTCAGCCTTCCCCGGTTGTCATCCCTTTTCGATCTCGGTGCTAGTCTTGCTTCGCCCATGACTGCTAATCAATATCTATCCGCCGAGCCGACTATAGCCTTTGTGGATTCGTGGCATGACTACCGGCACCGCTGCACTGCACTTCTCAAAGCCGCGCCGGGCGCCGGGGCCGCCAAAGGTGGTCCGGACCTCGGGGTCTGGGCTGCCTGGATGATCCTGCCAGGAGCCGGGCTGATCCGATCGGATCAGTCACCACGTCTTCAGACTAGACATTGACATCCTTGTTGACACGTGCAGCCTCGAAATCGCGTAGCCTTTGCAAGATCAAACTTGATGTGGATGTGCGTCAACAACCTTCAGACAACGATGCAGTAGTACTGGGTTATAGTACTACCGCAAAACGGGAACAAAGGCCGCTGCAGAAATCAATGCAATCAAGCGCAAGCTTCTAGTGCTGTGTACATGCACAACTGCATCATCTAGCTGTATGAGCGAATTTTAGAATGGCTCGACGCAATCGCCGGCTGCATTTGCGCGCCAGTTTGTGCTCAGCCGCTGCAGTCGTATTGCTGGGTGCTCGAGCATCCCGACCTGTTCTACTGCCAGCAGAGTTTGACATATTTACTATATACGCGCATATCTAATCAGGTCCAAGTCTGCAGTATGTTCTTCAGGCCTGGGTCAGTCCATCGTGGCCAAAGCAGACCAAGCTCTCGGCAGCAAAGCTGCAGATGCTGCAGCGACGTGACAGCGTGACAAATATCCGAACGGCTGCACTTGATATTCCACACCGGCAGCATCCCAGGCACATACACCAACGAGGGCTGCTGGAAAGGAGTGTAACCCTCAGCTTACTTGAGGGATGTTGAAGGGTTCGTGCGGGAGGCAGGAGGGAGCTTCCCTGCCGCAGGACTCGCCTTGGGACGCTCTGCGGCAGTCCGAGGCTCTCTACGGAGAAGCCGGCAGTACCTGGCGTGTTGAGGAGGCAGAGTACAGAGCCAAAACAGCTTTCCAAGGCTATAGAAGAATTGAGAAGAGAACTGCAGCGAGCCAGGGCTCGTGGCTCGCACTCCCTCTTTGCGCTGAGGCCGGGCGGATCCTCAACAGCAATGCCTTGGAGACTTTGCAAACCTGGTTCCAGCCAGCAGCAGAGGGGTTGGACTCGGAAACCTCGGACGGAGTGGACGATGCCTTGGCTGGTCTGCTGAAGGATGAAGTGCCTTACGTTGTGGAGTTTCTGTCAGACAAGCAATTCCCGGGGCCAATCTGCCGGGCCTTTTGGCAGTCTGAGCTGTACCTGCGTGATTTTCAGCAGGTGGCGGGCCAAGCGCCACTGGAGGAGTTCACCCAGACGGCGAAGCACGTCACCGATAAGATGGAGGACGTGATCCAAGATGGCTCCGAGATGCCACAGGCCCTTGATCGCCTGGTGACACGTCAGCAGTTTGGAGCTGCCGCTCGCTTCGGATACTTCCTCCGGCGAGCCAAGCAGCGCTTGCGGCTGGAGTCCATCATGTGACCAGCCTGCACAGGAAACACACACGGAAGCTAGCCTGGTTACTTGGCTAGGATCAGTCATGGGAGCAGATGTGACGGTGCAGCAAGGACAGGGCCCGTCGGGACTCTCGAAACCTACGTGGCGGAAATGTCGGCGCAACAGCAGGCACATATCAGCATAGAACATATTATGCCTGCACCTTCGAGATGGCAGGAAGTTAAAGTCGTTGAGTTGAAGTTCAAGGGTGTTGACTCGTGTTTTCACGTACATGTGGAATCTGGGAAGCATGAAACTACTCGTGGTGGCTTGTCGTTTGTGTGAGGTGGAGCTCGTGCGTGCGGCCAGCCGCGAAGCTTCTTCGGCCATCGTTGCGGCTCCACTGCAGTGACTGCAGTGTTGCGATCTCTTCCCTTGGAGATCTTGCGTTGTTGGCCATGCCGGCTGAGGTCCGCGCGACGGCCCTTTTCGGCAAAGCCTCCGAACTTCTTCGTGGGGTCGCGGTCGGCGAGGTCTCGCCGCTGCCGTTGTCGTCGGAGGGACGTGTCAGGTGGGATGCAGCGAAGAAATATGAAGAAATCCTTGCAGCAGAGCATCATCGGTCCCTATGTTGGCTTCAGGCTTGCCGTCGAAGCTGTGGCATTCGGGGCATCCCTCTTCGATGCTGAGGACTGTCTCAGGTCTACTCAGCATACAAGGTTGTTTGTGATGCAGATGCGTGGCTTAAAAAAGTGCTGTCGCACGGAGTCGGTGTGCTGCTTCGACAGCTGTGCGGGAGGAGGCTGCCGCGCAGCACTACACACTGACATACTCTGAGTTTGGCAGCAGGAGTTGAAAATGCCCGTTTCTGGAGTTGTAGCATGTGCTGGTGCATTTGCTTGAGACATTGCACTGCCGAGTTCAGGCTGCATATTCTCGGTTGTCAAGCAGTTACGCACAAGGCCTGGGACGCTACGGCGCATGCATTGCTGGGCCGGGCTCCCAGCCGTGGGCGCTGTTGCTGCAAAGTGCGATGGATCATGGACTTCCTTAGGCACGCATTGTGCTCATGCTGTGTATCGATTACGTCAGGCGCTGAGCTGTCACATAAGCATGGCCTTTGACTCCTGTTTCAGATGACGGAGGGGGCTTGTAGCGAACATTGACCAGAGTACCATTACCTCAGGTCACTGCGGATTTTGCCAAGACTTCGATGGAAGCGTTTGGCCGTGCAGGTGAGGGGCTTGAGAACCCCAGAACTAAGTCGAAGACTTCGGAGATGGGTTTAAGGGGGTCAACATCCAGAACCAGGTCATGTAGAGCCGTAGAGATGCGCAGATGTCAGCACAAAGAATTCTAGAACTGTGATCATCATCAGCATGCCCTGTCCCCCGAACCCTTGCCGAGTCACTGGCTTGCTGGCCTGCGAGCACTCAACATGAGGAAGTGACAGAAAACAAGGCCCCAAGACTCAAGAGTTGACCTCAGGCAGCGTTTCGCTGGACTCCGAAATCTCGGACGGATCTGGTCTCGGGCTCAGACCTCGAAGATGGGAGTGGTCCCGCAGAGCCCTGGATTGGACACGCGGAGCAGGTGAAGCCAACGAGTCGGCGTCACCGAATGTGGAAAGCTGAGGAAGTGAAGGAGCAAGATCGCTGGCTCCTTTCGATTTGACTCCAACCTTCTCAGGTCTCAACCTCAACCACAAGAACGACCACCAGCACTGTCCCAGCCTTTCACACGAAGCCCTCGGAGAAGCTTCACTGGCTGCCCCCCGAGATGTCAGGTACCCTCAACCTCAACCTCCACAACTTCCACGTCCACACTGTGGCAGGCTATGGCCCGCGCAAATCACATGCTGAGACTCGAGACCTGACTACGCTGCTGCGTCGGAATCGCTTTTGGATGTTGCTCCGCAGGCCACGGCCATGTCAACTTCGTCCAGCACCACATCAGCCACGCGGCAGGCTTGCAATCCCATGCTGTTGCCCCCGTGGAGTTGCTGGTTCGCGAGGCTGCGGCCACATCCACGACGAACACCACAGCGACAAGCACGCATACTCGAACAGCTCGAATCTGAGTTCGGCAGATGAAGTCAGCGGTCAGTTTGAGCCGAGTTGACTGCTGAGGTTAGCAGCACATCGACATACTCAACGAGCACAACCTTGGACAGGACTCATGTTTCCTGTTCTTGCCGATCTTCAAAAGGCTTCAGGGTTAAAAAAGTCAAAAGAGAGCGCAGGGGCTAAGCCCCGTTCAGAATGTGCAGGGCAGCTCGTTGCATAGCAGGTCCAGGTCGGAACTTGCTGCCTGTTTTGAGGTTTCCGCCGTGTTGTTTAAGTTCTGCAGGAACACAACGTCGACTTACACCACAAACACCTCCACGACCTCTAGAACGACCTCAACGGCCACATTGTCAACCCTCAGCACCTTGACCGAGATGGGTCAGTACGACGTTCATGGCCATCCCTGCTGCTCCCTCTAGGCACAACGACGACAACAACAACGGCCCGGTGCCCAGAGTCGGCCAGAAGCACATGGAGCTCTCGGCTCTCTTCCACCGCATGCCTGCATCTGCAGACATCCCAGCAGGGCACCTCGCACTCTTTAGGTCCATGTCGTCACGCTCACGGGCGTGATCCTAACCCAAGTGCTGCTGCCCCGAAGAGTGAGCACGTTCTCGGAGACTGCCTGCAGCCTTGCCCAGGCTTAGTCGAAGGTGACATTGTAGGAGCAATCCGTGCCTGTTCTGTTCGGTGGTATGTCGGTGCGTCCTTCACAGACACTGTCCAAAAGTGCTGCAAGGTCAACTCCTTCTCGGTTTCTATCCGATGCGCAGGTCCCCTGTCCAAGTTGAATGTGCCTGTGGGCACAGAGTGGGCGGGCTGTGAAGCGGGCAACTTTTAACTGCGGGCAGCACGTTGGCAGAAAGGTGATTAGCTCACATGCTGCAGCCTTCGACAACGCAAGTTGAAGACCTTGCCTGTGAAGAGTCATTGAAGCATCTTCACGCCATCGCAGGTGCCACTGGCCCTGGCACGGGCAATGGCCACGCTAACTCAGGCCAGGAGTTGCTGAGCCTTTGAGTTTTTGGATGAAGTCTTTCCCAGGTGCCCGCAGACTCCACGCACATCTTGCTGAACGTGGTGGATGCCAGGCGGCTGTCAAGCTGCTGCATGCAGATGCTGAGTTTGTTAAGCACCGCAGAACCGTGTAGGATGCGTGAACTTGGAAGGGCTGTGCGGCTGTGCATCGATTCCGAAAGGAGGGCTGTACGTGCGTGCTCGTCGTGCTTGCAGATTGCTTTCAGGCAGCTACAAGCCGACAGCGGTGCGGTTGAAATTGTCTCTGAGAGGAGCTCAGGAGCTGACAGGAGAGCCTTCTATCATACATCTTTGTACGGTACTTTCTCTGCATGCCCTATGTTGAGACTCTCTCTTTCCCGTGGGTGTATGACTCCTGTAGACAGGCCTCCTACCCCCCAGATCAGTCTCTCTACGCAGCAGTACACAGAGAAGAGGACTCCGACAAGATCGAAAGCTGAGGCCACGACACTGCAAGGCCCGAATGCCACCGAGCGCGCCGAGGTTGCCCGGTTCCCAGACAGGGCTCAAAGAGGTGGCTGTATTTTTTCTGTATTTTTTTCCAGTTTTTTTTTGTATTTTTTTTCCGGTCGCCTGCCCAAGCAAGCAAGCAAGCAAGCAAGCCAGCAAGCCAGGAAGAGAGCAAGCAAGGAAGGAAGGAAGCAAAGGCAAGCAAGCAAGAAAGGAAGCAAGGAAGGAAGGAAGGAAGCAAAGGCAAGCAAGCAAGCAAGAAAGGAAGCAAGTAAGGAAGGAAGCAAAGGCAAGCAAGCAAGCAAGCAAGCAAGCAAGCAGGCAAGGAAGCGAGGAACCGAGGAAGCGAGGAAGCAAGCACGGAAGCGAGGAAGCGAGGAAGCGAGGAAGCGAGCAAGCAAGGAAGGAAGGAAGCAAAGGCAAGCAAGTAAACAAGCAAGAATGGAAGCAAGGAAGAAAGGAAGCCAAGGCAAGCAAGCAAGCAAGCAAGCAAAGAAGGAAGCAAGGAAGGAATCGACCAAGGAAGCAAGCAACCAAGCTTCGCAGCGCATGCTTGTAGAGCAGAAGCATCAGAAGCGTATCTGTAGACTGTGATATACATATATATGTATATATATATATATGTATATATTACTTGCATATCGACACATACACACATACACACACACACACACATACACACGCACACACACATACGCATACACACACACACACACACATATATATATATACACATACTTACGCACAAATGTATATGTAACAAGTAGCTGAATGTCTATGCGTATATGAGCAACTCTGCCTACATAACACGATTGGTTTAAAGCTGCGGCGTTTCACCGCCCAATCCCAACTGATAAAAGCACACTATGGATGTATTATGATCTTGTGCATCGGCTGATTGCACATCCATGCCTGGTCGGCTGCAATGGAATTTACACGTGTCCTTTGAAACCTTCCCTCTTCCAGACTTCCAGTGGCCGGGCCTTGAAAATGTCATTTTGGAGTACAAACTCAGCACGCGGAACGCTCTTCCAGTGGCCGGACTTGGAAATTGCTTGCTTGGAGTACAAACTCAGTACGCGGAACCCTCTTCCGGTGGCGGGGCCTTGATACTGCTCTTTTGGAGTACAAACTGAGTACGCGGAACGCTCTTCCAGTGGCCGGGCTTGGAAACTGCTCTTTTGAAGTACAAACTGAGTACGCGGAACGCTCCTCCGGCGGCTGGCCCTTGTGAAATTATAAATATAAATATAAACTAAATATAAGTATAAATATAAATATAAACATAAATATAAATATAAATATATGTATATATGATAAGCCGGAATCGCTCAATAAGGGTGTGTGTGTGTGTGTGTTTACGACTAATGATGAACCCCACTCGTCTGGCGTGCTTTAGATGCATGATAAGCGGAATCGCCAAATGAGGGTGGCCTCTTTAAGATGTACGATGGACCAGAATCTCGCATTCAGCGGGCGTTTTTAAGATATATGAAGAACCCCGCTGGTCTGGCGTGTCTAAAGTTATGATAGCCGGAATCGCCAAATGAGGGGCGCGTTCTAAATACATAAATGAATAAAAGCAGTATATATATATATATATATATATATCTGATAAACCGGAATCGCCCAATTGGGGGGGTGTTTAAGATCTATGTTGACCCCCACTGGTCTTGCGTGTTGAAAGTCGGGTGTGGTGAAAGTATATGATAGCCGGAATCGCTAGATGAGGGGGGTGTTTAAATATATATATATATATATATATGATAAACCGGAATCGCTCAATGGGCGGGGGTGTTTAAGATATATGATAAGCGGTTGAAGTATATATGATAATCCGGAACCGCTCAATTGGGGGGGGCGTGTTTCATATATATATATATATTTATATTTATTCATTTATTTATTTGTTTATTTGTATATATATATATATACACATATATATTTGTTTATTTATTTACTTGTGTATTTAAATATTTATACTTGTTTATTCATATGTGACGAACCTCACTGGTCTGCCGTGTTGAAAGTATATGATAGGCGGAATCGCCAGATGAGGGGCGTGTTTATATAGATAAATAATATATATATATATATATATACACATATATATATATATGCATGTATGTATGTATGTATGTGTGTATGTATGTATGTATGTATATATATATATATACATATGCTGAACCGGACTCGCCCAATCGGGGGGCGTGTTTAAGGTATATGATTGATTTCAGGAATCGTCAAATAAGGGGCGTGTGTGAATTTAAAACAAATATATATATATATATACACATTATACATATCTATATATATATATATATCTTTACATGATAAACCGGAATCGCTCAGTGGGGGGAGGTTAAGATATATGATACCCGGAATCGCCAAAGGAGGGGCGCGTTTAAATACTTGTTTAAGCAGAATCGCCCAATGGGGGGGTGTTGAAGATATTTGATGAACCCCACTGGTCTGGCGTGCCGTGTTTAAGGTATATGATAGCCGGAATCGCCAAATGAGGGGCGTGTGTGAATTTCAAAACAAAAGGATATATATATATGTATATGTATATATATATATATATATATTTATGATAAACCGGAATCGCTCAGTGGGGGGGGGTTAAGATATATGATACCCGGAATCGCCACGGCGACCCCGCAAGAGTCCAAAACCCAAAAGCCTTAACCGCTGCTGAGGAAAGACTTCCTCGAGCCCGAAGGGCAAAGCGTGGCAAGATTTGTGAGAAAGGTGCTGAAAAGCCCGCGGTTTGAGGATTGTAGTACCCCTATAGGAACAGGCAAGCGGAAAAAAAATACAAAAAAAAACTGTAAAAAAATACCGAAAAAAACGCACGACCGCTCAAAGAGCGTCTCCGCATGCCGGGCCGTGTGCATCATGCCTTGCATGCAGGCCAAGCAACTCTTGATACACGCTACGCCTGCGGAGATTGCAGAGCTCATGAGCTCTGAGGCCAACACAGGATTTCTGCACATGAACCCCCGGAACCCAGATTCAGCTGTCGGCATGTGGGTCACACACAGGCCTTAAGCAAACATGAGCGGGCCTTGTGTCATCAGTCATCAGGGAGAAGTTCAGCACACCCTTTCTCTCGGTTTGTTTTGTTGTCGTTCATCTATGTCCCATTGTTTCGTCTGCTGTGTGGGTCTGCCTACGTGTGCACTCACACCAGCGCGTTCGCGATCGCACACGCCAGACATTGCACACACAAACAAAAACGCACACGGACACACGGACGGACACGGAGACTTGCACTGGACACAGGTCGCCGGTCGCACGTTCCTACTGTCCTCTTGGTGGAGTTCTAGGCTGAGCCCATGGCATGAACACTCACTCCAACATGGAGCGGCATTCTCAGGATGGTGGCAAGTAAACAGTGCAAAGCAACACTTTGCAAGATAAGCGCAGCATTTACGCCTCAGGACGTCTCCTCATGTCAGTGTCTTCGTTGGCAATGATCCCACCGATTTTGTCACTGCCCCTTTCCTTCGTGTGTGACCGGAAGAGTCGCGCACGCGGTGACGCGCGCACACACACACACACAAGCACAATCTCAATCACACAAGCACACCACACATTCACACACTGACATTGACATACAGGCACACACGCACTGCTACATACACATATAGTATGTGCGTAACATATGGTAATATGTGTCGCTTTATTACCGTGCATGCCAAAGGACACTAAGCTACCTTTAGGTTGAGGTGATTTTGCTGTTAGGCGTTTCCATGTATGCACATTTAATTGTCGTTTCCCGTGAAGTGAAGTGAAGTGACGTGAAGAAAGTCGCTTGCCGCACCCGGTCCTGAGACGACCCGACCTCCCCACAGGCACTAGACCAGACTTTGTAGCACTGCGTGTTTTGGATGGGGGTTCGCTCTCGGTCCAAGTCGCTTGGCGAAGCGGGGCCCCTTGGTGTGCCAAGGTTGTCGCTACGCTCAGCCGAAGTCAGTCAAGCGATTTTGTTCAGTCTGGCACAGGTGAATGGCTTGCAGATGGTGCCATACTCCCTGGAAGTGCTGGAGGCCCGGGCGGCATGCCTTGCTGTCTGGTCTGCGCGGATGTAGTCGGGTAGGCGATCATCTCAGTATCCGAAAGCTGCTTAACGAAACACAGACCTTCGCCTCGGATTGAGTTGATACCAAGTCGCCCTAGAAGCTGCTACTACAATGGCTGCTGTCACCGCGGCGGAAGAAGAGCGGCTACTCGCGTCAACGTGGTGGCAGACCAGCCCCGGCTGGCTCGGAGACTGGTTCTGCGCAGCCTCCGAGAAGGGCACTGAAAAGCACTACTACTTCTACTGACTACGAGTCGATATGCGAGGACCTGCTACAAACGGTGCAGAGCAGCTAGTGGTAGTGGTACCGTTTGCCACAGGCAGCACCAGTTCCTCCTGCCCACTTCTGGGTGAACGCAGTCCAGACGTTGCAAGCGAAGAGCATTGAGACGATGGCAAATCGATTGGCAGTTCAACGTAATTCAACTATTGGTAAGCCGCTTGGTGCATGAATCGTCCGATGGAGAATGGACATGAGTGAAGATTTGCTTTTGTTGGACCGGGCCCTCCATGCTTTCTTGCCTAGACCAAGGTAGAGCCTGTGTGGACAGAGTAGCTGAGTGCAATTCCACTTGCTGGAACTTGGTGGTGTTTGCGTCGCATCAGCAGCATGGTCAGTAGTTCTCTATACATGCAGGTTGCTCCGCCCACTATCACGGGCCGCGCCGTGCAGGTCCGTCTGCAAAATCTTCACCTTGCAAGTGGAAACTTGTGGGAGAGTCATGCAGGTCTCCGACCATCAAAGCAGTGGAGGCAAAGCCGCGGTGCTTTTTGCCCACGTTGTGCAACCGGCCACGCCAGGCGAAGGAATCGTCTTTGACACCCAGGACATGGCTGCAGGGACTGCTCCAAGCCCCGGATGGCCATCTGTGATTCTGCTCCTGGTCATGCGGATTCAGACTGCAGCGCAACCAAAGAGCCAGGTTAGTTGTCACAGCTGCGTGCCTGTGCCCAGGTTTGCTGCAGTGATCGTCTTCTGAAGCTTTCTGAGCCATGAGACTGAAATAAAGCCGACCATACCATACCAAACAAGACTTCTCCACAGCAGTACCATGGACCACACAATGACCTCGGAAAGGCTGACTCAAGCTTCAGGCTCACGCTTGGCAAAGAAGTCTGCCGTACCAAGCGGTACTTCACATCGCCAGTTTAGTAGTGGCTGCGGCCATGTGATTCAGCATTTGCAACAGAGCCCAGAAAACCCTGCTTGTCCCCATAACCATGTCGCAGCTGCCTGCCGCAGTCATTCTCTGCTCCAGCATTGCAAGGGTGCTGGCTGCTGCATTGCGGTGCCAAAGCTGCACGGCTGTGCAATGCAGCAGCTTTCATCTATTTGCAGCGCGTTCCAAAAGAGTCAGGAGAGTGTGGGAGATGCGAGCTTGCGCGCGTGCGCACCCGCGTGTGTGTGTGTGTGTCTCTCTCTGCTCTCAGGTTCGAGAGGAGATCCCTCACCTTTTGGAGGTGCCGCAACCTCATATTCTCTGGAGACGGAACGAGCTTTGCAGAGGCGGCGGCAAAGTCCCTCGGCCCCGACGAGCCACTGGTCGTCCGTGTGAGGTGGCGCAGTGAGAAAGTGCCCGAGCAGTTTTTTTGCAACAGTAAACAACCCCACAGTCGAAGTGTTTAATTTTCCCCCCCAGCCACGGAAACAACCCCTTGATATGCAGCCTGTGTTGCATTTCTACACACAGCTTCACTACAGTCATCTGGTAGTCAGTCGAATGGTGCACCACACGATGGCTGCGGATGACGGGGTGCCTACTTGAATTTCAAGCTGTGACGTGTTTGCCAGTGCTTGCCGCGTCTTCTGCCGCTTCCTAACGGCGATGCACGACGACAAGCTGCGGGAGGTCGCCCCGGCTTCGTTTCGTGCATGTAGGGCGCACCAGCAGTTCTCAGTCTCCCAGGACCTGCTCCTGAAAAAGGGAGTTCTGTCTTCCCTGGGCTCGCTCCTTCGCGAGGCAGACGAGGACCTCAATACTTCCGTGTGTCTTTTCGAACTTGCACTGGGAATGATGATGGTGATGCGCTGCTGGTGCTGGTGAGCGGCTCGTACTGTAACGATAACAACGATGACTGTGACAACGATGGCGATGATGATGATGCTGGCAATGGTTACAAAAGAAGGAGCAGGCAAAGGCCGATAGGAATGCTGCAGCAGAAGTTACTACCCAGTCTCTGATGGGATTGGCCATGCGATTCGGGCTTCAGGTTCTTCATCGCTATAGCGATGAACGGGAACCTACCACTCCAACGAGCCGAGGAGCTTCTCCATCTGTGCCTCGAGTGCCTCTGCATAATCGTGAAGGCCGATGCAAGCGCCTGTTCGCTTATATTGGTGGCCAAGACTCGTCCAAGAAGACAATGCCCCAAAGCCTCTAAAAGGTTCGTCAAGCTTACGCTTTGTTTCACCTGGCAATGCCTCGGCTTGCAAGAGCGTAGAACGAATCAATAGATCCTCTTGAATGGCGGCCCGACGGAAGTAAGACTTGGGTTGCGTGCGGACGCCTTGTGCGGTCATCCGTTTGCTACTGCTACTCGAACGTCGCCGGCATTAAATTTTCTTGATTTGCTTTCGCTCGATCTGACAAACTACTTGTAGTGTAAAAGTCGCGAATAGTCGCGACAAGCAGTCGGGTGAACAGAGACGGTTCCTCGCAGCAGTGCATGCGTCCCTGCTGCCAGCAATGCCCGACCATCATGGCGGCTGTGTCCCACGAGCTGTGCCCCTTGACTGTGCAGGCACGATAGCCGCTAGCCACTCCGCAAGCTTAGTAAGCTACACAGTCCAAGACTTATCTCTCTGCAGATTTGGCGCCGCTGTGCAGCGGATCCGATGGTGCACATGCAAGCCGCATGCTTGGATGCAGGGAAATCGCTAAGCGGGACTCGAGTATCTCAACACAGTCCTCGCCGCGTACTACGTGCCAAGGTCCTTGACCTCGTGAGCTGCTGCGTCAGCGCTGACCCGAAGCTGCAGAGTGCAATGGAGGATTCTTCATTTGGTAGCGAGTGAACCGCATATTGTAGAGGGTGTGTCGGGTTTGTCGCCCTCGAGTGTTGTCATGCAGCCTCTCTCTCTCTCTCCCTCCCTCCATGGCCTCTCGCGCGCGCGAAATTGGGAAAGGAGAGCCTGCTCCCCGTGGTCGCGACCGACTTGCAGCATCTACCTTAAAGCGCAATTTAAGAGTTGACCCGTGCTTCCAGAAAACAGCGACTGAAAGCGCGTCTGGGTAAGAGGCCCGGCTCGGATCCCCATTTGGCGAGTTCGGCCATCGAGCTGCTTGGGGTACTGTGCTGAGCCAGGGCTGAGCAGAGAAAGTCATGGGTGTAAAGGCTGTCATGCAGTGCAGGAGAGGAGGGGGAACGTCCTTCGATGCAGCTTTCACATTGGAAATACACGGCTTGCACCCGGCCTTCAGCACTTGACAGTCCTAACGGGGCTTGTGCCAGGTGCTGTTGAAGAGAGCTGCTGTTCCGTTCGGTGCTACGATCTGCAGCTGTGTTGCACCACTCGTGGTCAAGGCAAGGTGAGAGTTTGATGGCATCCATACACACTACCGCTACCAGTCCATGAACACAGGATGGGGAAGAATCACCCGGGGAACTGCGCCTAAGGGCACTGGCAAGTATAGCAGGCGTGGAAACGGTAAACATGCGAAAGCATGTGATACGTTTGGCTCAGACAGAAGTTTACAGGCCAGCCTTCCAACTCAAGTTCACATGCTCTTCCAGCTTAGCACTCCTAGAGCTTGTTCTGCCAGTACATGCTTGTATAGCATTAGCTGTCATCTGTCGTGTAGCTCTAGCGGCTAGCGACTCTAGCGACGGCTCTCTGCGTGCGCACGCCCAGCCATGGCTGATGCTGCGCCGAAGGAGGAATTGTTTCAATGGTTTGCAAGTGAGCTCGCAGCAGAGCGCTCCAACTTGGCGTCTCGGCCGCAGTTCAGCTGCTGCCATCACGCAGGATTCGCAGATCTCCGAAATGGAACATTCCAACTAAGGAGACCCGACATAAACAACTGCTGAAGGACAGGCTTGCGAAGGTTGTTGTCAGATCGTTATCGCAATGCTCGTGAAGGCTTACGAAGTCCGAATTCTTTGGGACTTTAACGCACTCTGAGACGAGACAGGAGCTAAGTTCCAAGCTGAATGCTGGCAAGCTGCGAGGGCCCGCCAGCGCATTGGAGGCCCAGTCGTGTGCTGCATTCGGGTGGGTGTCTTGTGAGAGTCACGGGTGCATTTTGTGGCTTGACCTGGGATGACTCTGTTGGAGGCTCTACGCTTTGCGCGGACAGAGGACTCGGACAAGCGGGCCCTGGACAAGCCCACGCCTCATGACGAGCCTCAGAAAGCAATGTGCCTCGGAGGCATTCGCTCGAAGTTGCAGAAAGCTTTGTTCGGCGTGCCATGCTACGCCAGGAACTTCACGGCCGCCTTGCCTGAAGAGCAGCCTGAAGAGAAGCACGTGCGGCCTGGCAAGATGGGCACATTCTCGTCGCTGGAGTTTCGCAGACACACGGAGAACTTGTTGTGGACAAACCCCGCACATTTGCATCCTTGGCCGTGGAAGTGCCTGAAGGTTTGCTGCCAATCCAGAAGAGGCAGAGATGCAGAAGGCTGCTTGGATGGGACGCTGAGTTCATGCTTGAATGAAGTAGGTGTCCAGTGCTGCTGGGGCTGCGCATGCTCTCGACACGTGCATGCCTCCTGGCTGCTGTGGCAGGTAGTGGCAGCAGAGGCCGAGATGGAGGCACAGAAATTAGACTAACGGTGATGCATCGTAGCAGGTCGGAAAAAGTACATCACATGGTAAACTTGGATACGATGCCAACGGATTCCTTCAAGCAGGCATTTTAACCCAGGCAAGAAACAGAACAAGTCCAGAGTGCATCGTGGCTGTTCTGTTCATCGCAGGTTCATCGCAGATACTGCAGCAAGCCATGACGTAGAGATGTTCTGCAAGCACACGGAGCACATGTCCATCATTCTTCTCAGAAGAGACGTTTCAATTTGCAGCACGAGCTAGTCAGCTTGAACAGCTTCAACGGTTTGTGCTAAGCAGGTCATTTAGGGAATTGAACTCCCTGCACTGTTTTGGGTGCTGGTCTGAATGCATAGCTGTATTCAGTAGTACCTGGTAAGACTGTGACATGCTTCGCTCACCTTCTCGTTCTGTCAGTGACGCATAGATGGACAGATGGATCGATAGACTGGCTATATAATTACACATGGGACATGTACGTAGAAGAGCACAATATAGCTTTGGTGGTGGTTGTGATGGTGACATAGATTCACAGATGCATGCATGTATGCGTGTATGTTCACGATTGGTGTGCTGCGTCGTGTCTTACACCATTTTGGCAAGTCCAGGAGGAGTCGAAGGCCTTGCACAAGAAGGCCAAGAAAGAGAGATCCGAGCTGCGCCTCGGCGGCCCGTATCATCTGGGGCCTTTGCTTTGTAATACCTCGCTGGAGCGACGGAGGGAAGTCTACCTCGAGGTGCCATTGGTTACACCCCTCTTCAACCGTATAATGCACATAGTATACTTATATCACATCACCATGTTGCCAAACATTGTCTGCAGTGGCTAGTCTGCAATTGTATTGAACCACCGGTACTCGCTCTTGCCATCCCAGGAGCAACACCTTGAGGAGAAAGAGCCAGAAGGCTGAATACTTGAGCGAAGGATTCTGGTACAGGCGCGGTCGTCACATGAAATTGGTGTGGGCGCATTCCTGCTGACAGCAGCAGCAGAAGGTCGATGGAGTGACTGCCAAGTTTCGAAATGTTCTGAGGATCGCAAGGCATCCTCTGTTCGAGCTGGTCTTCGCCTGCTGCATCATGGGACATGCAGCCACCTGGTCTGTGTAGCTTGCGAGTAGCTCATCACCCACCTCCTCGTGAAGTCCATCCATTGTGCTGCCCGTTGAAGTGGCGATCCTATTTTTCTTGACCCTTTTTTTTTGCCCTTTGTTTTTTCCTTTGGGGGCCTCGGTTAAAAGCGGTCGTTCTCCATACTACCACTGCTACTACTACCACTGCTACGACTACTGCTACGACTACTACTACTACTACTACTACTACTACTACTACTACTACTACTACTACTACTACTACTACTACTACTACTACTACTACTACTACTACTACTACTACTACTACTACTACTACTACTACTACTACTACTACTACTACTACTACTACTACTACTACTACTACTACTACTACTACTACTACTACTACTACTACTACTACTACTACTACTACTACTACTACTACTACACCTACTTCTACTATACCTCCTACTAGACTACTACTACTACTACTACTACTACTACTACTACTACTACTACCACTACTACTACCACCACTACTACTACTACTACTACACTACTACTACTTCCTTCCTTCCTTCCATTCGCGGCGAACGTCCGGGGTCCACCTAGCGAGTCGGCGAGCATGGCCCGGCTACCGAAGCAGCGATGTCTATGACATCCCAATAAAGAGAGCTGCGCAGCGCCAGCATCGATCCGCAGATCCAGCATGCCAGACAGCCCGAGCCGAGGCTCAGCAGCTTCGCTACACAGCATGCGCACGAGGCAGACATTTACATTAACAACTGTACAATCGAGGCAAGAAGCAGCTCTAAGGCAGGTTTCCACACTGACCTTTCAGCATAGCTCAAACTTCATATCACAGGTTCAAGGCCCATCAGTCACATCGCGAGTCCCGAAAAACAGCCATCATAACCTCAGTCCAGCATTCGCCGTCTACGAGAAAAGAAAAGTGATGGCACCTCATGCGATGACGCCCTCAAGGAGTCAGAGCTGCATCACATTTTCCCGGCTTTGAGCGCTAGTAGTTACAATATGCCAGCACCAGCATGCACATCCTCAGGGAGTCTGCACAACGCAAAAGCCCTGCATGGTCAGATATTGCATGTCTTCAGGCGCAAGGTTTCTGAACTGGCCGATGTGATATGACAAAAGTAGAAGTCGCGCACCTGCCCACGGCAACGTAGCATGAACCTTGTGCGGCTCAAACTGGATGGCTTCCTGTGCTGAGATGATATGCCCTCGTGGACCTTGCTCAGATAGCTGACTCAGGCCGGCAGCGTCCTCCAAGAAAATCTCGCCCCCAGTAAAACGAGAACAAGGTAGCGAGAGGTTACAAGATCCTCTGAGGTTGCGTGCGTCAGTATGTGGTCGAGCAGTTGTGTTCAACGAGAGCGTGCATGTGGAGAAGTGAAGCTGAGAGCACCACGTGCGCACAATCCCTGACAAAGCCCGTCCAACCCATGGAAACCTGCGCGAATGCGTAGTGACACCTGCCATGTTGCCAAAATTGTATGCCCCGATGGTAAACCTCTTCGGGGGCAGAGTCAAGGAGGAAGGCTCATCCTGCTTCCACCTTTCGCGACTATCACCTGGCAGCATGTCGAGCAGCCGCTGGATCTGATCCCAATTGGCCTGACCACTAGAAATCATACCAAAGGCAAGTGCCTCACATGGACACATTCCTGGCACACACAATCCATCAAGGCGCACTCCTCTGATAAGGTAGATGCCTCTGCAAAAGTAGTCGTATTTCAGATCCTCCTCATACGAGTTGAGAGGAGTGGCACCAACCATGAAAACTCCACCGACGCAAGCATGCGAGATTAAAGCCGGACCGGGCATAGCAGCATGGAGCACTCGTTCATCAGAAGTTTCCGACATTGAGTAATCAGCTGCATCATCCGACTCACCCGCATCTGCCGAGCGGCGAGAGGAACTCGCCATCAGTGGAAAGCGAAGCACAGCACAGAATTAGCTCACCCACGTAACTTCAAAGTACTGGAGCCCACACATGCACATCCCAAGCGATACATGTCTGGTGTCTGCAATAAGCACAAGCGCCACGTCCTTCACTACCAAGCAACATAAAGCATAGCAAAGGCTCGAAAGGTAACGCAGACAATATATATGAAGTTGTAGTGCATGAAGCCCTCGTTCTGCTTCCTGCACCCCAGCAGCCGTAGCCACCAGTAGAGAAAACCACACCTTAGATGAGGCCGAAGCCTAACCAGGCGTGTTTGCGCGCTGGCCACGCCAGTCACTCGGCAGCCGCAGCCACCAGCGAGAGAAAGCAAACCTTAGGGAAGGCCGAAGCCTAACCAGGTGAGTCAGCATGCTGGCAACGCCAGCGAACCTCAGTTTGCAGAAGGGTGCCGCTGCTCCCAGAGCACGCGACACGTGTCTGCCAAGACTTGCAGTCTGGCAGCATTCACAGCCTTAGGCACATTGCACAGGGGCCAGCCGAAGCGAGCTTGCCACTCATTCTGTGGCCGAGGCTTGCCCACACAGTCATAGGCAACATGCTGAAAGGGAGCAAGCAGCATGCCACACCTTGGACAGCAGTGGTGCTCCGCATTCGAGCCTTCACATGCAGCCAGCCAGGCTGGACTGACCAGTGCGCCGAGCATAATCGTACGATGTTCCGCCCTCTCCAGGAGAAGAGAGCGTAGTTGCGCAAAGTCGACCTGTTCAGCGTCTTGCAAGAGCTGAGTTTCAGTCCTGCGTGTCAACATTTCTCTCGCTTCGTGGCGGTCACCTCTAAGGAAGAGGAGCAGCTGGTGCAAACGCCAGTTTTGCCTAAAGTTGTGCAGAGTCACGCTCCGAGATTGTCTACTACCAACCGAAAGGTCAATCCGATAAGAGGCCACCAAATCAGACTGCCAGACCCATGGCCGCACTACATTCCAGGAACGTTTGCTCATCCATTTCTTGAAGACATGAACCGATGAGCCCGGCTTACTGGCCCAAAGTCTGTCACCTGCCGGCACGTAACCCTGTCGTTCCAGGGATAGCACCTTGGTGATTTTGCTCAAGAGGCCCGAAGGGACCACACAGTCCAAGTGCAAGATGGCACCGTAGGCCGCAGCCCGAAGGTGCCTGTTTGCCATCCTGCACGTAGCCGAAGCCACAGTGGCCGTGCCAAAGAGCTTCTGCGCCTCAGCAAGAGGCGGGAGCCTTCCCACCCAGCCGTAAGCAGCCTTAGAAACACACCAGGAGCGAGACGCACGTATGAAGCGCGGCCAAGCAAGCCAAGCAGTACGAAGCATGACTTGTCGTGCTTTAGCAGCCATCAACCGGTTGCTCTCAGCCTCGGTGTTTTGACGGTAGCTACAAACGGTGCTGGCGCCCAACACTTCACATTCCGACCGCTGCCACTGCTGTGGACACTGGGCGGACATCATGTCACGAAAACGCTGGTACTTGGCACAGACCTGGGTCTTGGACGAGTTTTCCTTCAAACCCACTACAGAGGACCAGGCTTGCCACTCTGCGACCCAAGCTTCGGTGTGAGCCCAGGACTGCGAGACCGCCGTGCGATCGTCCATGTAGGCTGCCTGCAGAAGCTGAGGTGGCAACCTCGCTGAGCGAGCGACGTGTTTGCATCCTGAAGCGATCCAGTAGCACAACACCAACGGGGCCATAGGGCACCCTTGCGGAGTAGAGTCGAGCGCCGTGAGGGGCGCAGACAGGGTAGTGTCCTGCCACTGAAGCCACCTTTGCTGTGCAGACCAGGCCGTGGCCCAGAGACTGCAGAAACCCTCATCCCAGCCAAGCGAGGAGAGAAAAGCTTTACTAACGTCGGGACTCATGCGATCATAAGCTTGGGAGAAGTCCAAAGAAGACAGTATGCCTCCTCCTGCTAACCGATCCTGCAAGACCATAGCTGTTTCTTCAGCGCTCAGTCCGTTCAGACTACCAAAAACACATTTAGGAAGTCTTTTACGACATCTTTGAAGTTCCGGAGTAGCCAACCAAGCAGCCATGTTGATCCTCCAGAAAACACTCATGACTGTAATCGGCCTAGTGTGTTTAGCAGCAATGGTGCTACCCTCGACTTTTGAAGCTTTGCTCAAGCAGACCTGCCGGGCTTGCAGCATCTGTTTAGGTAGCTCCTTAGCCGAGTGCCACCGCCGAAACAACAGGAGACAGGTGTGAATCGCAGCGTCAGGAGCATGTTTCAGCTCCGAAGAACACCATCCATCAATACCCGCGCTCCCTTTACACTTCCGAAAAGCCCGAGTGAGTCCTGCCAAGTCAGGCCCAGGCCACGAGGTGCCTGCAGGCTCACCGAAACTGGGGTCCTCAGGAACGAAGCGACCGTGAGGCAGCCTGAAGCCGTCCTCAAGGACCTTGGCTGCCTGTCCTTTGTCAGAGCATCGTGAGTCCTGAGCAACTGCGCGCCAGTGACTAGCTATGGCGGTGGCAGCCGCCTCTGGGGTGTCACACAGCTGGCCCCGTGAGTCCTTGACTGTGAGGTGCCACTGCGAAGACTCCTTAGCTTTGAACCAGCGACTCAGAGCTCTGTCTGATTGAGCCACCTTGGTGCGCCAGTCACGAAGGCGCCGTGTCTTAGCAGCTTCCTCAGACGCAACTCGTTGAGCCGTCAAGTGGCGGATTTGTGCCTTGGTCCATGCCAGCTGTTGTGCAGGTGTGCGTGCCTCTGCAGGCACGCCTGTCTTAGCCTGCAAGGCCTGCAGTTCCTGCTGCCTAGGACGCCCTTGAGAAGGAGCAAGGAGCCGCTGCAGCTGGTAGAGCCTTGCCAGCTTCTTAGAGACCCGTACGTCCGCCATGCTGCGAGCAGCAGGGCCGGGTCCCCAATGTTCACGTGGGAGAGTTTGGTGCACGGCCAGGGCACCTTTACAGTTTGACCTAGCGCCAGTCTGCTTCAGGAGACTGCGAGCTTCGTCAGCAAGCGAACCTGAGGATTCAATGAGGCAGGCCTCAATGGCAGACTTGTAGGTGGCAGCCAACAATGCCATGTACAAGTCCCACTCCTCTTGCACGCATAAGTTCGCGGAGTCAGCCAGGAGCGCGTCGAGGCGAAGACCAGCCGCAGTAACTTTCTGCTTAAGCCAAGCTTCACTAAGCTTGCGCTTCCATACTTCAGCAGTGAGGCTGTCAGGACGCCGCCACGTGGGCTTTGGCTGAAGACGACCCCGCAGAGTACTGCATTCCACAGCTTCCCATCGAGCAGCAAGCACCACGTGGTCGCTGAGGTGGGCTTCGAGGTGTCCGAACCAACGAAGGCGCTCCGGACGGTTTGTGCAATACCAGTCAATGCAGCGCTCACTTTTCCAGCGCGTTGGTTTGCAATCAGTGACCAAATGGCCACCAACCGCACTACAGGCATAACTGATGTCGCAGTCATTGGGTTCACCGTTGGCATCACCGACACACAACCAACTGTCGCGATGAGCACCAAGGCTGGTGTGAAAATCACAAAGCAGATTGGCTGCAACGGAGTCATCTCCTGGCGGTGCGTAGAAGGTGATGAAGAGCGTGTTACTCACCCAAACAGCCAGAGTTTGCGAGCGTCCACGAACGTCACTACCCGCCGGCCTTTGCGGGAGGGCTTTAGGTACGAGCCAGGCGACACCTCCTTCCGCGACCGGGTGTCCCCAGCGTCCAACGTGCGTGCCACCAGCTTGAGTGTACAAGTTCCAGCCAACCCTAGAGGCCTGGCGTCTGAACCCTTGCACCTCAGTTGTAAGCAAACTGAACTCCTGTAGAGCGAGCACCGGTAAGGTTTTACAGTGTTGGAAGTGGTTCAAAGCACGCCAGGCGCCTGGAGCCCCTCCACAGTTAAGACTCAAGACCTGCAGACTACCAGTGGGGCCTGGAAGGCTGGCCTCCCCGACCCGGACCCCTCTGAGGCCCCCAAGTCGAGTCTGACCCTGCAGCTCTGCTTCACGAAGCCAAGTCTCATGCGCCGGGCTTGCCTCGGGAGGCAAACCCAGCACCTGACGTCAGGCCCCGCCTGCAGTCCCTGGTCCTCGGGAGCTCGCTGCAGCAGTGACCTTGGCACGTTTGCTGCAAGCCTTAGCGGACCGAGGAAGAGTTTGCTTCTTTGTGTCCTTAGCGAACTTGCGAGCAGGCTCCGCAACCTCGCAGCGCAAAAGAGCCTGCTTGCCCCGCTTACGGTACTTCGGCTTCAACCCCTCGTTCGCACGTTGGCGTGCCCATGCGAGAGAGCGTTCACTATGAGGAACATGGAGAAAACATGCTTTATCGATAGCTAGCATACTCCGCCCGACGGCCTTACAGAAAGCAGCAGCGTAAAGCGGCTCGTGGGCCTTGACGCGCGCCCACCACCCCCGCCTAATGCGCTGTGCATGAGCGTTCGTGTTCAACTGTTGGAGACACTGCTCGCAGCTAAGGCCGCCAGCACCCTTCTTAAGTCTAAGCTGCGTGAGGCAGACAGAACAAAAGTGGTGAGTGCCCCTCAAGCCCCGCGCGTTGCGCTCAACAGGCACAACCTCAACTATGGTGTGGCTAGCGAAGTGGGCCTCTCGAGCAGCAGCGTGTTTGGCACGGCAGGCTTTCCGCACCCCGTCCTTGCGCTGTTTCTGTCCTCGTCGTCTTTTGGCGTCCAAAGTGCGAGGAGTCTCACGCGGATGTTCTTGAGCGATGTGTGCCTTGATCGATCTCTTCTTGTCTTGTGCCGAGAGGCACGGTAGTCCCTTGAAGCAAAGAGGGCACTCCCAGTCCCGTTCCGCCTGAGGCAAACTAGCACTGGGAGTGAAAACTGCGCCTTTCTGCTTGAAAACAACAGTGGTGACGTCAAACGTCGGATGTCGGCTCCGAAGATGGTGTTTCTTCATGGCCGAAAGCGAGGAAGTAGAGACAGCTTTCAAAACAGCTCCACACTCAGGGCACGGCCACGACGGCTTCTCAGAGCCGCACGGCGTTTCACAGTCCTGTTCCTCCTCCACTCCCGTTTGGGACAAGTCAGAAGGGGCCCGGGCAGCCTGGGTGTTGCTAGCAGAGCTACGAGCACGAGTCCCGCTGTAGAACTGACAAAGAGACAAGAACCCGGGTTGTTTGCGTTTGAGACGCAGTCTAGCTGGAGCATCACCTGTGCCCTGCAGGAGCGCCTGCAAAGCCTGAGCATTCTGAGCAGCCTTATCCTGCCCAGGCATGACTCTGTCACTGTCGGCGTGGGTCGCAGGCAGCGAGTACACCGAAGCAGTCCTGGCACTAAGGCTATGCACCGAAGGTGTCGGCGCATCCGGAATCTGAGAATCCCGCGGTGAGAGCCTGACAGGGGAGCCGGCCTCTGCAGAACTTGAGCTGTGGACCGGTGGCGGAGTTCCTAAGCGTAGCGCTTCCGAAGGGCCCCTGCCGGAGGGTTTAGGGGAGTCAGAGTCGGGCTCGGGGCTCAGACTGTGGACAGACGGCGTAGCTGGGGCCTGCACTTCGTCCAGGCGAAAGTCACAGTCAGAGGCCTGAGAGCCTCCGCCCGCCAGCTGCAGGCGCGGAGGGACAACTGACTCCCTGAGCCATTGTCGCGGCACTTGACGGTCCTCTGCCTTAGGCTGCAACCACGTGTAGTGACCGTTTTCCAACAGTAGTACGGCTGCCTGCTGGTCCTTGGCCATCTGAGCGAAGCGGCCGGAGCCGCGGTCTTTGCCAAAGGACTGAGCCAGACACACTCGTTTCCAAGTTTGTTCTGGTGTCTTCACCCAAATGACCAAAGCAAGCCCTAACTTAGAAGCGATGCCCTGCAGAGTCAAGCCATCGGTCCAGCAGTGGGGCGTAGCCATCTGTGCCAGCCACTCCTGAAAGGTCTGAGCGATCCCGCCTTGGCTAGGGTCAGGTTCCTCTGGAGCGTTATCTTGGTCCTTAGCAAAATAAGGGAGATAGGTTTCCTCATGAGAGCGGATGTGCCCGACAGCCATGCCACGAATGAGACCGCCCTCTCTCCTACTGGCTTCTTCGGACAACAGTTCCCCGGTGGAGTTGTAGTGTCTCGCAGCAGCAACGCAGCGAAACGCGCAATCCCCCGTTCCCTTTTGATCCACGCGGACCCATCCGTTACGCAAGGCGTGCGTGATCTCGTCCTCAGCAAAAGGTTCCGGTTCAGCCGAGGCTTCTTTAACCCTTCTGGGACTACGATCTCTCTCTTCGTTCTCAACGTCAGCGTCAGCGTCGCGAGCCTCGAGGATCTCAGAAGCATCTCTTTGCGGCGTGCGGCGAGCATCATGAGCATCTTCAGCCCGCCCAGACCCACCCGTGTTGCTAGGAGGAGCATCAGGCTTGTGCTCCGTCTTCAGCTTTTTGCCCGGCCCAGACACAGCGAAAACTTCCGTGGCCTTAGCTCCTCGGTACACCGTTTTAGTAGCGTAGACTTGCAAGTCGGGTTTGCTCCGGTCAACGTAGTGCCAGGGCCCAAGCTTCTCTTCTACGGGGGAAAGCCCACGCACGGTCCACACGACGTGGAACCTGTTCTTTTTACGCCTACCAAACACTGTGACGTCCTGCCAGCCTTGGTCCGACAAGAAAGTAACTACGTCCTCTCTCTCCCAGAGCCTGGGTGTTTGAGCTTCGATAACGATAGGGGAGTGTGGAACCCCATCAGTTTCGAGCCTAAGGACTCCTAGATCATTGCCTCCACCAGCACGGATTTTGAGGCTTTGATTCCTAGTGTTAGCGGTGGAGAGGGCGCGGCGAAAGTAGCACTCAGCGTCCTCGTTGTCCTCCTTCTTAAGCCAGAGCATGGCCTGCGGGGGGGCTTTGTCAGCAACACCAGCCTTGGTGACTAGAATGCCATTTCTGCCACTTTTGCTGATGAGCTGGTCAGCAACACTTGGGGGAACCCTGAGGTGAGCGACCAAGTGGTGTGTGCCCTTTGTGGTGACCCAGTTCCACTGTCCACCTAGAAGAGCTGAAACCGGCCCGTCCTGCCACTGAGCGACTTCGGTGACTACTGTCTGCGCAGTGTCCCAACGGTCACGGAAGAGTTGTCTGTAGTGCGAAGGTGCAGAGACTCGCACTGTGACCTTGGCAGCCGGCTGGTACTTAGCCACATCGATACGCACTGCCGGCTTGACCCGAGGGGCCGCCGCGCCATCGGGGATGCATGCAAGCATCAAGGTCTCAGTCTTAAGGGCCGCGGAGCCCCTCTTGACTGACACTTTGACCTCTGACAGTCCTGGTGCTTGGTGCCGCACCGGGTCATCTATGATGACGGCGAGCGGAGAGTAGCAAGCAACAGCCGCAAACTGGTCTCTGAGCTCAAGGTACTGTTCAACTCCAGAGACTACGACCAGGTTCCCAGGCAAGTCACTACCTGAGGCCAGAGCTTTTCTGACTCCAGCTACCGTGGTAAGCTTGACCACAGCAGTCCACTCCGAGGGCACAACCGCGGTAATGGACTTCTTGAGTCCTGCTTCCTGCGTCGGCTTGTTAGTCCTGCTGCCGTCAGGCAGGTCTCGTTCCTTACAACGGTCCGCTCCCGAGGCCTTGGTAGTAGTGGGGGTCCAGGAGCGGGCGGGCAGAGCGCTAGCGGGAACGGCAAACTCAACACGCCTACTGGGCTGGTTGAGTTGCCCGGAGCCGGTTTGAGCCTGAGTACTGGGCCTGACAGCCTCGTGGGTGTGCCGCAACCGCCTAGCTTTCTGGTTCGCCGTAAGGAGTGCCTTAACTTTCTGTGCGACCTGCTCATCAGAGGCTCGTTGCTGGATCAAAGGCTGTAGGAGATCCTTGAGCTGGTGAGCAAGAGAATGCTGAGGCTTGGCAGCTGGCTTGTTCTTACACCACGTGGTCAGGAACTCGTTAAGAGCAGACGCAAGAGCATCCTGACCGTCATCGGCACCATCATCAAGAGGCATAGCATGAGCCACGCTACCCTGCTCTTGCCTCTGTTGGTTTCTACGGCGGGAGCCCCCGCCTCCGCACATTGCCTTGTTCAGTTGTGCAACTCCCAGCATGTAGGCATGCCAGTCTTCCGCTCGGACTCCTACCTCTTCATCCTCCCGACTAGAGGCCTCCGAGTCCTGGGGCCCTGGCTTGCTGTAGCTGGAAGCTTTAACAAGCGGCAACAACAGACGACTTCTGACTCTAAGCCGAACTGAGGCATGGTGCCGCGAGCAGCTGTGGAGCGGAGTTAACCGCCAACTGCCACCAAGTCCTGTGGCACCACGAACACCTGAAGTGCGGGCCCCGCCCGCTCTGCGGGCTGGTCGCGCTGGTACTGCGCACACAAAGGCGTGGGCTAAGTCCTGAAGTACTTGCTGTAAAACTGTGCGTCGGCGCTTACGGCGCCGGCGTTTGCTTGAGCGCCGAGCAGAGCAAACTGAGGCGTCAGCAGCAGGACTCGACGTGTCACTGTCTAAGGCCCGTGCGCTGTTGCCTGTGAGTCGCACAAGGCGTCTGCCAAAGCGGTGGTGCAACCAGCGGGAAAGAAGGAGGCAAAAGCCCTCCCCCATGCCAGCTAAGGCGCATGCGAGCAGTAGGCAGTTGTTCGAGAAAGTAAGTGTTGGAACAAACTGTTTTGTAGAAACGAGGGCAGACCAAAAGAAGCTGAACAGCTCAGTCGTACCCACCGAGTTAAGCACTCGGTTCTGCGTCATTAACAGGTAAAGGCATACAGCCCTTGCAACTACTTGCCTTTGACACTTAAACACAAAAGGCAAAGCTAAAAACCGACCAGATTCCTCGGAGGTGTCCAGACACGAGCTCGTCCCATCCAGCCCGCAGTCACCCTCCAAGCCTTCAGTCACCGTGGCGTTCGCGACCAGGGTAAGCCATGGCGCGCGGTCGAAAGACTTGCTGCTACAGGGGGCCCCGGAAGGGCCGGTACATGTCACACATGTGTATTCACACGCATGCATGCACGTCTCACCATCATAAGTGTACTCATACGCATGCGCACGAGTGCACAGGAACATGAGAAGAACCATCATCTTCCCAAGACTTGCATTCTTCTGTCCATGCAGCCGTCCCTGGCGCTGGATCTTGAAACTAATTAGGTTTTTTTCTGTCTTTTTCGCTTTTTTGCCCCTCAGGGTCTTTTCTGATGTTTTGTTTCGCCCCAGTGGGCTCGATACTCTTAATTAGCTCTTCTTTGGGATCCTCATGATTTCTTGATCTTCTGGACAAGCTTTGGCACTCAGCGCGAAGCTGAGCCCGCTGGCACCGCGCGGAGGCGCGAGTCCACAGCCAGCAGGTAACGCAGACAATGAAGTCGGTGATGTCGGTGAAGTCACAACCAATCCCATCCTGTATGACCTGAGTCGGCAGACGTTCAAAGTGAGGCATTTTTGCAAGGGCTGTCACACAATGCATCGCTTTTGCACTTCCTCGCCATACCTCAATGATCGCATAGTGACCAAAAAGTCCCAATGACGGCTCTTCACCTTGAGACCGGCCCTACCACGGAATTAAGCATTGAATGCGATGATCTCGCAGCGAGCTGCCAAGCAGACCACCATCAACCATCAACACCAGAGGTCTATTGCCTCCACAAAAGTAGCATCCAGTGCAAGCCTGCCGATCATTGCCATGGACGAGGAGGTTCCCGGGAACAAGGAGTATCGCAGCTAAGCCCGATCAGACGCCACAGCCTCCACAGCCATCTGCGGTGTCAGTTTCGAATGGAAGATGCAATGTTATTGGCCAGGGTGGAGCGCATGAGCTTATCCTCCTTTAGCTGCGTCGCGACCAACTGAAGCGCTGCATTGTGGCACAATGCTTTCAAACTCAGCCGCATACTCAAAGAGGCCTCCCCCATGGTTCCAACCTGGACCAAGAAAGCCAAGCTTTCCCCTTGCATGTCCTCTGCAAGAGGACGCGTTGGATGAAAGCGAGTGAGGGCATTACCAACGACTGCACACTTCAGCAGGATGTCGATGTGCTCCAGAACCTCCGCTTGCGTCAGAGCCGGCTTACTCTGATCCACAACGGTACGCTGCGCTGCACCATCCCATTTGAGGAAGTGCCAGGCTCTCGGCGGACCCGTCGCAATCCACCCCATTTGCTCCATCCTAGCAGCATCATCTGGACGCTCATCGAGTCCCGTCAGCCGCGACTTCAACTCCGCAAGGAAGCACACAAAGAGAGAGGTGCGCATAGGCCTGTCCAGCTTGGTAGGCTCCGAGGCTTTGAGCTTCCTCCATCCATCAGCTGCCACATAGAGCGTGGTAGCCACCCCTGACGGAACATTGAGCCGCATGTGCGCAACAAAGCTGTACTCCAGCTTCAAAATGTTAATGGAGTCTTCATGCCTGAGGATCAACTTCTGCATCATGCCAATGACCTTCCGCATCTCGCGCAGCTCCGCGCTAGAGCCACCGAAACCATCAGCTCCATCGCGACCCCAGGCATTGAACCAGTCGTCTCTCCAACCTCCACCACCTCCGCCGCCACCACCACCACCACCTCCGCTACGGCCCCAGCTCGGCTGCGGCCTTTTGTGACCCTGCTGCACCTGTCCATCCTTCGAGCTGCCTGGATGTCCTTGCTGGGCTTCACTGCCCTTTCCGCGTCCGCCCACTCCTTTGGCATCAAAGTATCTGGCAGCCTTGGTTTCCCTTTCCTCCAGGCCTGTAGCAGCCGTGGAGACATCCGAGGGTGGGCCCGATTGCATGTGGAGTCCTGCCGGCATGTATTGCCGAAAGAAGGACCACTCCTCTGAGCCCTCCATGGCAGGGTCTATACCGATGCCATTGGCGAGACCGCACACACGCGGCGAAGCGACCCAATGGGCCGCTAGGCAGATTCACTGACAGCACAACTGATCCCGTTCCCGAGGGACTGAGCCGGAATCAGCCATACCAAATACATCAACTCTTCACGTTGCACACTCCAGAGCACTGAGCAAGAAGTCCGATGATCATCAGTCAACATCCACCCATCTGGCATTTTGAGGACCGAGCGATAATGACCCGATGTAACAGCTTCTCCAAGATGTTCGACAATGGAGCAGACCTGATAGTCAGTCCAAACCACCCGGGTGCCCTCAACGAATACGGGAACACGAATGATCGAGGCAATGCTGATCGGCACCTGATTCTTGAAAGCGTCGGCATTGCGAGCCAAGTGCAAGAGCACTGGCCCATCCTTGCTCGTCAAAGCATGTACGGTGACAAGTTCATGCGCAGACCAATCCTCCAGCAAAGTTTGCAAGGAGCAGGCCTCTGACCGAAGTGTGAGGGCGATCGGTGCGCCACCCGCATGGCGCACACGTGTGCCTTCTGGCGTGTCAAAACGCGCTTCCCAAGCCGGCATACTGAGGCCCAAACTGCTCAGGAGCACCAGCGTGAACTCAGCCGCGTCATGTTGTCGATCATCAAAAGACCATTGCCTGAGATAAGCCCGTAGCACAAGCTGAGCAGCCAGACAAAGGACACTTCCCCGGCGAACGAAGCCTTGACACAGCTCCCGTATTGCTTGCAGCGCCCTCGAAGTAGAGCCAGACACCTGCATTGCATGCAAGACCGCAAAGAGAGACGCATTCATATAGCAGTGGTTGTGAGGATTTCCAAGAACAAGGCCAGTCAGCCAGTGTGCAGGAAGTGCTACCCGATCAGGAGCATCCAGCGGTGCCACCACCTCCGACCTCAAAGGAGAATTAGGCAGCAATGCTTTAGGAGCGAGTGAGCTTGAAGCCCGATTGCCTGCATCCGCATTGGTCTTGAAGTAGCGCCCAAGAGGCGTCTCAGCAAGATCAAAGAGCTGATACTGTGGAGTCAATGTGGACTGCTTGACCGACGGGCCTCGACTGGGTTCTGGAGTCGAATGACCCCTGCCACGAAGCTCACGCATGGCCAACAACTGAAACATCGAGGTGCACTTACCTGAATGATCTCTAGGATTTCGTGCCTTGCTGCCACAATAAACACACGGCGTACAGAACGTAGCTGACAAACTCTGCGATCCTGACAATGCACTAGCATGTGCCATCTGCCACTCCTTCGAATGAGTGCGTTGCCAATGGGTTTTCATCTTCGAGCTGTCCGTGATCAGCTGCCTGCAGAGCGCACATCTGGTAGCTAGAACCCGCAGCAAGGAACCCCGCGTGGCCAGTGTGCAAGGTTCCACCTCCAGAGCAATGTTGATGTCGTCCTGGACAACTGCCTGAGAAGTAGCTTTGGCAGGAGGAACAGGAGGAGATCGCTTCTCTTCCGCTGTCACAATCGCAATCATGTCGTCCTCACTACGACCCTGTGCAATGAACTCCTTCACTCTGGGACAAGTGCCACCAGTGATGTGCTTTTCAAGAGATCGCCAATCATGAAGTCGCACCTGGCAGAATCGGCAAATCGGTAGCCCATGCAACGCATGAAGGTCACGTCTGAAGGGAAGGCGGGAGAGCTTGTTGACATCCTTGTGCTTGTGCGCAATGTGCATCTGAAGACTTGCCTGCGAGTCGAAGTACACACCACAGACAGGACAGGGAACTGCTACTGCATCGACCTTCGGGATCCTTACCAAGGAAGTCATAGCCGATGAGTCCTCAAGACCCAGTAGGCGCTGATGTATCCGATAGCAATGCTTACTCTCCTGCACCTTGATGCGATCAGCGCGGTGTACATCCGAAATGATGGCCTCCCCTTTGCGTTGCACCTGCAGCTGAAAGAATGTGCGCGGATCAATGCCAGCCCGCTTCAACACAACCTTGTTGCTGATGCCCTGCTCGTGAATTCTCAGAACCTTCCGCAACTGCATAGCCAACAAAGAGCAAACACCCCGGAGCACATCACATGTAACCCCAACGCTGGACAAGGCATACCACAGCGTGGGCCAAATGATGGCCTTGTACAGCCGAACTCGATGCCGCTCGGCCAGCGCGCCGTTGGTGCGTAGAACACGCTTCAACTCCTGAAATCGACTGCGAGCTTGCACCGATCTTGTCTTGTAGGTCTGTAGCTCAAAGTTGTCATAGGAGAGCGTGGCACCAAGATAAGGCATCGATGTTGCGCATGGGATGTACATGTCATTGTCATGACACCGTATTCGCAAGTGCTGTGTGCCATTGCGCCACACTAAGCATGACTTACACAACTGCGCTACAGCAGTGCCGCAAACCCTTAAGACAACAAGGGACTTCTGAAAATTCACCGCCATGCCCAAATGCAGAAGCGCCTCGATGAGAGTTCGTAGCTCCTTCATCGCATCCTTGAAGGCTTGCACCGCGTGTGCAGCTCCCAGCAAGTGAAGATATCATCGGCAAACAAGGTTCCATGCTCAGCACTCCACGAGACTGCAATGCGACGATCAAGAAGTTTGCAAAGTCTACAAGACCAGGCAGCATATATGATAGGTGCAATCGGACAGCCCTGTCGCAATCCCCTTGACATGCCAACTTCTCGAGCAGAGCCCCCATGAAGTACCGTGCAGCAGGTCTGCGCATGCACTTGAACAATCACAGCAGCTAGAGGCTTAGGAACGCCGGCTTCAATCATGGCCATATGCAGCTCCGAATGCGGCAGGGCATCGAAGGCCTTCTGCAGGTCGAGGCCGCACATCAGTCCCCCTTTTAATGGAGCTGATGCATCCCCAAGCAGCTTGGACGTGTGATCACGCCGGTGCCGCTGCAGCAGAGCCCGAACACTGAAACAATGCCCAGCAGCACGCATCAACGCATCCGCCGTGGAAGCACCCTTCCGGTATGCATATTGCGGTTGTGCAAACAGACATTCCTGAATGTAAGGAGCCACAGCATCCCGAAGCACAATCAAAAAGGCTTTGGTATCCCCTGGCATGAGTCCTATGGTGCGCAAATTCTGCGGTGAAGAAGGTGTTTTCCCCGCCTTAGCTAACCATGCCAACTGAACTTCCGTCCAAGACCGCGGTACTCGCGGCTGCTGACTGCACATGGTCTGCGTGGCGACTGCGCTAAGCCGATGTGCCACAATCTCACTGCTGGCTTGCCATTGATGTATTGCCGGGGAGTTCTGCGGCACCGCCTTCCCAGCGCGAAGACTGCTAAGTGCTCGAATCCACGCATCAGGCTCAAAGACGGCTGGATCAAGAGGCTCAAGATCGACGAGGGCAACATCCGTGGCCCGCTGCGCAGTGAAGAGCTTCACCGCATAATCCGCCAACATATCGCATTCTTCACGAGGATGCATAAGAGTCCCTTCTGCCGTGCGCAATCTGATGGAGCGTCGCAGAGTTTTGGGAGCAAGCCACCTGACACACTGAAAGAGACCTTTGCTGTTCCCCGTGGAAGCAGACACCTCCGCAAGATGAAGTGTCTCCAGCAGCTGGCGCCGTTTGTTTGCCCGAATCTGAGCCTGTAATTCCCTTCTACGTTTTTGCAACTGCAGCACCATTCGCATACGAACAAAGATGTCACGCATTGTGAGAGCAGTGTGCCTAGCAAGCGTACGCCTGGCTTCCCAAAAATGAAGAATCTCACCATCTACCCCCACGATCCCTGGCCGAACCAGCGGTTGCACGGAGATCACAGCAACCTGCTTTACTTCTGCTCGCAATGATTCTATGGCTTGGTCCTCCACCCGTCCAGCAGCGGCAGCTGCATGGGACTGACATTTGTGAGCAACCTGGCGAGATTGCTTCCAGGGCTGCCATCGCAATGGAATTGTAGCACGAAGCATCCGATGCCCCGACGACCTCCATCCGGCAATGGGTGCATGCAGGGGGTGGCACGACTTGGCTTGCTCATCAGCCAGTGCAGAACGAACCAGAATCCAATCAATCTGCGATGACCCCGAGGGGTGGCTGTATGTGCATTGCTTTTTGGACCATGAGTTCAGCGCCGCCAGCCTATGAGAAACCAGCATCCCTGTTAGCCACTTGCGCTCCTCAACCACCGCCGGTCGAGCTGGATTGTGGATAACGCTGTGGCCCACGTACGGGCTGGAAGAGCACAAGTTGGAGTTAAAGTCCCCTGCAAGGACCACCGATGATCGCACCGGCATTGTTCTCAGTAGCTCGTCTAGCTTACTCCACAATTGCTTGCGCTTCTTCATTGTAGATTCCAAGGCCGTAGATTCAAAAGGTAGAGCATGCTGATAGATGCAGATGACATCCATGTGTTGCTCCTGAGAAAAGCACCTTACATGAAGAAGTCTGCCAGCATGCACTTCCTGCCACCGCAGAGAGCTCCGTTCACAGAAACCATCCCTAAAGCCCAGCAACACTCCTCCCTGATTCGCCTTCGGCGAGGCACTATGAACAAAAGTCCAGCCATCAGCAACCCATTCATTCTGAAACGCCCGATGTGTCTCTTGCAAGCAGACGATCTGAATCTCCCTGTGTGCACGCAAGTACATCTTCAGCTCCTCAAAAAGAAGCTGCGTCAAGCCACTGCAATTCCACGAAAGAATGCTCACTCGCTGTTGCTTCGTCGTAACAGGAAGCTGCGGTCTAGAAGGATGAAACTCCGGATCATGATTGATCTTCTGTCCTCTGTACGATGAGCTCTTGCCTGCCTGGGCCCTGCGAATGGCCCGTTGAAGTGAGCGCTTCTTTACCCTACTCATACAAACACTAGTGGTCCGAAAGGAGCCGACATTCAATCCCCTTCTCTTTGCCGAAGCTTCAGGCGGTCCGAAGGGAGAGCCGCCAACCCTCACGCCAAGAGACACTGTTGCAGCTGAGTCTCCTTCTGCAGTACGTGTCTCTTCCCGGACTTGGGACCGGGCCGAGCAAGCCCCTCCAATCAATGTTGTAAAAGACAGTGGATGAAACGATGAAGACTCCGCATTCAAGAAAGAGCCATTCTGCTTGGAGGTTCCAATATACGGGGTCGTGGCCAGACCAGAAAACAGCTGCACACCCATCAGAGATCAGCTTGCCGAATGCTAAAAGCAGGCAGCAACTCAGGATAGTTGACAGCGCAAAAAGCCGCGATCTGAAGCGTACAGTCCTTTGGAAACCAATCCACTATGTTCCGTATTATGATGTCAGCAGTTTCGTCAGCCCAGTATGCTCGTAGCAGCTGAATGATGTATCGCTGAGTACTGATGGAAGTTTGCCAATACAGAAGATGGTCCAGAAGTACGTCTTCAACAGCCGCGCCTATGTGTGCAGCAGCTTGGATTCCCACGCCGGCCATGCGACCCTCCGCGCGTCTGAGCCGCTCGTGGCGCTTACTACTACTACTACTACTACTACTACTACTACTACTACTACTACTACTACTACTACTACGGGTCTTGGGGTTTAGATTTCGAATTCTAGATGGGAGGGTTGTCGTATAAAAGAGAAGTTCTCCTATCCGAAAAGAAGGAAAAGACAGGTTTTCCTGTGGACATGCACATGAAACCAAGTGTTTGTGCTTAGTAGAATACAGAGAAGACAGAGGGTTTTCCTATGAAAACAGAGGGAAACAGAAGTTTTCCTTGTGAGCTTCAGATTGACAGCTAATTGTCGCAGTGCGGTCGCTCATCTTCGATGTCCGAGCGCAGCTTGCCAGAGGCCTTCAAAAGAAACCTCGATGGAGTCTCTTACAGATCACTGTCTTGAGCTAAGGCCAAGCACTTCAGTATGTGGAGCTCATTTAGCCCGTTAGTCGAAGTAGAGACGTTTCCCTCCACCATGTCGATGGCACATCCCCACGGCGTGTGCATGTCAGAAACGGGCTTTGTTCAGTCGAGTTGATTCTGCAGCTCAGATTCTGATGGCTGCAGAGCTGCAGTATCGGGGCATCAGCATTGGATACGGCATCAGCTACCCTCACTTCACCCAGAGTGCGGAGCAGGTGGCAGCTCCCTATCAGGTCTTGGTGAGCTAGGGTGGGCAGATAGGACCGATGGACGAGAAGCTAGATTGTCATTGATTGTCATAATTGTAGGGTCACTGCAGACATGAGCACCGTCCAGAAGTCCGGGCTTGGACATGGCTCGGCACTGGTGGGCACACGGTCTTGTAGTCGTGAAGCTTGTGCCGATCAATGAGACAAGATTATACACCACATTATGGCACCTTCATGAATTCTTGCATTGCTTCCTGATGTGTCGACCTACGGTCTTTGATGTGGATGGCCTTTCGAACGTTGCTTGCACGTACTTAGTAACTGCAGTGGTGCCACATTACGTATTCGGTTCGCTACATTGTCATCCTGTCAGCGTGGAGGCCATGCCAGGGGCGAAGACGGTTTTCGATGTTCTGGAGTGGACCTTCGGCATTCTCTTCATGGCTCCTTGCCGAGCAAGATGCAGCGGAGCAAGATAGTCATACGACTAGCCTTGCAGTCATTGATTGGTTCGACATGTAGTTGTGCATCGCATGCATGGCCGCGGTGTGCCCTTCTATCTATTCTGCAGACCGGACTGTTTTGAATACGTTTCTGCGCTCCTAGTGATACTAGTGCCATTGATGTGCTCTCGGTCTAGCGGCAAGATTGCGGCCGTCGTCGTTGTTGCTGTTACATGTGCCAAAGGTCGAAGCCGCCATCAAGCTCTGGGGCTTGCGCTGCAGTTATTTTCAGGAGACTTGGCACAGACGGTGCTGGGGTGCAGAACATGTCTTTGCAGTACGCCCGGATGTTGCATCGCCACCGTTGCACAAGTACAACGTTGTCGTCAGGAAGTATGGAACTGGTTCGATTTTGCCCTGGTGTGGCTTTGGATAGCTGACCGTCTGCTGGAGAACCTGCCCTTCGATACTTCTCTCCTCCGCTTACTGCGATTGGCACGATTGCTTCGCCTGGCCGGGCGCTTAGACGAAGTCTCGCCGTTGGGCCAAACTCGTGCATGTGTCCTTCTGCTGTCGCCTTTTCTCAACTAAACCTTGAGCATGGGTGCGCCGTGTGATCTGTTGCTTCAATGCGCATGCTTCTCATTTTCCTAGTTGCGATGCCAGTCATGTTGGCCGGGGTGTCTGTCTTGTCATAATCACCCTTCCCATTAGTCAGTAGCAGTCATCGACGCCATCGTTTCGGACGCCGGTAGAAATTGCTGTGCCGTCAGAGAGGAAAATCCCCATACGCTAGTAGCTGGTGACACGGATTTCGGCTGCCGGGTTGCCGACCAGGTAAAGCTGGCGCGCACGGTTCAGGGTTTCGATGCCCTTGCAGTCATGACAACATCGCTGTATGGCGACTCGGACGACATTTGCTTCCGTGTTGCCGGAGCTGCATGCAACTCAAGCTTCTGCTGAGACTTGATTTTCGGGCTGGGTTTTCCAGGATAAGAGCCGCACTGTTAAGGGCTGGTTAACCATGGCTGAGGAAGCGTGCATGCCCTGATATGGGTAGCAGCACTGCTGATCCTCGTACAAATGACCTTTGCCCTCCTGCTGAGCCAGGCTGGAAAAGTGCTTTCGTGCAGAGATGTAAGCTGTTGTTGGAAGCTTGGCATCCCGAGAGGTCCTCCTCTTCTACGTCGAGGATGAAGCTGCTGATCTGGCAGATCGACAAGTCGTCTTCGAGTACTTCGGCAATTTCACGCGGCCCCCTGGCCCATCAGCAAAGAAGAAGCCGAGTGAAGCCAGAATGAGAACCTGAGCTGGAGTCGGTAGAAATGCCCAAAGGAAAGGATGGGCAAGCAAGGAAGTCGAGAAAAAGTTCCTGCAATTGGCGTGACGAAGGTGTTCAGAATCGAAGTGGCCTGACCTCCATCCAGGTGAAGCAGAAAATTAATTAAGAAACAACCAGCACATTGCAAAACTCAAAGAGCAAGGAAGGACAGGTCGCTGCATGTAATGGCTCGAGGAGGAGTAGTTAACGTGAAGAGAGCAATCTAGGCAGATGCAATGCAAGTAGTTGAGATAAGGAGTCGAGGCCAAGAGGAAGAGCAAGTTCTGGAGCAAACCAGTGAATCTGCATGAATCTGCAATGTAGCGGCCCCTACCAGTGCAAGGCGCACAAAAGCTGAGAGGAGCCTGCGAGCAGCTCATGAAGCGCCACAGCAGGACTTCGAGACACGGTTCTACGGCAAGGAAGACAAGGCTAGGACCAGCTAAAGTCAAAGGCATATGCAGATGCACACCAACAAGTCGTGCATGTAATTCGGCTGAAGGATCGATAGGCCGATGGAACCGGCTGTGTGCACCGATGCATGCAGAATGGCAGAGACAGCGAGCGGTGTCCAAAACATACTGTGCGCAAGCAATCACTTCGCGCCACAGCTTCATGAAGAAGCCACTTGCATTCATCTGAACTGAGGAGTATTCTCTCGATGTTTGAGATAACACTCGGCAACTGGCCGCCCATCGCGCGGATTCTCCAGGCCGAGCTTTTATTGCGTACGCAACGGCGTTCCGCTGCACCGGGATTGGCATGGCATACTCTACAGGCGTTCTGCCTTGAGCTGATACGTGATGTGATTCTTTGTCAAGTCTCGACTCGTCAGCACGCTCAGCTGGACGCAGCTGAATGGTTTGACTCGCATGGTGAGTTAAATGTTCTCAAGCAACTTAGCGTATTCAACCGGACCTGTCGATCCCACGGTCGGGGTGGCTCTGGGCGTCGGGGTGTCGCTTCAACGGCAAACCAGTGCTGCAGATGTGATCACTGGATGTTGAGCGGGTTCGGTGTAATGAATCCGTCGTTTGATGAGTCTATTTATGCACTGAACCTTCGGATCAGGTCCGACGTTTTTGCCTACTTACAGTACATGCATGCAAACATGCCTGCCTCTGTCGAGCGACATCGCAGCTACACTATGCTTGGCTCTGCATCGTTCGTTTTGGCATCAGCTACATATCAGAGCACAACTTGATCGGGGGGGGGCCATGCTGGATACTTATACGCGGTGAGTTAACTGAGAACGTTACATAACGGTTTAGTGGTCCGTTGCTTGAGTTAGCTGAAGTGCATGTGCTTGCACCCACAGCCTTTTACATGATTTGTGCAGTCATTGACTACATAAGTGATATGCGGCTACTTCTGTCTCTCATATACATGTATAATTCATGTATATGTTTGTGTTGCGATTTCTTGTCAGGAGAAGGTCAGCTCCTGGTTTGTTGTCTTCAGCCTCCTGCACAAGATAGTCTTCGGCTCCTTGGCAAAGCTGCCAGGAGAGCGAGCTTTAGGTTCTAGATTCTAGAGATAGAATCCAAAATTTGGACAGTGATCCCAACAGGGAAACGAGCAGCAGTGCTGGCTGAGGCTTTGCTTGTGTTGCTGTCATCAACGGCGTCTTCATGCAAGAGCCGCTGGGCTATGATCTCGAGCTCTGCAAAGTGCGGGGGAAAGCAACTGGAGCAATGTGAACACATGGTTGAAGAAGGCTTGCACGAGCTATGGTACTATAGGAGTCAGTGATTTGAGGACCTTCAAGGTCGCCCAGCAAGATGACCAGATCATGCTGAGGACGCGATGCGCGTAGGTCGATAATTTGGTAGGAGAGCGCAGCTGTGCGCTGTTGAACACATGCATTGCATAATGAATGCTGCTCCGCAGGCACCTGTGCTGCATGCCTGTCAGCATAGTGTTGCTAGAAGGTAGGCCGTCGTCCCGGAACATTCGCTTTGAACGATGCCGAACGGCGGATGCGGCGTGCGCCGCCGCGCCGACTGGGACCAACGCGGTCGTTGGCAGGGTGGGCAATCTTACACTGGCAGGCCTTCGCGACATGTATTCAAACACACCATCATAGAGTTTACAAGTTAGTTGTGTCTCCACTCCCGCTTCACTTCGACTGTCTTCAGATGCGCTCAGTCCCCAGTTATCCGAGCCCCGGCTTTTTGCCAATATTGCCAGGCGCTCGTGGAGCAGTTGGCAGAACTTCGACATTCATCGCGGCGAGGATCTTCTTCATCAGTATCATTTCGAAGGGGAGCAGCTGTACTACCGTGCCTCGCAAGCCCAAGTTCCCGTATTCCACGGGGTGCCCACCTCGATGACCTCATGCGTCGAAGAGATGCCGAGTGCAGCCTATTGGAACATGATGGGACCCATGACACAGATCTCCAATCAGATGGTCATGCGAGATGGAGTGGGGTGGGCAGGTTTCACCCATGCACCAGCGGCAAGCCCTCCATCACCCCCGCCCACGAACAGTGATGTGCAGCTAGTACTCGACAACATCTTCCTCCTGCAGTGCATGGGACCCGAGCAGGCGGCAAAAATACTCAATGATACTGCGGCCCGGCAGGGGCCATACGAAGACTGAAGAGCAGCGCGCTCTGTGTACAGCTCCGGAAAGCCCTTTGTGGATTCATTGTTTTGTGCAGTAATTCAGAGAAGCGATTTGACAGTGGACGGAATCTGGCCCGACCGGGCCCTGCCTGTTTGCGGCCGAAAGAAGCTGTGTGCACGTCTGCTGCAAGCTTGGCTTCTTTGTCGCACAACCTGGAACCTCCGCGGGACAGTTGTCCTGCGGGACCTTTAAGAACATACATAGGCACGAACATACACACACACACAATTTGTTATTGCCACATGGGCTTCGCAGGACGGTGGAAACAAAACGTATGGCCCACAGGACTGCTTTGGCTGCTTGCTGATTCCGCCTCTCATCAATGAACCGACGGTATTGATTAACATGCGGCACCATGTTACCCATGTAGAGCACCAGACTGTGCAAAGCAGACCGATTGTGCACATTGACATCCCGGTTTCACTGCTTTGTCAGCTGTACCCAGACCTCTTGCAATTTTGCGATATCCTGCGAAAGGAAGAAGATGCAAATGTTCTTCCAGCATGCCAACGATGATGATGTTCCTCGGATGGACATGCCTATCCCCGATTGGAAAAAGTTGGCATGCAACTCCAAGGACAAGGTCCTGTCGCCCGAGGAGTGGAGGGAGGTGCTTGCAGAAGAGAAGGCCGTGCCTTTCGAGAGCAAGCAGCGCAGTACTGTCGGAGTGTTTGCCACCGGTGCAGGTGAAGCATTGGTTCGCCGCGCAGGGTCTGAGCATCTCTGACCCCGACCTCTTGTGGGACATTCTGGCCCCTGGTCAGAAATCAAGACGGATTCAGGCAGGTCGAGAGGTGGAGGCGTTTGTCAGACACGGCTTGGAGTCGAGCATTTGACCCGTCATTCGAGGACACCTCCGGGGACAGGGAGCTGGACTTGGAAGAGCTGATCCAAGGCATGGGAAGGGAGAGAGTGACTGCGAACAGCCGTCGGCTAGAAGCCTCCCGCCAGGAACTGCCCGCTTGCAGGGCCTCAGCCCCAGCCGGCGTTGCGTCCTACGTCGTGCAGCCAACTGCGATTTGCTCAGGACCTGCCCGAAGCCTTGACCTAGCCGTGCTCAAGATGGAGCACTACCGCACTTTGGGCGCTGTCAAGGCAGGTGGCTTTGCTTCTGGAGAGCCCGCACTTTCACAACAGGCAAGCAGCTACATCACTTTGCGGTGAGTATTTTCTCCGTCCCTTGTGCCGAGAAGGTGTGAATTGTGCCCTGCCCCTTCCTCTTCTTCCACATGCAAACCTGCAGCCGCAGTTCACTGTTCACAAGCGCATGCACGCAAAGCCCGCGTACTGCTGTAGAAAGGACATCCGAACTTCCGTGGACATGCTCCGGCAGCAGATGAACCTGCTGGTCAGGCGAGGATAGCCCTGTGCTGAGCTGACATCTCCACACTCCTCTGGTTCTGGCAGCTTTGCACAGGAATTCCTTGGATGTTGCTGTCAGCTTCGACGCTTGATCTGAGCAGCTTTCCAGCATGCGCATGGCAGTTAGTAAGTCAGTGAGGCATGGTTGCAAAGGAAGGCGGAGAGGCAAGTAGGGCGGAGCACTGGTCATGGTTCAATGTAGTGTAGCTTGTATTTCGGGGCTAGACGGTCGTGCGACTGTCAAACAGCTGCTTGACTGCCAGCTTCACAAGCCGGTAGCAGTCTTTAGTTTACATTGCCGCAGTCCTCGGTGGAAGTTGTTTCTATCACCCAGTATCATGACAGAGGTCTCCTCCACATCTTCGGGGAGACCCACTCAGACGTAATTTCGGGGAAATGTGGCGGAGGCAAAGCCCGACGTTGCTCCAACGAAGTTGGAAAAGCCGGTCAATTGCTAAACGGCATTGGCCGTCTGGCTTAGAGTTCTCCTCATCCCCACGCATAGCGTGCCAGAGCTTAGTTTGGAGTTGGTGACCGCTCGGACGTCGCACTGGGCCAGCACAGAGGTTCCGTATTGTTCGCGCCATCCCGTGGTTTAGGGACCGTTCAGCGTTGGGATCTGCTGTAGCTGCAACGATGAAGAAGAACTAGTTTGGCCGATGGTTCAAGGCCATGGAGTCCGACGAGAGCATGATGTTGCAGAATTCCTGCGAGACGTGCTTGCCTCATGTGTGAGCGAGTAAGATAGTCTGTGTGTGTGTGTGCGCGTCCGTTTCTGTACAAGTAATCTAGTTGGGTCTTTTTCGTTGAAAAACGAACTTCCATGTCGTCCGTTGGCGACGCTGTTAAAGCTGAAAACACTTGGAACGAGAGGCTTTGTAGAAAGGCAGCCGATATCTGCGTCTGTGTTGCCCTGTCGCCCAGGCTCGTCTCATTGGTGCTGCTTGCTCCATTGCAGAATCTGTGACACTGGCAACTTCCATGCAAAGCTACTGAAGCGGGACGGCGCTTCTGACAGCGGCTCATCCTGTCTTGCTCAAGAGCTTTGCTGCGGCCACCCTTCTTTTGCCAGGTAGAGCGATCTCCGTCGCAGGTTATGGAGGCTTGGTGCACCGTGCAGCAGCCGCGCAACTCATGCACCGCTGCACGCTGCCTTGGCATCGTCGCAGAGGCGGGGCTTTTGGAGCCTTTGCTGCGCCTGGTCGAGCGCCTGCTTGGCCCAGACCTCGAGGCCGGGACCTGATAGAACGGATACGTATCAGCAGTGTAGGCAGACGCCACCTTCATATCATGCTGCGAAGGACCGACTGAGACGGATCTCAGCCGAAACTTACAGAATGCGTTCGGGTGTGCAAAATACAGGGGGCTCGAGGCGGGGGCGGGGGCGCGGGGTGGACTGGGTGTTGACGGGTCAGTCGAGGACTGCTGTGTTGGGTTGCCACGAACACGCGAAATCCAGGGAAGGACATGAAAGTGCACCGTGTCTTGGGGCCAGTCGATGGGCTCACAGGCAGCAGTGGGGAGGGCAGGAGGCTACCGATGGGTAAAACACCTGCATTTTGGCGTTTATTATCGGTTAACATATTTCGCATCAACGCCTCCGAAGCATTAGCAGCATGCTGTCAACACGCTCGCTCGGCGGCAACTCTGGTTTGGGTCAGGACGATGCTTGTCTCTACGTTGGGCTGAGATCTCAGCATGTGCGATGTACGATACTGAACTCGACAAAAGCTGACGATGACTGCTCGGGCTGAAGTTGTTGTCATAGCGGAGTAGGACAGACCCAAGTGTAACAAGGGCTAATTACACCATATTTTCCCACGTCGATCAGCGGCGGCTGGCTCGAGATGGCTTGGATTGCCAGTTTGACACCAGCTTGCAGATTTTGTTAACACACATGTTCTTGACAGTTGGAATCTAGTCAATAGTCTGTTAGTTCAACAGACGAGCAGTCAATAATTATTCCGCGAGCCAACCTTTCTGCCAGACGTTCAAGCCCAGACACTAGCCGAGCAAACCATGGCTGCAGTGCGCCTGCTCACATTTAACATTTGGTTCGCGGCTCATGAGATGAGATCTCGAATGGAGGCCGATGCCGCGGCAAAGCTGTCACAGCAGCGTCTGCAACTTGCGGGCACAGATTTTCAATTGTGTGACGAACAAAACCTCTCATTCTGTGAGTCGGCGCATGTGGCAGGCCATCGCAAAGATCATCGACCAGAAGAGTCCGGATCTGATTGCACTCCAGGACCATCCTTGAGCTTTTGTGCTTTCGTCTGCTTGCTGAATGCCGTGCACCGGAACGTCGTTGGCAGTGCAATGCCGTGGTGAAGTAAGTCACGCAGTCTAAATGAAATCAGCAACAGGAGATGACGGCAGAGCATTGGCAGGAATGTCTTAGCCCTGGACAGCCTCAACGGAAATGTGACGAATCCACGCTTCCATTCAGAGTTGAAATAGACTTTAAGCGGGCCTACGCGCCAGAGATGGTTTTGCATTGCAAGTATGGGTCGCTAACGGTGGGGGCAGGTTTGCAGGTGAAGGCTTCTTGCAGAGGCTTGCAGAGCGAATCCTTCCGTCGCTACTTCTGGAGCTCGGCACCACGGTGGGGGTCTCGGACTGACAGGAAGTGCGCACCACGCTGACACAACAAGGCCAGCAGATGATTAAGGCAGCCTGCAAATGTCACCCAAGGCAGCGATACTTTACGATGCTGGGAAGCCGGCTGCCGATTAAACAGGAGCCAGTGAGGCATCCGTTCAAGGCCGGATTCAAAGATTGAAGCCGTCCCGTAAGAGTGGAAGATGCGCAACACGGCCTGGTTGACTGCAGCATTGGAGCTTAAAAGCGTCCTGAGGCGAGCAGAATGCAGCGAGACCTGCTGATGATAACTGCCACTTTGCTGCGAGATGCTGCGAAACTACCTAAAGGGTTCCCGTTGATGCATGGTGCTCACTGTTCGCAGTGTCTCGGAGTCTGCGATGTCTTGCGGGGTGTGTCCTCGGTCGCCGCTCTCACTTGCTGCCGGAGATAGTGTCAAAGATCGCGAACAGCTTGCCTGCTTCTCTACCCGCCCCACGCTCACCCTTTCCTCCCTCCAGGTCAAATGTACAGTCTCGGTTAAACGGTAAAACTCCTAGTAGTTCTTGCCGGTCCATGTACGGCCCGAAGCCAAGGTAGAGCCACCAGAGCTCCCGCCACTGACGTTTGCAACGTCGCATTTGGAGTCCATGGATGAGCACAAGGAGCAGCGGTTCACGTTGACAGGGTCTTGGGCGAGTTTTGCCCATTCTGACACGCGGAAGTGCAGGCTCGTCGTGTGCAGATAGATGAGAGCTTGTCGCGCTTGGCAGACTACCCGGATGTCGTGTTCTGTGTCTTGGCTAGCACCTCCACTCTCACAGAGAATGCTTCCGGCCTCCACTATCTCGCTATCACTCGGCGTCGCAATTGCTGCGTCCCACATCACTGCCGAGGTGGGGACACGAACATCAACGAAGCCGTCGACGGCAATGTCAAGCTTCCAGCAGAGTGGGAGGACGCTGTGCCAAGCTCTGCCAAGAGCACCTTCGCGCTATCGGGCCCTATCCCACAGCAAGTCCGAGGATGCATGGTTGGTCCTCAAGCCAGATGATCCAGGCAGTCTGGTACGCGCAGTGCACTATCGTAGTCCGAAGAAGTTATGCTTGACGTGAGCCCAGAATCGATCGCAGACATTGCAGACAAGTCAGCGTTCCTGTTTGGTCAGCACGAGGGATTCGGCAACTGCGCTATTTCATGCAAAGTGCATTGGTGGCCCTGCTTCGAGGCTACACTTTCGACGTGGAGCGGAACCGCCCCGAACTTGTACGGTACGGGTTGTGTTCTTTCGGACCGATATTTCTTGCATAACACAGGAGGTGCTGGCCGTGTGCTTTTGTCCCTCTCTGTTTTCCGATCCAGTGAAGCAGGGCAACGCGACGGTTATTGGCAATTGACGTAGAGCCATCGAGGCATGATGGCAGCCAGCGACGGCTGGGCTCGAGCTGTCAACGCTCGCCTACGCTTCGATCGATTCTGGACGAAGGCCTGCGGGACTTCCTGACTAATTATGCTAAGTTGAGCTTCTGCCACGGCCCCGCGCTGCATCATTCTGGAATGCAGTGGCATCGGCGGTCAGATCCCACACGCGATGTGAAGTCCAGCAGAGCTGTTCATGCTTTCTGCGACTCAGATGACCAACTATGCAGCAACAGAGATAGAGCTCCTGGACGAGCCTATCAAGGACTCTCAAATGATACTTTGCTCAGTGTGTGCAAGCCCGACTCACATGCCTGCGAAAGGAGGATCTCTGGCCGAGCGACCACTTCGGACTGCTGCTGACTCTGCAGGCCTCGCTTGATGGAGGCCCCACATACTGGGGCCTAGAGGCTCTTGGAGGTCACGCCGATGCCGACATTCGAAGCTTCGGGGTGCTTGCTCGGTTTGTTCCGGTTTAAGGTTAGCTCGGAGAAAGCCTCGCTGTGAGGAGTGGCGCCGGAATCGCGGTGACTTGAAATCGGACAGCTGCACCGCCGCATAGATTGAAAAACAGATTGATGCCAGCTCGAAGTGCAGTACCGATGCATAGAGGCATAGAGTTGTTGCTGCGAGTCAGGTGGCATGAGATCGTGAAGATGAAAGGGCTGTAGTTCGAAGTGCACGACTGAAGCCGCATCTCAATGTCGTGCTAGAGTTGTTTATTGTCGTGTAGTTTTGTCCATGCTCCGAGAGTGCTATTGATGGGTGCCACTGCCGCCTTAACCACCCTTGCTGAGGCCTCTTGCCATGCTGCTCTTTGCTCAATTCGGCACGCCACTGAGCCCCGAGTGCATCCCATGCCTTCAGACTTTGCATCTGTCGCTTCTGATTTCTGATTCTGAGACAGCAGTACATCTAGCATGAAATCATTTCCAACACAAACTGGGCCTAGGCCGTGTCTTGCCCGGGCCGCTTCAGGCTTGGCGTTGAGATTGACAGTAGAAGGGCGGAAGGATTCCTCGCAAGCCGCAAGGTGGGTCTGTTGCGAGCCTTGGTAACGCGCCTCGCTCGAGCTGAACGACCCTACCTCCGC